CGCCAGGCTGTGCTCGCATTCCGTGCGGCCGCCTATGTCAATGACCCCGATGCCCCCGAGCAAAAATACACCATCTCCGACAAGAACGTGTACCACCAGGTTCTTATCACGGCCCTCAACACCATCCCCAAGGTCCTGGCCCATCATCTCCCCGTCAAAGAGAGCGCTTCTGGCAAGATCAGGGTCTCATTGGATTCCAAGAAATTCAAGACCCTCACACCGCTGATCAAATCGCACACTGCTTCAGTTCATCAGCTTCTGATTAACTTGTCGGATGCATCGACACTCAAGTTGACCCTGGCGTCAATTGAGCCCATGCTGCCTTACCTTCTTCAGTTCCGCAAGGTGCTGAAGACACTGGTCAAGATTGTCGTCGGAATTTGGTCTGATGTGTCCACGGCCGACGCCACCCGTATCACAGGTTTCTTGATTCTCCGCCGCCTTATGGTTCTGGGAGATGCAGGTATCAGGGAGAGTGTGCTCAAGGCCACCTACGAGGGTGTTGTCAAGGGCAGCCGCAACACAACGGTGCACACTCTGGCAGGCGTGAACTTGATGAAGAACTCCGCAGCCGAAATCTGGGGCATTGACCAGAACGTCTCATACACAGCAGGATTCTCCTTCATCCGTCAGCTTGCTATGCACTTGCGCAAGAGCATCACCCACACCTCCAAGGAGTCCTACAAGACCATCTACAACTGGCAATACGTGCACTCGCTGGACTTCTGGTCCCGTGTGCTTTCACAGCACTGTGATGGCCTTGTCGAGGCCCAAATCGGCAAGCAGTCCGCTCTGCGTCCCCTTATCTACCCCGTCGTGCAAATCACCCTGGGCGCCATGCGCCTCATCCCCACCGCCACGTACTTCCCCCTGCGCTTCCAATTGACGCGCTCCCTGCTCCGCATCTCCCGTGCCACAGGCACCTATATCCCGCTCTCAGCTTCCCTTCTCGAGGTCCTGACCTCAGCGGAGATGCGCAAGCCCGCCAAGTCCAGCACGCTCAAGCCCCTGGACTTCAACACAGCGATCCGCGCGCCTAAATCCTACCTGCGCTCGCGCATTTACCAGGACGGCATCGGTGAGCAGGTCACGGAACTCCTTTCCGAGTTCTTCGTCCTGTGGTCCAAGCACATTGCGTTCCCGGAACTGTCCGTGCCCGTCATTGTCTCCCTCAAGCGCTGGCTGAAGCAGATCTCTGCCCGCAGCGGTGGAAACAAGAACGCCAAGGTCAACCAGATGATCTTGCTGCTCGTGCAGAAGGTTGAGGCCAATGCCCGCTGGATCGAGGAGCGCCGTCTGAACGTCTCCTATGCTCCCCGCAACCGCTCTAGCGTCGAGTCTTTCCTCAAGGATGTTGACTGGGAGACTACTCCTGTCGGTGCGTTTGTTAAGACACAGCGTAGGCTGCGTGACGAGCGTGCTGCTGTCCTCGAAGAAGGTCGTATCGAGGAAGAGAAGCGGAGACAGGAGGCGAAGAAGAATGATGCAGAGGATGAGGATATGGGCGGTGTTGCTGGCAGTGACGATGGCAGCGAGGATGAGGGTGAAGAGGAATTGGAAAGCGAGGAGGAAGTCGAGATCGAGAGTGAAGATGAAGATGAAGACGAGCTGGAGATGGAGGACGAGTAGATCGTCTAATTTTTGGTTAATTTGTATATCTCCTTGTCCATGTCCCCGATGATGTCCATCTACTTCACACGGTTATTGCATATGTCTACTTTGTTTACCAGGATACACCATGGGTAGCTACTCAGTCCTACAAAAGAATTATTTATCTTCAAAATGTCATATCATCATGGGTCTCATAAATCCACACACCGTGGAAACAGTCTAAAAAATAAAATGGCCAAACAAAAGGGGGTATATCAAAAATCACCATCTAAACAGACCCAACAGGCCCATTCTCCTGAGCCCAAGCCCTAGACCTATCCCTCCGCATAGCAGCATCCTCCTCCTCCGCCCAAGCCAAAGACTCACTAGGCAACATAATAGCCTTGTCAATAGCCACGGGCAAACCCCGATGCCGCCCACGCAAAGCCACAGCAGCAAGAATCAACTTGCTAATCGTATGCCAGGCGCCACAGAACGAGTAATTCTTCCCGGGGAACCCAAGACTCACACCGACACAGCCGTACGCAGAGACAACCTCGAAGATGATATTGAAGGTGGAGAACGCCACAGGCTGGTTGTTGTAGTGGTCTGACTCGGCGATCGCGATGAAGAACACCGCCAGCGCGATCCACCACAGGTCATGGCTGAGCTGGGAGCGCAGCTGCTGGTGCAGGAAGTAGCCGCGCGATGTCTCCGATGGGCCTGGGCGGCCGAGGTGCTGTCGGATTAGGTCCATTACTACGTTGCTGCGGCTTGTGTTTGCCGGTGAGTCTGGGGATTCGTCGTGTGCGTAGATTCCTAGCGAGCGTTCTTCGTAGACGTTTGTGTTGCTGGGTGGGTGTTAGATTGTGGTTTCTCTAGTGTGGGTTGGGTTGGGTTCGGGGGGTGCTTACCGCATTGTGAGTGTTACTGGGTACGCGGAGACGTACTGGGTGAGATGTTAGTTTGGGATTGGTGTATGGGTGTGATACTAGTAGGTCTTACCATCATGAGTACTAGAGGTTTTGTTAGCATGATATTACAGACTAAGGATACCGAAGCACTTACCATATAGAACCAAGAGACCTTGGCGAAGATCGGCAATGGTTACGACGTAGAATCCACCAGCGCGAACCGCTTTCGAGATAAGTTGTTAGCTGGTTCAGATATGGCGCTGTTGCTGATATTGATTGACAAACCTAGGGCTTGGAACAGTCCATCCAACACACGGTACTCGGTAGGAAGAGTCTCAATGTCCTTGTTTCCAATGGACAATAGCTCAAATGCTGCCCAGTCGATACCGTTCAGGATGATAATCGTGCCGAGTAGATACCACGTATGGCGAGCAGGGAAGAGATTCGTATAGACCTGCTTGATGATAAGTCTATATCCTGCAAGCTATTAGAGTAATGCAACGACTAACCCTTCGAGGATGCTCCAGGATAAAATCCAGGGTTATGCGCCACGACTGCCACATCGGCCGATCCGGAAGCATGACCCTCATAGTCCAGATAATGAACCGGAGGAAACATGGGAAAAGGGTGTTTCCAGCGAGGATCAGAAATCCCATTGTGAGAAGTGGGTAAGCCCTAGAGAAGATCAGCAAGTTTGAATATTGAAACACGGGCGGTCTAGAGCACCTACCTCAACTGCAAAGCAGTCATATTCGCGTCCAGGAGCGACATGCCACTGTTCACGAAAGCAGAAACAGCAAAGAAAGCACCCGTCCAGAAAGGCGAGAGGCCGTTCGTGCGCGTCACGGCGGGATCATTGGCTTCCAGCCAGCCACCGACACCGACCATGCCGAATACAATAAACAAGATAAAGTAAAGGAACACAACCACAGACAGCAACGAGACGGCCTTGTACTCGACACCGCCTAGTTCCTCACGCTCGGCAGGAGTGAGATCGTGGAACTGGGAGTTGCGGGACACAAGTCCCTTGGAGGCTATGTACTTCTGTGTACCGCGGAGAATTCCCTTGAGACCAGACACCGAGTCCTTCACGACCAAGGGCACATTGGGCGCTGCGTCGCGCGGGTGGTTATGCAGATCCGGTCTCGCCCCGATGCCAGCCATGGGGAAGACTCGGTGGTGATGATGACGGGGTGTGCCGCCGACGGTTATCTGGTCGTCGTCCACCCATATCTGCTCATTACGGGATGATGGCTCTCCCGGGGTCGTTTGGACCAGCACGGTTGTCTTTGGGCGTGGTTTACAGCCGTGTCCTTCGATACTCTCGTCGAGGAGATCAATCCCGGAGCTTGCATGGGCGGGATCTCGGTCCCTGGCCTGTAGTTCAACTTCCGAGAGGTTACGGCTAGATCGCTCTCTTTCCCGCTCATCGGAGACACCCTTGAACTTCGCCTCGAACGCCCTCTTACGTACTAGAAGTACAGTGAGGGAGATGAGAATAGCATGGCCCAGGATAAGCATAGTGAACAAAACTGCTTGTTGGAAGCTGTTCAGAGTCGACAGATCCACCTGGTCAGGTTATTAGCCTCGGCGAGATATAGCCATGAGATTCAGTCCATACCGTATTCAATCCAGCACCCGTCATAGCACTGACGCACATGAAAATCGAATCCACATAGGCAACGCTACGCCATGGCGACGATGTCAGATAGAAAATGATACTGGCGATTATGCATGTCGCAATGAAATATGAATAGTGTAGCGTCAAGAAATTCAAGGGCGGGAGCACTGCCATTATGGCGCTCCCGGTTTTCCTCCGCCACTTGCGAACTGTATAAAGCGGTTAGTTGAATTTTACGCCAGTAGCCCAGGCGAACGTACGGGTCACCAAGACATGCATTCTAATTCGGCGACAAAATTCGGCAGGGCTTGATAAAGCACAGTCTGTGTTTTTGTGCTGACCTCGTTGCCGCTGAGGCGTTGTCGATGTAATGATGAAACGAAGGAGGTTTATTTTTTTTTGCAGGGTTTTCAATTACACCCACACAACCCCATAGGTCTCAAATTGAGACGAATAGCCTCAAACAGAGGAATTTTAAGAATTCTCATATGTTTGAAGGGAAAAAAGGAAAATTGCAAAACCTCGACTGCAAGGCTAAGCCGATTTGAGTGATGTGGGCTCGAAAATGTCTTGGGCCATGAGCCATGGCCACATAGAGGAATGCAGAAAGGAGGAACGATTGCTACAGTTGTATATCGCCAATCATATAAAGATCATTGGCTGTGAAAGAAAAAATAGAAATGAAAATACGGTGAAGCCCAGGAGAATTTAAACGGCCCATAGGGCTGATCCGCGGGTATAGATAGGCTCAAGGGGTATTAGGGCTATTGCAGTATGGAGAAGAGATAGAACATCCACTTTAATTAAAGAAAGAGTCTATACGGAGTACTACATAGCAATCAAGTACCTACAACTACTCAAATTAACTACACGAGTCATTCCCGTACCCAATGCCCACTCTTCCCACCCTGTTTCTCCAACAATCGGACAGAATCAATGACCATCCCCTTATCCACAGCCTTGAGCATATCATAAACCGTCAAAGCCGCACCCATAGTAGCCGTCATAGCCTCCATTTCTACGCCTGTGCGACCGAAGCAGCTGACCGACGCCACGACATGCATGGCGCCGTGATCCCTGTCCCTGTCCCCCGCAGGCCCAACGAGTTCCACGCTGACCTCGACTCCGGTAATACCAATGCCGGGATGGCAAAGGGGCACAATATCAGGCGTTCTTTTGGCGGCCATGATACCCGCGATCCGGGCGACGCTGAAGACGTCGCCTTTGTGCGTGGTTTGGCCTTCGCGGAGGATTTCCCAGGGTCGGGCGTTTGAGAAGGAGACGGTGCAGGCGGCTGTGGCGACGCGCTTTGTTTCGGGCTTTTCGGTGATCTGTGTCATGTGTACGGTCTTGGATGGTGTAAGGTGAGGGAGGTCGGTGTCTGAGGTGGTGGGTAGAGAGGGAGATGGACGAGAAGTACAGTCTGTGGTCTCTGGCTTAGAGCGCCCGGGGTGGTAGAGACGACTTTGGGAAGCTGTAGGGAGATGCGAAAGTATATGTACTGGTATGGAAGACCAAGAGGGAGACCCTGACCTCCATGGCGGTTTATTATCTAGTTCATCTATCAGCTTAATGATTCAAACAATGTCTAAACACATCAATTGCATGTATACATGGTATCAAAATATCGCCAATGCCATGAGATCCAAAAGAAATGTTCATATGGATGATCTACAAGTCGTAAAGCGTTTCCAATCATCAAGAAAAAAAAAACAAAAGGCTACCCACCAATCAAGATCATAGGACGGTTCTTCATATCCTTAAGTTGTGCCATGCCGGCGTGTTTCGCCTTCTTTCGTTTCACTGCCATGCCGATGATGTCGAGAATCTCACGTTCTCGTTCATTCACCAAGCCGCCTTCGTCGCTAAGGCGCGCTGCGTTTTGTACTGTTTCCAACAGCTGCAGGTTGTTCATTGCATCCACGTCAATCGGGCTCCCACCATTCTCCTTACGAATGATATCCCGCAAGGAGACTTCAGAGTTACCGAACAGACAGACTTTGAGATTTCCGTCGCTAGTAATACGTAGCCTGTTGCAGGTACCACAGAAGTTGTGTGTCATGCTCGTGATAAATCCCACGCGGCCCTCGAAGCCAGGAACACGGTATGTCTTACTCGTGTCATTCTTGTGGTCGGCCACTTTTTCGAACGTGGGATACTTCTCTCGGATAACAGCCAGCATCTCCTGATATGAGAACATCTTTTCCTGGTTCCATTTGTTTCCACCGAAAGGCATATACTCGATGAAGCGCACTTCAATCGGCTTCTCGCGGCCCAGCTCCACGAACGGAAGGATCTCTCGGTCGTTCATTCCCCTCATAACAACACAATTGATCTTCAACTTGATCCCCGCACCGACCTTATTCATTTCCAGAATGCGGTCGATGCTCTTCATCACAGCATCGAATCCCTTGCGTCTCGTCATGATCTGGAACTGGAATGGATCCAGCGTGTCAAGGCTGAGATTGACTCCCGTCAAACCAGCCTCCACCATCGAGTCCAATTTTCGATGTAATGAGATTCCGTTGGTTGTTAGACACAATTCCCGAAGCCCATTTTGTCGCAGCTTGCCAATGTCCTGCATCAATGGCACGATGTCCTTGCGGACCGTCGGTTCTCCGCCAGTCAATCGGATTTTGGTCACGCCTTGTGAGACGAATAGCGAGGATAGGTATAGGATCTCCGGGGATGTAAGCAGTTTCGCAGAGGGCGAGAGGTCTATGCCTTCCTCGGGCATGCAATACAGACACCGGAGATTGCACCGTTCCGTGACGCTAATGCGGAGATAGTCATGTTGCCGATTGAAGGTATCGGTGAGGAATTCGGAGAAGGGCTTCGTGGACTTGAATTTTGACGGTTTGGAGGCCTCGGTTGCGGGATGCGGAGGAGGCAATTCAGGGACGACGGTGGCGTTAGATCTTGATGCGGCGCGAGTGCTCTGAAGTCGAGTCTGTATGCCCCACTGACGGGCAACCCTAGGGCAAGACAAGATCCGCTTGCACAAGCCAGCCATGAGGAAGTTCTTTCAAGGGGTAAAATGGTGCATGTTGCAAATATATATGCAATGAGATACTCCGCGGAGGAATGAGGGGAATGTCTCTTATCGCACATGCCTCTCGGCGGGCTCCGTGCTGAGTCATGATATCATATCTTCACCCGCGGAAGAATAATTGGTCATGGAGGCACGACATCAGCCATTTAGTTAGTTAACTAACTAATCTATAGTCGCTAACAACTTCTGTACCCTCTTCACCAGGCTCTTTTCGAACTGCTCCACCCCATTCTTCTGTTCGTTCATCTTGCCTTGTTTAATCACATAGACCGACCGGCGCCTTGGCGTTTCTTCGGTCTCTTCCTCCTCCAGCCCTTCGAAATCTTCATCAAGCTTATGCTCGGTATCTCGCTTGCCCTCAATTACCGACCGAACAAGGAAACGATCGTGTGAAATTAGTAGCACGGCGCCATTGAAGGAGGAGAGAGCCGTAGCTAATGCAGTGACAGTGTGGAAATCCAAATGCGTGGTGATTTCATCAAGAATCAGAAGTTGTGGTGCACTCCAGACGATTCGAGCTAATGCAAGGCGGACCTAAATTGACGATATTATTAGTAGCTTGCTTTAATGTTCCACATTGTTTCACATACCAGTTGTCCGCCTGACAGCTTGGCCACAGGGACATCAGATGCAATACGACCCGCTAACCCCATTGAAGAAAGTAGACCTCTGATAGCGCCCTCGTTCAGCGATCCTTCAGTCTCAATTGTCAACAAGCCCAGCGCAGTTAAGCTAGGCTCGCCTCGGCCACGTTCTTGCAGCTCTTCCACGGAGTGTTGGCTATAGTAGCCCACTTTCAACCGGGAGTGAGTCGACACCTTGCCCTTGGAAGGAGACACCTGTCCCGTCAAAATACGGAGCAGCGTTGTTTTCCCCGATCCATTGAGACCCATAATTCCGACACGATCACCCAGGTGAACAACCAAGTTCACGTCATCCAGGATGACGCGGTCGGTTTTCTTGTACTGGAAGACAATACCCTCAAGCGATACCAGCGGCCCAGGGAACCGCAACTCCGTCGCATCGGGCAAGCTCATAGTCGCGCCCTTTTCATCTGTCGGAACGTCGATCTCAGCCCGATTGTGGAGATGCCATCCGACTAGATCACGGTTCAGCTTGAAACGTCCCCCGTTTGCGCTGACTTGAAGACCCATCCGGTCATCGACCTTTTTCTGCCGTGACTTAGCTTGTCGCAGCTTATTTTCGTCATTGGTCTTCTTTCCAATTTTCATATTCTCCCGGATACTAGCTTCCATATGCGCAACCTGCCGTTCTTGGGCCTCCTTCATGCGCCCTAGGTAGAGCTTCTGTTCCTCGAAATCTTGCTCGTATGCAGACAGGTTCCCTCGGAAATAAGTCAATTTCTGATCTCGCAGAATGACAATCTCCTCGCAGACAGCATTGATGAAATCTCTGTCGTGTGAAACCAAGACGATGGTTGTTTCTGATGTGTCGCGGAGTTGTTTCAGGTAATTCTCTAGCCACACTACTCCTAGCAGATCGAGGAAGTTGGTCGGCTCATCTAGGATCATGATGTCGGGGTCTTGGACCAGAACGCTGGCTAGCATACATCGCATACGCCAGCCACCTGAGAGCGTAGAGACTTTCTTCTCGAATCCGTCTTCTTTAAAGCCGAGACCAAGAAGAACGCGACGGGCTTGTTGCTTCATATCAGCAAGTTTCATCTTGTTTCATGTTAGCGGAGCAGGTGAATGGTCATCCTACGAAGACTTACGTCTTCGATTTGAGACTGTAAATTTTGTAGTGTCTCAACGGCAGCTTGGGTATCCGACTGGACTGTCTCCGCATCGATAGCGGCTACATCCTGGGCCAACCTGGCAGAAGTTAGATATAGTCTCTAGCGCGAATTAATGCAACTTACATCTCCGATGCAGCCTCGAGCTTCCCCTCGGCAGCCTTCAGGTCTTTTCTTGCTTGTAGACCTCGAGCACCGCTTTTCAGGCTTGCGTTCTTGTGAGCCAGGAAGAGATGCTTTTCTGCTTTCTGGTGCCGGATTTTACGGATCGCCCGCACGGGCTGCATTGGATCTTCAGTCTCAAAACTTTTCGACAGAACTTGTCAAGTTAGTCAAGTACAACCCCCAATTGAATAGGCATACTGACATTCTGTCATCCGAACAGCCTCGTTCCTACTTTCATCGCTGCTGAGAACGGCTTCCAAAACAGTTTTGTCCTGATTAGGGTCTTCGCCGAATGTAACGTCATCCTGCTGGTCTGTTTGCTGCAAAATAGCCATGCGAGTCGCATGCGGGATGCCAGGAATGAGTTTCTCGGCCATTGCCCGGAGCAGCGCTGGTATCATCAGTATACTGAGATTTGTAGACAGTACTTGCGGGGCTCTGTCTCACTTGACTTTCCAGTTCCGTTGCGACCTAGTAACCCATAGTGAACGCCTGCCTTGAGTCGTAGGTGCGCGTCTGATATGAGCTCTCTCCCCGCAGCCTTGGCCCTTGATTTTCCTTTGGTCTTTGGCTTTGAGGCATCTTCCGTGGATTCAGGTGCAGATGATGTGACTATGATGTTAAGTCCCTCCACATCGATCTGTCAACAGAACATATTTGAACGTTAATGGGCATCTAGATCATTGTTGTGGCTACCCATACCTCCTGCGAAGGATTATCATCTAGCAGATGAAACCGTGTCTGCTTGCACGTAGCCAGAATTGTCGGGGCCGATGTCATAGCTTCAGCAGGTTGGAGTTCTTGGTATTTGAGTGGTTTTCGCGAGGTCCAAGTGTTGGATATCTGAAGTAGTTGCCGAAGTTCGGGCGGGGGTTCATATAAGATAACTACATGTATGGAGTAGCAATGGCATCCACGCTCAAGCCCCTTTGCAGAATCAAAATGCGCCACTATGATCACATTGAACTTCTCATTTATCGAGTCATCGAATCGAATACGAACAAATCTGATGCTACTTGACAGCCATTATGGGGTCGGGGACCGAAAGAGGAATGAATCGGTGCCTAAGGCAATTTATATTCCTTGGCGTCGCTCTTTGCATCGTTGTGCTCGTATCTTGCTATGAGTTATTCACTAAATTATAGGAGGTCGTACGTATATGTACCTATGTCTACAGGTCTCACTGGAGGTGATAGTCCTTAGATTCTGTGCGTTGTTATGGTAACCAAACTAGAAACTAGAAATATATATTGGGGAACAACAGTACAACATAAGAAATCTAAAAGAGTTGAATGAAAGTCGATGGAGAGATTTTTCTTTCTCTTCAATCTGTAAATATCTAACAAGACATAGCCCTTAATTTTCTAGATATAAATTATAGAGAGGATGCAGTACGTCTAATAGACGCCGGGAACTAAATCGTCGAGGGCTAACCCTACGGTATCTCGCCCAAATGCCAGTAACACGAAAAGTATAAGTCCACAACGACACGTAAATGTGCTCAATTCCGCTTCATATTTCTGCTCCATATCACAGAAGACCGGGTAAGACTAGGTCAAGTTCTCAATACCCAAACAAACAAAGTCCAGACTGATCGATCAAGATCTCCAGTCGAGCATCGGAGTTGCAACACAACCAAATTCTACTCATTGTCCACAATAAGCTGTACTAGATCTAGACCTTAATTTCTGCATCTCCACCAAATCGTTCAACAGTCTCGAACAAACTCAGACTCATTTCAAATCTGAGCGGGTCTGGAATGAGTCGTCAGACAACCAGAAAATGGAGCCGTTGGCAGGGTACACAGTGTAGGGTCTTGAGGGTTGAAGGGCCGGGAGATCAGGGTGTAGAAGGCGTCAGACAACCAGACAATGGGTAGAAGGAAGAGAAATAGTCTAGACCGTGATTGCATTAGCGGAGGTAGCATACGTGTGTACCCGAACCATGCCACGAGAATCAATCATATGAACGGTCAGGCAAATATCATGTTGGCAAGGGAGTAATTGCCGGATGTGGAGGTAGATCGAGCCAATGGCCTAGATCCACTGCCCGAGACTCAAAACAGTTTGATGAAGGATCCGCACAAAGAGGCGTTCCTGCAGAGACTTCAAAAATTGTAAATACTTACTAGTTTGACTCAAAAATCAGTGATCACCGTTTATGTATCGGCATGATCGACCCTAGTGAAATGCCGTACGGAGTGCAGAAAATTTTCAATATCTATTTTTAATAAGGAACAAGCTACTGCTAGTGGCTGTTCAGGCACGGAGGCGCATAACTAGCTCAGCCTCTTTGCACGCGGTCACTCTAAGCGGCTGGATCAATGGTAATCTGAAACAGCCCTACCTATGTCGTGTGTAGTACGGAGTGCCATAGATCGAGATGACCTCTGTTCACCACCAGAGCGGGCTGCCGAAGAGTCGAGGCCCAGGGGAAAGTTGATTCTTGGGTAGGATAAAACAAAAAGGGGCAATAACGAGCTATTCCACGGTGTGTTGTTTCGCCTGGTTAAGGTTCAGGGGCAATCCAAAGAGGCAACTTGATAGAAACCTTGGAAATGGAAGAATATTCTACGGAGTCAACCTCGGAATTCGTGGATAATAATTTATGAGCAGGGCCTCGGGCATCCTTCGGGGATCGACAGGCAGAGATTTAGTGTTTAATAGAGTCGGACAAGCTAGCCCGATTAGGAACAGCTCCTCTCCTCACGTGCACGGATCACCGAGCTTGATGGCCGTTCGATCTCCTTTAGGACCTTTTGGCCGACCCGCTCCGACTCTAGAAAGCTTATTGTGATTCTCAAACGGGGCAGGAGAGGGCCGGACTCCCACTTTACGTCTTTGACTGGCTCACACCGGTCTAGCCGGCACTTAGGGCTCGGCTCAATTGGCCGTGTATGTTCCGGCGAGACGCCAGCGTACGTACATCCTGGGTTTGAAACAAGGGATTCTTGTCAATACATGGGAATATGGAAGGCGCACCCTGGATCATAATCTGCGCATATGGATACATCTCCGTACAACATCAGTATTATTATGGGTCAGGGGTCATGTACTCTGGATATTGTGTGTTGTACAAAGTGTACAAAGTGTACAAAGTATTCTTTCTGTACATATTTTCCAGAGTGAGCCCACCGCTTGGCGCACCCGGTGCCACTCGAAATAATCGGCTCAGCCCCGAACGCCGCTAGCTGTGATAGTCACCGTTAGTCTGAACAAGCCTAGTAGGTTTTTGTCTTTGAAGATCGAAGTTTCAGGACCTAAAAATACTGTATGCTCGCGCATCTCTAGCTGATCCAAAACAACATGAAGTCAACAGGAATGTATAGTTTACTAAAGCGGACAATCTTCGATAAACAGCCCATGGCATAGCCACCTGCGTCATGACAGGGACAAAAAGGTACAGTTACAATACCATACGCTGTAGTAACTCCGAGCTTGGCAAGTTTCGCCCGACGGCCAATGGGATCGGATGGTTCCTGCCCTGAGATTGGCCCACCTGGAAGGTTTGACCGGCAAAAGAATTAACAGGGGGTTACTGTGACTATTGAATGTCTAGTAGGCTATCAAATAGGGCGCAAAATACAGTCTTTCAAGCAATTGATTGCTCATTAGTAGATAGTAGCTGAAGTATACATCTGTATGTTACATATAGATCTGAAAATAGTGAAAACATTCCCGGGATACGGTACGGTAAACAAACCCCGTCAAGTGGCAATTGGGCCAATCACGGGGCTGCATTCCTGAGGCCCCCGCTTACTAAGAAAGGACGCGCAAGCCCCTGTTGCTATTCCGGAACACTTTTGTCCCTTTTCCCCATTTCACTCCCAGGTTCACTATCCATCTAGATCCAAATCCATATTTCTTTAGACCTTCGTTTTTCGGATCCTCTTTATCTTTATATTCTCCCTCTTTTTTATCTTTCGTTCAACCTATCTCAGTTATACCCCCCTATACCCCATATCTCACCCCATATCTCACGCCTTATTTACGCCTACCCCCCCCCTACACACACGAGGACACTTATCTAGATCACCATGGCGACTCTCGCAGACCATCCTATGCAACCAGTGGCCAACTACGACCAGGATCTCGACTCATTCATCAACTTTGATCAACTCACCTACACATCTGATCCCTCTCGCTCCAAGGTTATGGTCAGCCAACCATCGGTCGCAAGTACAGAGTTCAGCGCCAGTGACGCCCGCAGTGCCAGCTTTGCCTCAAGTGGCCAGTCTCCTCTAGCATACCAGGCCCCAAGCCACCAATACGACGAACACAGACAACAGACTGGTCTCCCACCAGGTGCTTTGTCCATGTCTTACAGCCAGGTCCCGATGGGTTTCAACAACGGTCAAGTATTTCCCGTGAACGCTGAAGTGTATGCTGGTCATCACATGAAGCGCGAGGACGCACAATTTGACTTCAACACCGCACCGGGCCGGAACCCATCGGAGATGGAGATTGATCCCGAAACCATGAATCCTTCGCCATACTTCTACCCCGCAAACCCTGGCACCAAGAGCCAATATGTCGATCCCAACGCTCTCGGAGGCCATGAGCTGGCTCAGGCTGGTCCGTCCACACAAGTCGGTCGCATGTACCCTGGCATGCATCAGCAGCAGGCTGCGATGGCCAAGGCACAGCAACAAAAGCAAATTGAGATGGTCCGTCCTCAGATACAGCAGCGTCCGGATCAAGTGGGCCATGCTATTTCTCAGGTCCGCGGTCCCCGTAACCCCGACCCCGTCGTCGAGGAGCGTATCTCTCGTCTACTTCAACAGATGCGACAGAATGCCATGGCCAATGGCGAGGGCTCCCCCAGCCCTTCCAATGGTATGCCGCAGATGGCCAAGGCCCGGAAGGATGAGGCCGATATGGATGAAGACGAGCGTCTTCTCGCTAGCGAAGAGGGCAAAAAGCTCAGCAGCAAGGAGCGCCGCCAGTTGCGGAACAAGGTTTCCGCTCGCGCTTTCCGATCTCGCCGCAAGGGTATGACTATCTGAACACTCGAATACGTATGTGATGTTCTTTTTGCTAACACATCTCCAGAATACATTGGTCAGCTCGAAAGTGAGGTGGCCGCTAGAACCAACGAGGCGCACGAAATTCGCCTCCAGAACCGCGCTCTTTACGAAGAAAATGCCCGCCTGAACGACTTGGCCCGCATGCTCCTGGGATCTCCCCATTTCTCCAACTTCCTGAACGACATGGGTGACACCCTGCCCGCTCAACCTCAACAGCAATCTCAACAACCCCAGCAACAGCAACAAGTTCAGCAGGCTGCACCCAACATGCAGGCTATGCCTAAGGACTCGAACGCCAACCGTGGTCAAGAGTTCCAGATGCAGCAGAACCCCCAGCCCAACATGGTCATGGTTTCAAACCAGGGTATGGACCACTCCAGCATGGGCATGAACAACGCCGGCTGGAACTCAGGAATCGACATGAACTACGGTAACACTCCCGTATTTGCTGTCATGGAGGTTCCCGAGGGCCCGGCCCTCGATGTCGAAGCTCTGTCCGGAAAATCCTCTTCTTCCTTCAGCCTCCCCGAGAGCTCTAAGAATGAAGCTCCTGTTGTCGAGCGTTCTGCTAGCGACTCATTCAGCCAGTCTGACATTGGTGTTGTCAACCCTGATGTTGAGATTGATGAGTCCGATCCTGCCTTTGCTCTCTTTGTTGATTCTCCTGCGCCCGCTGCCGACCTCACATTCGAGGGTGTTTCGACCGAGAAGAATGCTCAGTTCCAACTCGTCATTGACAGCTCTGAAGTCAGCGATTCGGCCAAGAGAACCTTCAACGCCCTTTGCAACAGCATTGACGCTGCCTTCGAGCGTGTCTCAGCTGTTACGTCCCACCTTCAGTGATTCCCCATTAGCGTCCTGCCTTTTCGGCCTTCTTTTCTTTGTATATGTGAGCCCTATTCTCTTTCTCGCCATTGTCATTGCCTTGTGACTATACACCTACGGTGAAACCTCCTGCCATATTTTGCGAATCATGGGAGGGAGTTTTTATTTCCTTTGTCTGTCCTGGGGGAGTTTCAAGGCGCCTGTCTCTTACTATATCGTGTATCTCCCACGAGGGACCTTCTTGATGGAATTTTGGAGCTTACTTTACTGGCGTATCTAAAGAATTTGTGGAGTAAAAGCCCAACTCTTGATATTTACGGCCATATGATTGTCTTGTTTATTGCATAGCCTGTATACTTGTAGTAGTTTAGCCAAATAGAATGCGTGTCACTTTGTCAAAATGGTATGCGTTGGAAGTTCCAACCCGGTACATAACTAGAACATGTAAATTGAATATCAGGTACTTGTTTAATAGCACAAGTATTTCTTAAATGCGCATCTACACTTAAATCTAGCTGAGCTATCTGTTGTGCTATTTATTTGAAGAACAACTCCATGGCGGTCCAGATGGATTTTCTGCCCGGCCATGCGAAAAATTGACCGTCACTTTTTTCTCTAAACGTTGGAATCCACCAATTTCCTACTCCTTGACATCACTACACATGCGCGCCTTTTATCATAAATTTCTATTTCGATACCCCTCATTCTAGCCAAGTTGGCTTCCTCTTGCGTGCGCGGTGTCCTGTCAACCGCGACCACTCGCGCAGTCGCCTGGCGCGCATTCTCTCGAACCTCAATTTCGCCATTCACCCTACGATCGTATCGCAGCGCCAGAAGCCGTGACTCACCAAAACCCGGTGACTCAAAGCCGAGCTCCAGTAGCCCCATCCCTTTCCCTAAATCATTGGAGCAATTAGCGGAAAAAAAGAAATTGCAAGAGCAAGCCTTGCCGCTTCGGATCAGACAACCTGCAATCAAAGAGAACGCATACTTTCTTCAAGCCCCGGCCTTGAACAGACGACGGCCCGATAACGACGACTACTTGATTTGTGAACCATCCAAACTCGAACTCGTTCCATTGCCTATACCGGTAGAAGGAATTGCCCCGATGAAATTCTTCTACCAGGTCATCACGACCCCAACGGCCGATACCCCCGGCACGGCCGTTTGCCTCAACTTCCCAGACAAGCGATACTTCTTCGGCCAGGTATCAGAAGGCACACAGCGTGCATGCACAGAGCGCGGGATCAAGCTATCTCTTCTCACCGATGTCTTTGTCACTGGACGGACGGAATGGGCCAACACAGGCGGTTTGATTGGGATTGTTCTGACCCTTGCTGATACGGTGGCATCTTCCATGGCGGCTATTGAGGACGAACAAAGAAAGAAGGCTGCCCGCAGGGCGGAACGGGAGGCCGAAGAAAATACAAAATCTAAGCCCCGTGCACCCCAAAATGGTAGGACCCCTGCCCCTGCCCTTGTGGAGCGGGACGGCGAGACGGTCTCGCAGCGAGGTAACCTCACCATTCATGGTGCTGCAAATCTTACACATACACTGGCTACGTCTCGACGGTTTGTTTTCCGAAAGGGCATGCCGGTGTATTTGAAAGAATATGACTCGGAAACCCTCGCTAAGCAAATGCCTATCGGCGCCGAGGATCCCTTTGAGAAGCCATCATGGTCCGACAGTAACATCAAAGTCTGGGCTCTGCCTATTAAACCTCACCCATCGGCGCGTTCTCCAGTTACGCAGCCGTTGTCACAGAGTCCACGAAAGCGGAGCTTGGACGAGTTCCAGGAATCTGAACAGACCGGAGATCATATGGACCAACGTACTAAGAACTTGATGGTGACGCAGTCTATTGTGCAGGATATGTTTAACTCAACGTGGAAGATGGATGCCCTCCATGAAACCCCATTGGCTGAGGTCAAGATGCCGGCCGCCATATTCATTCGCAACCCAGAAACCAAGGACCTTGAACAATACAAAGGTCCGGTGCCGGGTGGCTCAGATGAGCTGCCAGACATCAAGGTGCTCGTTCGAAAGCCCTGGCCCGGTGCTACTATCGAGAGTCTCCCAACCACTTCTCCCTCGAAAGAGGCTGTCTGCTATATCGTGCGAAACCACGATATCCGCGGAAAGTTCGACCCGAAGAAGGCCCGAGAATTGAACGTTGAGAAGGGTTCTAAGTACGCGGCTTTGACGAAGGGCGAGAGCGTTCAATCCCTAGATGGCAAGACTATCACTCCAGATATGGTCTTGGGACAGACGCGAGCAGGAAAAGGCGTTGCCATCATGGAATTGCCATCGTCTGATTACGTCGAGGACCTGGTAAACCGGCCCGAATGGAAGTCACCAGCCGTGACGACCGAGTTGCAGGCCTTCATCTGGATTCTTGGACCAGGCGTGGCTGAGAATCCTAAATTCCAGGAATTCGTTGCCAGCATGTCCCACTGCAAGCACACCGTGTCGAGCACAGACCACTGCCCGAACTACCTGGCATTGACCTGCTCTGCTAGCTCGACTGTTCGCCTCGCCCGTCTGAAAAGCGATAGCTATGCGGTTCCTGTTCACGACAATGTGACCCTTCCCCAACCGGGCTCACCTAATGCCAATTCACAATCTGCAATTGCTGCTCGCCAGAATTCTCCACTGCAGCCTCTTGTACCCGGATTCATCATCAACATGGAGCCCAATTTCGGGTTCAACAGTGAGGATGTGATGACCCGCTTCAACCCAGCGAATGTATTGAATAGCATCCCGCGTTCTGTTACACAAAGAATGGAAGTCATTAGCAGCCGCGTGGCTAAACCTGCTTTCCAGAAAAAGTTGCACGAGCAACGGACACAATGGCCTGGAGCGGATGCAGAAATCATCGCCCTGGGTACTGGTTCTTCTGTTCCATCTAAATACCGAAATGTCTCTGCCACACTGCTAAAGGTGCCTGGATATGGCTACTATCTGCTTGACTGTGGTGAGAATACTCTTGGTCAACTGAAGCGAGTTTTCGAGCCCGAAGAACTTCGTGAAGTGCTTCAGAACCTGCGAATGATTTGGATCAGCCACTTGCACGCTGATCACCACCTAGGAACGGTCTCTGTGATCAAGGCCTGGCACGCAGAGAACTTCAAGGATGGATTTGGCTCGGCTGCTAGACGTGAAAACGACATAGCCAAGATCCTCCAGGAGAAACGGCTGGCACTTGTGTCTGATGATGCAATGATATCCTGGTTGGAAGAATACTCACAGGTCGAGAACTTCGGGTTCGACAAGTTGCTTACTCTTTCCGCGCATCCCGAAGTACAAGGTTCTAAAATCACCACCGAGTTCTCACACCAACTACCTAATCGTCATCGTCTTCATGTTGATTTCACGGACGAATCCTCCCCCATCACTCCTCTTCTCAAGTCTGCCACCGGCCTTGCAGACATACTCACTTGCCGTGTCAAACACTGCAAGGGTGCGCTCGCCGTCTCCCTTGTCTTCTCAAATGGATTCAAGGTTTCCTACTCCGGTGACTGCAGGCCATCAGATAAATTTGCCGCCATTGGACAGGGTTCGACCGTGCTTATCCATGAGGCCACCTTCCAACCCGACATGGTCGGATCGGCTAGGGCCAAACGGCACTCGACCTCCTCCGAGGCAATCGAAATTGGCCGCCGCATGCAAGCGCGCGCTGTCCTGCTCACTCATTTCAGCCAACGCTACCAGAAGATAGCGTTTGTAGAGAAGCAAAATCCAGGCAAATTCCCGAATAACCGGGATGCAGCTGCAAAGGAGCCCGCAGATGCGGATATCCCATTCGACGACCCCCAGGATGAATCAGCGGGCAACGACGCCCCAATGTCCGACGACATCAACATGACGACATCAAGCCAAAGGCTCGGCGTCTATACCGGCCCCGTCGCGGGAGCGATGGACTTCATGCGTATCAAGGTCGGGGACTTCGCCCTTGCGCAAGCATATGCGCCAGCGTTGGAGAAGCTGGTCGAGCTCTTGGAGCGAGCGGCGAACGAGGAATCCGAGCGCGTGAAACTGATGCGCCAGGAAGAGGAGAATGCCCGCAAGGCGAAGAATAATAAGAAGTTGGCTAAGCAAATGGCTACTGCTACGGCTGCGGCAGCTGCGGCTGCATTGACTGAGACTAGCGATGTCCCGGCGGTGCCCACTCGATCTGTCTGGAGTGCCAGTGAAAGCGAGGAGGGGTGGGAGACGAGTGACCACGAGGAATGTTGTTCCTAAATGTACTTTTATACCATGTCAAATATGCATAGCTTGGAAGAGTTTTCTTCTTTTCTTCACCTCGGAGATTACTAGTCCGAGGCGAGTACGCTTCGGCGAACTTGCCGAGATGCGGAGACCATATGTCGGGTCTTATATCCTTAGGAGCTTGCCAGCTTTTCCTAGCCTTCCCCATGTTTAGAGGCTGATGAATATAATTAGAATAAATCTCCGCACTTAATGCTTCTATTTTCTATTTAATAAATGCACAGAGTATAATTCAATGAACGTCAACATGGATGGCTTATCGGTATAGCCTACTCCAACAGCTGCTCCCTCACCGCCTTCATTGGGGGCCGTTTATTTCCTGACTTAAATTTATTTTATAGATTCTTAGATCTCTCTGGATATCTCTCTTCCACTTGATTCGAGATGACCACCCTCATTCCTCGTGAGCCTTATACTCAGGATGAGCTCGCTCGCCTGTACCCACCAGCCCTGAAGCTGCAGCTGGTGCAAGTGGTACGTGTTTTGGTCCCCACATTGACAAACATAGCTAACTACTACAGTTCCTCCGTCATGGTGAGATATACATTTACAATGTTACCCCTGAGAGCATTTCTAACCGATCCTAGGTGAACGGACACCTGTCTCGTCTCGATTCTCAAACGTATGCCGCAATTGACTACCCCAAATCCGCTCTCCGACGGTCTCCGCTAACACTTCCCAAAGACAGGCCTAAGCCCATGTATGCTAATTTCCTAATACCGATATCGGCGGAGTACATGCTGACAGTTACCCCGACAAGACTGGCCATATTGTGGTGTCGCAAGACGCATGGTGCAGATGGCATCGAGCAGCAAAGACCTCTCGGAATGGAATGGGTTCCAATGGCGCCGGAAAATGGAGTCATTCGGCAGAAATGACCAGTCGGTGATTACTGCAGGACCGGGAGGACCCGTCGAAGCCATGTGGTAAGTTCCTGGAGCTATGATCTGTATGTGGAGTAAAGCTAAATTGTCCGATCTGAAGCTTGCACGGCGAGCTCACAGACAAGGGCCGTGAAACGACATATGCGCTCGGACAACGGCTGCGTCGTTTATACGTGGACCAGCTCGGGTTTATGCCTCAGATCAAGGCCGATTCCGAGGATATGTATCTGCGCGCCACGCCGATCCCCCGTGCGCTGGAGTCGCTCCAAGAGGCCTTTTGGGGAATGTACCCGGCTAGCGCGCGCACGCTTGACTTCCCACCGCCAGTGATTGTGGCCCGTCAGGTCAATGAGGAGACACTCTTCCCGAACGAGGGGAATTGTAGGCGATTCCGACAGCTGTCACGGCTGTTTGCTGACCGCGCGGCTACACGATGTATGGGTTTATCAGTGGGATATGAAGATAAGGATCACGGCTAATGATTTGAATGCAGGGAACGACTCGGAACAAATGGCGTACTTGAACAGCCTTTGGTCAAAGTATATGCCCGAAGAATCGCCTAAGGTTGCTGTCGATGCCCACCCTCGTCTTTCCGGAATCATGGATACCATCAACGCAACCGATGCCCATGGCCCGGCCACTAAGCTCCCATCCGAGTTCTACGACAAGAAGGCTCGTGCCGTCGTGGACCGCATTGCGGTTGAGGAGTGGTTTGCTGGCTACGGCGAGAGCAGCGAATACCGCAAACTGGGAATTGGTGCTCTCATGGGTGATGTGGTTGACCGCATGGTCAGCACCGCTGTGGAAGGTGGCTGGCGCAGTGAGTCCGCTGCGTCCGGGTCAGGCAAGGCGGAAACTGGCAAGGCTATCAAGTTTGCTATGAGCGGCTGCCACGACACCACCTTGGCAGCCATCCTGTCCAGTATTGGCGGATTCCAAAATCAGTCATGGCCTCCATTCACTTCCTCTGTTGCAGTCGAGCTCTTCTCCCAAGCGCCCAGCTCCGATTCCATCGCTGGCATCGTGCTCGAGGAGTTCTCCAACCCACCCGTCGCAAACAAGAAGCCTGGTATCCTTTCCCAGTTGCTCGGTAAGTCCGCACCGAAGCTACCCACCCCCTCCGATACTGCACGCGCACCTCTCGAATCCCTCCCCGAAAGCGCTCGCGAGTCTCTCCAGAAGCACTATGTCCGTATTCGCTACAATGACCAGCCCGTCCTTATCCCCGGCTGTGCTGCTAAGCCTGAGAACCACTTGCCTGGCGATGAGACATTCTGCACTTTGGACGCCTTCAAGGCAATTGTCGATAAGTTCACACCAAAGGATTGGCAAAGCGAGTGCATGGTGGACCTTGGCGCAGGACTCCACGGTCCAGACGATCGTCATAAGGCCCCGGCCGGCTTCTAGACATTCTATAGACTGTAGTTGCTGTTGTGTTTGATTACAGATATAATATTTTCCCGTGTATCTTATACTGTTCAATATGTTTGTGATAGAAAGGAAGTAGAGAGCCAGAGGCACAACATATCAGCTACCATATCAGCTGCTCTTCGCCTTGGCCCCCTGATCAGCTCTGATTGCCTTCAGCTTCATCGCAGCAATCTTCATCAACATCCAGCGCGGTAAATACTCAAACGACAAGCCCTGCAACCAATGCCAGAAATAGGCCCATACAATCTCTTGCCCACACCCAACCCGATCCAAGCCAGCAGCCGCCAGCACTCTCGCCTCAGGGACAAACAAGCTACTCTTCACATCATACCCAGCAGTTTTGACCTCGGCAACCCGCAGCCCCATAACCTCAACCTCCTTCCCTTCAGCGGCGAACTCCGCGCGCAGCGACTTCGTAAAGGAATCCACAAATCCCTTCGTAGAGCTATAAGCACTGATATACGGCAATCCAAACGCCGCAACAGAAGAAACATTCATAACAAGACCTGGCGCATTCTCTTCCAGCTGTTCCGCCAGCACACGGGTAATCTGAATAGCGAAGGTCGCATTCCGCGAAACGGTCGCCTGCACATCCTCAAAGGTATACTCCTTAAGGAGCGTAGATGGTCTCATCTCACCACCGACATTATTAATAAGAACGGTCAACTTGCCAGGGTCACCCGGGGAACCGATCGCCGCATTACTGCTATGAATGATCTCGCGCACCTCCGCGTCAACATCGTCAATATCGGGAGTCAGATTCTGCGCATCGCGCACGAGAACAGCAACAGAGACTGCGGGGAACAGCGCCTGTAGTTCGCGGCGGCGACGGTCGAGTTTCTCCACGTTCCGGCCGTGTAGGATGACGTTGAAGCCGCGCGCGCAGAGCTCCTGACTGAAGCCAAACCCTATTCCGTCTGTGGCGCCGGTGACGAGGGCCCAGTTTGCTTTTGTGGAGTTGTAGCGTTTGCAGAGCGTGCTGGGGAGGAGGAAGTTTGTTGCTTGGCGGGTTAGGGAGAAGGCGGCTTTTCCTAGGGTGAAGAGGCCTAGGTAGGCTAGGGGTTTGGTGTAGATTCCCAGGTCGGTCATTTTGGAGAGGAGGAATAGAGATAATGAATGTTATTTTCCATTCTGTCGGTGTGACTCTCCTTTTATACGTTCTTCGACGTCAATTTCGCATTCTCAGATCGGCGATTTGGCTGTTATCGGCCCGCGCATTGAGCCGATCGCCGATTTCGATTTGGAGAAGGTTGGAGATCTGAGTGTGTTATATCTGAAGCATTAATTGATATTAAGAATCATATGGGGGAAGAACATTCAAGCTTTATACTGTCAATATCCTTTTATTTGGGCTAGTTAGAGATTCAAATATGTCGTTCTAGCTCTATCCTAGTTAGCTCGTTTAGCCCTACTCCGTACATCCACCATCGATAGTTCAAAACGAGCACTCAGCCCAGAAACCAGCAAAAGACCAATCACAGATGCCCTAATACTGTCTTTTCAAAACGAATCTCGTCAAATGGGGACCGTGAAAGTCAGCGGCGCCAGCCAGGTACCTTGCGGGCGATTTATGCTGGCCACTTAAAACACAGCAATTATCATCGCCATTTGAAATCATACGCTTCATTGGTTGAGAGATAGCTCCACTGGTATACTTCAACCTTGGAGGACATGTATTGACAATTGTACGACATCGAAAATGCAACCGACAGTGGGAGAGGGTGAGGAACTTGGAGACGGTGCCGTGGGAAAGGAGATGCTATATAATGTGATACCATAGAACTTCCAGAGACTCAGTTGATTTTTCCTTCTCTTTCTTCTTTCTTGCTTTGTATACATAGCCATAAAAGTCACTCACCTTCACGATGGTCATCAATTCTGGAACAGACTCGGTCTCCTACAATGTCCCAGCTCCGCTGGAGGAAAAGCCGAAGACACGGCAGATGCCCGTGACCTTGCTTTCGGGATTCCTGGTATGAAACAGCAGTTGTATGAACGTTGACTCATGTCCATGGACACTGACATCCATGTGTAGGGAAGCGGCAAGACGACACTCCTCAAACACATCCTCAAGTCTCCTGACCATGGGTTAAGGATCGCTGTCATCGTCAACGACATGAGCCAGTGAGTTCCACATCGAACGAAGAATATAGGATGCAAGCTAATTGCTTCGTTCCATTAGGCTGAACATCGACGCTACCCTCATCCAAAACCACAAAGTCTCACAAACCACCGAGAAGCTTATTCGACTTCAAAACGGATGCATCTGTTGCACTCTGCGGGGAGACTTGCTGGCTGAACTGGCAGCTCTGACCAAGCGAAATGAGGTTGACTATGTCATCATTGAGTCGACTGGTATTAGCGAGCCTATGCAAGTGGCTGAGACTTTCACGTCGGAGTTTAGCTCGGCCATGTTGGAAGCTGAAGATCAGATTGCGAATGATGATGAGGAAGCAAGAAAGATCCTGGATGAAATGTATTGTTTCTTCACCACATCTCCGCTTATGATGGGCTTGCTGACATGTTTTGACAACATAGTGTGAACCTAGGTGGCTTGCACACAATGGCTCGGTTAGACACTACCGTCACTGTTATTGATGCCTTCAACTTGCTTTCCAGCTTCGACACAGCAGAGTTCCTATCTGACCGCTATGGGAGGGAAGAGATTGTCCCCGAGGATGAGCGCACTATATCTGATCTGATGGTGGATCAAATTGAGTTCGCCGATGTGTTGATTCTCAATAAGGTCGAGACAGTTGACCAAGCAACCCGCGATAAGCTCATGCATTTGCTCAAGCTGCTGAACCCAGTCGCAAAGATCCTCGAGTCAAACTACTCCCAAATAGATGTCCGGGAAATTATCAACACAAACAAATTTGATTTCGTCCGTGCTGCTTCTGGTCCTGGGTGGCTGCAGAGTCTGCACGAAATGACGATACAGACAACAGGCAATGGTGAGCGGTTGGCACCAAAGCCAGAGACCTTGGAGTAAGTTTGTCAGTTCTTTATTCATGAATCATTTACTGATCGATTACAGGTACGGTATCAACAACTTCGTCTACACTGCCCGTCGACCCTTCCATTCACGCCGCCTCTTTGCTCTTCTTCATGACAAGTTCATCATTCTCCAGAACAATGAAGTCGAAGAAGAAGAAGGCGACGAGGAAGACGGGGAGGAAGACGAAGAAGAAGAGGAAGAAGATGCAATGGATACAGACTCCGACTCCGGGTCAGTGGAAGACTTTGACCAGCCTGATCCAGCGGTCATTATGAGCAATAAGCGTAACCACCCGGCCTTTGGTCCAGTTCTCCGCTCCAAGGGCTTCTTCTGGCTCACAACCAGACCCTGGCAATTTGGAGAATGGAGCCAAGCAGGTGGTATGCTGACTCTTGGATGCGGTGGGCCTTGGTTTGCTGAACTCCCCGATGAGGCTTGGCCAGAAGACAAGGATGTGCGGGAATCCATCCAAAATGATTTCCAAGGTGCCTGGGGCGACCGTCGCCAGGAAATAGTGTTCATTGGTGAAGGTATTGACACTGGCAAGATCACTGCTCTGCTGGATGAGTGTCTTCTAGATGATAAAGATATGAAGAAGTGGGAGAAGGTGATGAAGAACAAGAAAATGAGCAGAGACGAGAAAACAGATAAGTTAGCAAAGATGTGGGAAGATGGTTGGGAGGAATGGCCTGCATTTGAGGTCGAGGAAGAGGAAGAGGAAGAAGAAGAGCAGGAGCCGGAGCAGGGCAAGCATCGTATCAGCGAGTATCTGGGTCAGAAAAAAGGGACTAAACATGCTCATGGACACAACCACCGGATGGTTGCCGCATGATGTCGAGGTTGATGATTGTTGATGATAAAAAAAGTGATTTCTGTTCAATTCTATCAATGTATTTAAGCATAAAATATCATGTCGAAGAAGCCCATCATTTTTAGCCTTGACCAAGCGTAATAAATGAGGTTAGAGGCGTGTACTCTGTACCTTTCTTTGACAGTTATGAAGTTGATTGTGGCATGTGGCAGAATAGTAAAGGCGGTCTGTGACAGATTAGAACTGATAAGATAGAAGCTCAGAGATAACGATCCGTCTTGAATGTCGGTTCTGCTCTTCCTCTTCCCCCATCTCTTCCTTAACACAATCTCATGAGTACTCCTTTGAATCAATTCAAGCCTTACATTTTCCAAAATAAACTCTTTTAGCTCCCCTACCGCGCTGGTTTGAGTGTTGCACGTCGGTGCCAGATCGCGCTACGCCTTGCCTCGGAGCTCCGAGCTACTCCAACCCCCGCACTCCTCAAACGGCATAACGGTTACTCGACGATTGCTCCAGCCGACCCTCCCGCCGTGAATTGAATTTCCCAACCTTGGGAAGATGATACAGGTCTGACTGCAGATATCCGACTCCGTACCACCATCCCAGTCAATAACTGGGATCCTTGCGGCATTCCCAGGCGAGATTCGCACATGCAGATGTCAACAGTCGGTCTTTGCCTTAAATTGAGCTCGACTAGTCCCTTTTACCATTCTTCTTTGTGATCACGGAGGAGATTTGACCTTGTGTTGGTCTAATTATCCCTGCACAATACAAATAAATTGCGCCGTAAGTACACCCAATCAATTCTGAATGCATATCCCAGATTCTAACATACCATATCCAGATATCTGTCTTCAATGGAGGTAAGAAACTCTTTCCCCCAAAGCACATCCCCTCGCACCATATTCCCTATAATACATCGAACCCCGGCTAGGTCATCCGGCGAAGCTCGGCTAGTTACCGCGTCCCGCTGCATCCATGCACGGGCCGTTGTGAGACAGCTGCTTGGTCCCGGACCCTTGGGCTATTTCCGGAAGAATCACTAGAGACCTGTCTAGGCGGCCAAATGTGCCCTGAAAAAGGCAAGGCACGGATTTCCAAATTTGGAGCGTCTGTCACGGTTCCTGTTATAATGGGCCCGTTGCAAGATAGTCCCATTTTGTCTCCGTCCTCAGCCTCGGGCTTTTCCTTGTTATTCCAAGGATACTAGCCTGGTTGGGTTCGCTGACTGCCCAATGCCCTTTTCCTTTCCAACATGTGATGCGTTGATTTATTCCACCCTGCCCCTAATCATGAATCTCCCGTCCCTATAACCATAAGCTTTCTCTTGCTTCCCCATTCTCCCAAAATGTATACCCCTTTTGTTTGATTAAATGTCCGACTCACCGGCAGCCCGCGTGAGCCGGCCTCATGGTCCTTTTATAGGACGTGAGCTCAATTTTTGGAAGCGACGGCGTGAAATTCCATTGCCCAAGACTGAAGCTGAGCTAAGCCTTCTGGATATTTTACAGGGAAGCAGACAAGTGGCTGCGCCAACTCAGGCCAAATCGGCCTCTGTGCCTAATACCAAAGGCCCTGATGTTAAACCTCGTCTTCTTCTAATGGGACTCCGACGGCAAGTCTTCTCTGCTAGCCCTCGCACAACTGAGATACTAACTGTGTACTAGGAGTGGTAAGTCATCTATTGCTAGTGTGGTATTCCATAAGATGCCGCCAAATGAGACACTCTTCTTGGAGTCGACTACCCGGATTCAGAAGGACTCGATCCAGTAAGTTCGAAAGAATAGACGTGCTTGATGCGCTTTCCGCTGACCTGGAGTTTGCAGCTCTTTCATGGACTTCCAAGTCTGGGATTTCCCAGGTCAGCTCGAATACTTTGAGTCCGCTTTTGACCTCGAAGATATCTTCGGCAGTCTGGGCGCCCTGGTTTGGGTGATCGACGCACAAGATGACTACCTGGACTCAGTGGCACGGCTCAACCGAACCATATTGACCGTTCAGCAGTTCTATCCCGGGATCAACATCGAGGTCTTCATACACAAGGTCGATGGACTGTCAGACGAGTACCGCACCGACACGTTCCAGGACATTGTGCAGCGCATCTCCGATGAGCTCAGTGACGCTGGATACGAGAATGCGCCCGTGCACTACTACCTGACCTCTATCTACGATTACTCAGTCTTCGAAGCCTTCAGCAAAGTGATCCAGAAGCTGATCCCCAACTTATCTACACTTGAGAACCTCATCAACACCCTCGCCAACAATTGTGGGTTTGAAAAGACATACCTCTTCGATGTTCTGAGTAAGATTTATATCGCCTCCGACACTCGACCTGTTGACATGGCTTGCTATGAGATGTGCTCTGATTATATTGACGTGATTGTCGACATCTCAGAGTTGTACTCTTGGGATCACCCAGTTCGTAAACGATTGGGCGACCAGATCCAAGAAGCAGAAAGCCATGTGGTGTTGCATGATCAGACTATGATCCATTTGATGGAGATGAACAAGTATGTCTCTCAAAGTGTATCTTTATTGTCTATACTGACTTGATTCTACAGATACCTCTGTCTAGTCTCGGTGATTCGCAATCCCGAAGCCAAGGACAAGCGAGGTCTGATTGACATGAACTGCCGTACTTTCCAAGACGCTCTGAACGAAGTCTTCTCGCGTAGCTGGGAAGAAGGGTCTACGGCCCAAGAAGGGGAATCTGCAGCTGTAAGCAAATGACGGGAAATAAATCGAGGCAAACTTGACGTTCGAACCAAAAAGCTCGGTGTAATTCTCGGTTGCGTGATGAATTCAAGCCTCTTGTATCTTTAGCGACGAATGCAGCTTGCGAAATAAAACATATTCGATCAAAATCAAACCAAATCCTGTAAATGTGAAGTTGTGGATAAGTCGAAGTCCACTCGGAGCTGGGCACTTGCCTCGGGTTTTGTCAGCCAAGCCCTCCACCTGTGCAACTCCAATGACAACAATCCAAATGGTCATTGTCTGATCTTACAACTCAACTCAAATTCAGGAGAGATGACAGAACTCCGCCAGCGACCAACAGCCACGTCAAAGTCCAGCAATGGACCCGACAAAGAGCCGACCTCCGGACAGCACTCCATAAACGACGAAGCCAGCCAAGACCACGGCATAAGCCTGCTAGACATACTCCGCGTGATTGTGACCCTACTCGTCGCCTGCGGTGGTCTCTCATATTATGTGACTTCCTCCGAGTCCGTGCTGTGGGGGTACAGGCCATGGTATACACGGTGGCCGGTGGTGAAGCAGTGGGTGGTACGCGAATCCCGGTCCTTGGTTTACAAAAAAATGAAAAGGTCATGTTGATTCAAGCTAACACATCCATTTCTACAATAAAGCAAGGCCCCGTTATCCTGACACCAAGCCAACTATCCCTCTACAACGGCACGGACACCAGTCTCCCCCTGTACGTCGCGGTGAACGGGACCGTCTTCGACGTCTCGGAAAATCGCATGATCTACGGACCCGGTGGGAGCTACAACTTCTTTGCGGGGCGGGACGCAACGCGAGCTTTTGTCACGGGCTGCTTTAAGGAAGATCTTACGAACGACTTGCGCGGTGTCGAGATTATGTTCATGCCGGTTGAGGATGTCGAGAATGAGGCTGTGACTTCTGCACAGAGGAAAATCCGTCGTGAGAAGGAGTTACGGGCTGCTAGAGCGCGGGTTGAGGAGACTGTCAAGCGGTGGACTGGATTCTTTGCGAATCATGCAAAGTATTTTGAGGCTGGGAGGGTGGTTGAGGATGGAGGTGTTGATGAAGAGCCGTTGCCGCTGTGTGAGAGCGCGCAGCAGCAGCGACCGAAGAGGAGTGCGATGGTGGAAGAGTCGTAGGATTACTGTTTTTGCTGGGTCGGTGTAGATAGTGCAAATTGTAGGTGGTAGAGGCCGAGAGAAGTCTACGGAATATGACGCATGTCCTTTTCATGAAGTTTTGTAGATTTTTTGATTCAGTTCGCACTACTGACGTATATCAGGAGTGCGAATGTTCCACACCCTTCAAGAGTCAGACGTTAATCCACTATGCATCATGCCCAGCCGGGCTTCCCAAGGTAAATGATATCATTCGTAGCAAGGAAAAGAAAACCGCGAGAAAAGACGAGAGACGAGACGTTTACTCGGCGGTGACGGCACGGGCTATTGAAGAAGGTTATCAGCATTGGAATTTCGAAGGATAAGGGGTGTTGAATAACGTACTGTAGATGCTCAGGCTGGAGTGACCAACGACCTTCTTGATCTGGCCGTTAGCCTCAAGGTCGGCGAGAGCCTGGCGGGCAAGGCTGCCGTTGATCTTGAGACGATCGACAAGGGTGGCGACAGTGATCAGACGGTAGGACTGGACATCCTTCTGAAGCTTGTCGTTGGTGGCCTTGTCGAGAACGACGGCGTGCTGGGCCTTGTCCTTGACTGTAGGGCGAAAGACATGTCAGTAAATGTTGCTTCTTGGTGCTATTGCGTATCCCCAGCTCGTCCAACGATTTCGTTCGTGTCTTGTGGGAACTCGGCCGAAATCGTCACGATCGCATGGTTGGTGATTGCGTACCCTTGCCCTTGGACCACTTCTTCTTTTGCTTCTTGCCTCCTGTTGCTGCGGGCGCCTGTTCGTCACATTTCGATTAGTATTCTGTCTTCCGAGTTGTATATTGGGATGCTGGGGAACTCACCATTTTGTCGGATGAGGTGGATGTTCAAAGGAAGAGGGCGACGTCCAGAAGCCGCTCAAGTGCGAAAAGGCAGTGGGGTGTGACTGAGGTGAGCCCTAAGCCCTTGATCGGTTAGTGTGCATGTTTTCATTGGCTGACGTGCTTGATTACATAATGTGGCTGGATAACCAGTTCCTGCCTGAGGTGTCTCTTGTACCAACCGCATATCATTTTGGGTGCAACTAGACTCTAGAGAAGAGACAAGAGTGTCTAGGAACAAAGGAAAGAAAAAGAGTTTGTCTGATTTCAAATTGTCCTCCTTTTCAACATCAAAATCAACAATAATGCATGACAACTTCGGTCTTTGAAGTCATCGTGCATAACTATACATCAAACACCGCAACCTCGAAGCTAACTAATAAATAAAGCCTGAAACCCCTTCTTGAAAAGCTTCTGTCGGTGCTCACATAGGCCGTCTTTGCTCAAACCCTGGAGAAATTCATAAATATCAAAAAATTCGTCTTCATCTTCTCCATCCATGTCCGCTTCAATACCACCATGGCCCGCGTCCTCTGTCTCATTCGGTGAACTGTGATCGCCCGTCAAATGCTCTTTGGAAGAACCCGAGTTTCCGCTGTCTTTGTTGTTGCTATTCTTATCCACTCGCTTCATGACTTCGAGAAGGATCTTTTCGGTAATGCCTAAGCTAAACATCGGGTCTCCCGTCGCCATCATCAAATGTTGAAAGAGAACGGAATTTCGGGTCACTTTGGCATTCTCGCTTTCTGGTCGCAGATCTGCGATACATTGCGCATAGACATTTTGATAGAACTTCAGTGTGTCCGGTGAGTCTTCCCAAACATTTTCCTCGTCATGAATCCCCTGTTCCATCTCTTCACTCCATATATATACGCTCGGGTCCCAGTCGCGCATCAGCCATAGTGGATACGACTCATTCCCTATACTCGGCGAACTGGTATGCGCGCCGTGCCAATCGAGGATTGCCCGCACAGAACCATCTTCCGAGACAAGGAAGTTGAAAATATTGGGGTTTGGATGTGACAAAACGAATGATTTCCCACCATTTGGCTCTGGAGTCCAGTCGACAAACATCCGAAGAAGCTTCTGCAACCCCTTTCGATGCTCAACCTCCTCGTTCCCCCATCTGTCCAGACGAGAAGTACAACCCTCTCTGAGGCCCGAGAATGGGTCGTTGTTCACGGGTACAACACCTATAAGGCAATCTTCGTCGTCAAATCGCAGGGGCCTATCTTCGTTGAAAGTGTATTTTCCAAGCTGGATATACGCTGCAGCAATATCCCGCAGACAGCGTGTACGCCGAGCCTGTACAACTTCTTTCGGAGATTCCCGGTCATGCCAGACTTCGTCCAAAGGCCGAGCGTCGATGAACTCCATGAGAATGAAGGGAACTTTGAGCTTGTTTGAGCATGTAATGTTGTATGAAATGACCTCGGGGATTGGTATGGTTGTCTCGCGCCGCAGCATGATCATCGTCAATGCTTCCGAGCGAAGGGTCTCGGCATCGTCTTTGTCAAATTGATCAGGGGTTCCGATAGCTGGGACTTTGAGAATCCAGCTAACTCCGTCGGCAAACTTCACCCTATAGCAAATGTGCTCCCCTATGAAAGTAGGAGACTTAACCTCAACGTTAGGAATTTTCTTCTTATCGTTTGAAAGAGTCTTCGCGCGAATCGTTGTCACGTATTCACGAATACGCTTCGCTTTCACTCTTTCCAATACTGCTTCGAATGGATCAATGTCGATGGAATCCGAATCATCATCATCCCCTTCATCAGAATCTTCATTTTCACACCGTCGCTTCAGTGTGATATGATCCACGATTGATGATGAGAACGAAACAACTGCCTTGGCGATTCCCCGAATGCGTTTGGAAAGCCGTGAAAGATGATCCATAATCACCGCTGTTAGACGCTGTCAGGAAATTCTCCGTAGATGTAGATTATAGCGTCAAAAAATAAAAGTAGCTTTATTTGGAATTGGTGGCGGATTAATGTCGAAGTCGAGTGATGCGAAATATGCTGAGTGAAGCCAGGTATTATGAGGGACTTGCTTGTCGAATATGATTCTTTTTACATGCCACATACCATTGATGTAGAAGCAAGAGTTGAATGCCAATAATGAGTCTGGTGAAAGGTATTGGTGGTTTTTGTTTTCAATGAACGTGTTCCAATAATAGATTGGGAATTGCTTCATTGACAACAAGAATAGCAGCATCAAAGCCCGCAATTTCTGAACAGAGTCGTTTCATGTAGCGAGGCCATTCTCTTCAACTCATACTTCCTTTCGAGAATTCTTTGTATTCAAATATTGCGCAGGTATATATCCAAGGATTCGGATTCCTTTGTTCACACCTGCTTATCCTTACCTAGTGCTTCTCTAGCTGTGCCTCTTTATCCCTTGATCATCATATCTGCTTTTATAATTTCTATAACTTTCTTTCAGACTTTTAATAGTCCAAGCCACGCAGGATGATGTGGCTCCTACGTCGAATCCTCTGATCGATACGTTCAACTCATAGCTAAATGACGCAGCCTATATGATGGTATCTTAATTTAGAGCATGAGATGGTATTGGACTATAAATGAACTACCTCTAGTCAACATTCAAACAACAAAATGAATAATTGAAACTGCAAATTCGGGCTCGTGGCCCAAACCGCTTTCCATGCCCTCAATCTTTCGTCATCAAATATGGCATAACCCCAGCGCCATACAGATTTAGGCGCACAATCGACATCAATAGCTTCTTCAAACGTTTGTCCCAGTGTCAGGTAGTACATGCACCTGTTTCCATCCGAGGTTAGGTTGCTCGATAGAGGGCAAAGTCGACCAAAGCTGCTCATAATGAACTGCATGCTGATCTGCAGGACAAAGAAAAGGAACCATCATATCTTCCGTCACATACATGTTATGGAAGGAGCTAAGCAGGTCTTTCATTCCATTGGAAATCATCATATCACGCTGAACCGACCCTTTTCGATTTTCTCTCTTGGGAAAGGGTACATACAATATCGCATTCTGGAGGTCGTACAAAACAGGTGTTGCCGCCACCATACGCTTTCCCCTACCCGGTGCGGCTATGTTTCCCGAAGAACAGGTTCGGAACGAGGTTGTCATTATGCGATACCTTCATGATGCGACTTCAATCCCGGTGCCATTCATTCTCCACTGCGGTTCTAAGAAAGAGTCTCCCTTGGAGTTGGGCCCTTTCATTACCATGGAATATGTCGAACATGACACGAATATGTACGACCTTCTCAATATCCCAAATTACCCACCTGAGAAAAGGGGAAGGCTTAACCCCGATATCAATGAGGACACTCTTCAAGCATTATACGGGGAGCTAGCTGGCATTCTGTTGCAACTTTCAAAAGTAGACTTCCCTCGGATCGGATCATTGAGTCGGGTTGACGACTTTACATGGGAAGTGGCGAGCCTTCCTTTATCAATGAATTCAAACGAACTCGTTAGACCAGGGTCCCTACCTCAGTCAGAATTACCAAGCTACGAGACAATATTTACCTCAGCATCTTCGTACTTCGAAGCCCTGGCGGAACTTCACATTGCCAATCTCATCCATCAAAGAAACGACGTAATCGAGTCTGCAGATGATCGTCGACGCAAGTTCATTGGCAGATACCTCTTCCGCAAGCTAGCCCGCGAGGGTAAGCTCACCAAGCGATGGGTAGCATTCGATACAGGCCTGTTCAAAATATGGTGTGATGATTTCCGACCAACAAATGTTCTTGTCAACAATGACTCTAAAGTGACCGTCGTCGTGGATTGGGAGTTCACGTACGCGCCGCCTTGGTGGCTTCTTATTGAAACACCGGAGTACTGGCCTCAAGGTCTTGAGGACTGAACAAACGTGTTCGATCGCCGGCTCCAGACATTTTTGAAGGTGATGATCGATCGTGAGAACGCTACGGCTACGAAAGAAGAAGATCGACTCTCGGTCCAATGCGAGAAAGTTGGGAGAGTGGTGACTTTTGGATTGCATATGCCGCGAGGACCACCCGTGCCATCGATGTGATATATTGGGAAAAGATTGATCAGCGCTTCTTTGGACCGGCGGACAATGTCGAGGATGCGTGGAGGCAGAGACTTGATCTCTTAAGTGACACGGAGAAAGACGAGATAGAACTACTTGTAGCAAAAAAGGTTAAAGAGATGGAAAGCAAAGTTCTGGCTTGGGATCCAGATGAGTATACGCTGTCCCATATAGACATCGCGAAGGAGAAGGAGGGAGAGAAAGATATCTCCAAGTCAGAGGACAACAAGGTTGAAGTTCAGGCCATTGAAATAAGGCCAAGTGACCTTGACGTTGAGCAGATAGCTGAGAAATTGGAAGAACTCTCAGCATAGTGATTATGATAATTAGTATCTTAGTAAATAGGGGAGTTTGGAGTTTGGTGCTTTGAATAGTTTAAAGGACTCTCATCTGTCTCTCAGCAATACAGAAATTACGATCTTTTTCAGGCTATATCATAGTTCCCTCCTCTCCCACTCCTTTGGTTTCTCTCTTTGGCTCAATTTGGTCTGTATCTAGAGCTGATCTTTGACTGAGCATCAGACTTCTTCTGAGCACATGTCCTTTCCGAACCTAGTACGAGGGTTTTTACGGAATACTTAATCATCGGTTTAAAATCCGTCGCCTGGCGTATCTAATTCAAAGAACTCATAATTGCTTCTCCTGTCCTTTCTGTTTCTCTAGGGGTGACTCTGGTATCACTGGTAGGTTGACACGATCCCGAAGAAAGCCCAAAATATCTTCAATCTCGTCCTCAACACGGTACCAATGCCCTAGCCCTTGATATTCCTTCCATGTCACATCCATTCCTAGACTATCTGACAGCATACGAGACATCTTTTCACCAAAACGCGCAGAGACTTTAGGATCTTGTGCGCCGTGGCCCAGAAAGACAGGAGTGTGGAGGTGACACAAACTTGTTGAATCACCGTCTTCCGATGACTGAGTATTGTTTGGAATCATAGGAAGAGCAAGGATGTCACGAACGTGGTTGATAGCCTGGATGACCAACGGAGCTTCTTCCTCGTCCTCCTCGAATGGATTGAAGTCACCACACAGTGGGCTGTCTTCCTTGAGCCCCTTGAAGGGATTGGAGTCATCGTGTACCGGGCTGCTCTCGTCCAATGGATTGTCGCTGAAGTCTTGTTCGGAATATACATCTGCTTCTAACTCTTCATCACTTTCACATTCCTCGGATGAGTCGTCTTCCGATTGCATCTCCTGATAATTGTCTTCCGCCAATACTAGGTTGATGTCGGATCGGATAATCTCGCATAGTTGCTGCTCAAATGGCAGCCATCCACTCATCCCAATAAATGCCCCGAGTGTATTTCCTTCACTAGTGTCGGGCCAGCCACCTAAAAGCGCGAAGATACCCGCAGCACAGCCTTGACTCAGCCCCCATAGGATAATCTTTGAATGATTCGCCTCGCCTAAAATCCGTACCTCTTCGGTGACTAAGCCGCGAATGAACTCAGCAGTCTGAGAGAGCCCATCCACCTGAAGGTCGGTTCTTTGTCCAGGGTCTTCAAGGGAGTAGTTATCGTACCACTGATGAATTGGGATCTTCTTGAGTATAGTTGACCGCCGCTTGCGGGCAGTGGGAAAGACAAATTTTACTGTAGGAAGTCGGCCTTGTAGGTTTGCCGACACAAGGAGCTCACGACCAAAACGCTCAGCGTTACTGCCTCTTCCATGAAGCGAGATGATAGTATGTGTGTGCTCTCCACTCAGTGGCTGGACAACCAATGGGGTGGGATACGGTTTTCTAGACATTAAGCTTATATTGACAAGGAGAAATATGGAAGACCACACGGCGCTCAATAGTTATGTATTCAATTAACAAGGGGAGGTCCAAGCCCTGGTGGGCCCGGGCGGTGGGGATTTAATACCTGAATTACCATTACGCGAAGAACACTAAGCACGGTCCGCCGGCTCTCTGTGGCCCTAGCGGCTATTTTGGATGAGCTAATCTCCCGAGCCGCCGCCCATCCATGGGTGGGTCCACGGTTGCGGCTCTACCAAGTCTCACATCCTTGGAAGGTTGGAACGTTTCGCATTCCATGCAGGAAAATTTACTCCATACGAGCCATGCAACTAAAATAGGACTTTTGGTTTTTGCTCTTTTCACTTTCAAAATCTATTCTTTTCGGTAATTGATTACATATTTCCGTTCATTTTTACTCGTTTTCCTTTTGCTTTTAGTGAGGTTCTGTTTCTACTCTGACTCTGCGAGATATATTGTTTCTGACTGAGATATGCATTTACTTACATTCGGGATTTACCAACAATCAAAATATTCCCAATTTTCTTTGTCGGTAGATAGACTAAATCTTGAAGCGAGTTTTGAGAAGTCGTCACCAGACAACCTGTTGCATATGTAACATGACAGCATGCTCGAGATAAAATGGTTTCAGTACAGTGTCCACAATGTCATCCTCGACCCAACGACTTTGCCAGTCCGGGTGATACATAGCCTTGATATATTCCCAGTACTCAGGATAAAATCCGGCCATCTCCCAATCGAGTATTCCAACAACCCGCTCACCACTGATAATGATGTTTCGCGGAGAAAAGTCCGCGTGGGTGAGCACTGTTGTATGAGATGGCATGGCTCGAATGAGTTTTGCAACATGCTTAATCCAGGAGTTCGTCGTCTGGTTGATGGTCATTGCCCGGACTAACCCCTCATTGAATTCGGTCTCCGTTTTATATGGGCCAAACCCACCCTGTTCGGCACAAAAGACAGGATCCTCACAAGCTGAGCCATCAATAGAGCCGATAAAATTGCCTTCAATTGATCGTAGCTCGGACATGAACTTTTGCAATTCCGAGATAATCTTTTGGCGCCGTGTGTCATCCATATCCTCAATAACATCGCGAAGAACCTCCCCTTCAATGTACTCCATAACAATGACCCCACGGCCAATGGTTTCATCGACATAAGCGTTATAAACCTCTGGAACCGGAATGGAAGTTTTAGAGCGGATGAACCTCATGGCTTCTGCCTCGGCGAGGCGACTTGGGTCGCATAATTTTACTACCGTTGTGTTATCCACACGAAATACATGGATCATGGTATCTTCCACGAGACGGTTTGAGTCGGTCAAGTCTGATGGTGATATTCTGCGATCCATGGTAGCACAAAAAGGAGGCTTCGTGGCCAAATGGATTAAAGACCAAAGATCGCGTCAAGGAACACTTTTCCGTTCGTTTTTCGGTGCTGAAACCACTTCTAGTGTGGCCCCTAGGGAATGTTACTCTAACGAATGTTACGGCCTGATATATACCGCTGCAATGAGCAATAGACGCTATGTTTGTCCTTATCCTTTGGCGCCCGGTTAAATAGTCTTATGTAACCCCCTATGTCACATGATACATCACGTGAGAATTTGCCTAACATATGTCTGGGCAACATCTCAACTACCACTACGGAGTACTCCATACATACTATCAGATATCTCATGTATATGTATATAATTATGAAGGTTCTGAAACCGTGCATCGGGCCGAATACGTAGTATACAACGCCATCCATCATCCACCACCCAGCCATTTATCCAGATCTAGTCCATCTGCGCAAACACTTCCAGCGCCTCATGTAACCTTCCGAATACACCGCCATGCCATCCCTTCAACGCTTCCCACTCCTCCACCGGCAACATACCCCGACTCATGCGCAACCACCCCCCAACAATGAAATCCGCATAGTTTGCCTTGCCCCCCATCAGGAACGGCCCACTCGCATCATTCGTATACAACTTCGCAAGTCCACCCAAAGTCTCCTCAAACGACCTCAACAACTCCTCCCTCTCCTCCCCACCAAGCGCCAAAGCCTCCCACGGCACACCCATCCTCTTCGAGAACATAGCCTTGCACTCCTCCGCAACAGCCGGATCAAAAGGCATGCCAAGCGCCATCAGGCGTGCATGCGCACTAAACACAGCATCGACATTCGTATTAAACTTCGCGTACGCAGCAGCAGGCCCCTCCGCGACCTGCGCCTCTGCAATCGGCGCGTAAAGTCCCAAATCCCGCCCAAAGACGAACTCCAGTGCCTGCGCCGGGAATAAGTCTCCCGCCCCCGACGACGGGTATTGTTCCTGTAGGTATATCGCGATCTCTAAGGAGTCGCCCACTGTGCGCCCGGTAGCTGGGTCGGAGAGAACAGGTAGGGTTTGATAGGGGGATCCGTCGACGAATTTGCGCGAGGCGGGGATGTTGAGAGCGCCGCGGACGGAGCTGATGGCGAGTAGGGGTACCCAGGTTGTTTTGTAGGGGACATTTTTGAAGTTCAGGGCGTAGCGGCTTTTCCAGGGATTTGGGGAGCAGGAGGATTTTGTGACAGGAGGTGCTAGAGCGATGTCATAGAAGGTCATTGGGGCCGTGGGGGGTGACATGGTTGAGGTTGAGGTTGTGAGTGTCACGGCGCCCAGAATTTTCACGAGGAATTGGAGTTCAAGGGGTTGGAGTGTATTACACTAAGGGAATCGGATTGGAGTTTCCAAGCTTGTTTTGGGCTGTTAATTGATCCCTGGAAGACGAGATCTATATGTCGATTGGTGTGGAGGCCCCGGGGGCGGGACTGGATGAGTCATGAAGACTCATCTACGATGTGGGGACTGATGGGCCCGCATGGGGCTCATAGTTACATGTACGGAGTAACAAGGTGTACGGAGATGTTAGAACCGAGTCTTAACTTGTAGGCAAAAATAGTGGCAAATATAGTTTTCAGGCACCACCGGATTGTAGTTTTGGCTCCAAGTAACATCCCTGCGGAATTATGAAGAGACATGCCCTTCTCCCTCGGCAGGTTTCACGGCGACAGCAAGTAGCCATAGTGAGGTTATTCACACTTCCTAAATAGGAAATTATCGGGATTGAAAGGAGGTGAGTTACTACAACGGTATTGCTTCTGATCGAGGGAGCATCTGCGGAATATCCTTTTATTTGAGTACTCTGCTTTTTCTTAATGCACGAAAAATTTTACCAATTAGATTTACAAGCTAAGATATATGATAAGTAGTCACATGTATGCGCAAGTCAATCTGCGCAGGGTTGGGAAGCTGACTCGGCACCCCCCTCCGACTTTTAACAATGCCTCACTTACGCCTCGCAAAATATTACCTGGTGAGATCAAAGGAAACAAAAAACAGCTGCGGCTGATAGAGCTGACTGATTCAAGAACTTTCAAGGTTGAAGCTATCTTGCACATCCGAGACAGCCAGCCGACACAGCCGGCTTCCCATACCAGCAAGCAACATTAGATAAACCGTAAAAGATTCGACTCTAGCGAGCGTTTGGCTGTTCAACATCCTCTCGCTCTCTTGTATTATGTCAGAACGAACTATTCGATTGTTTTTAGGAGACTCACTTGTCTTCATTGCGGGTCCAAAGTACTGCCAAGTCTCCAACCGGCAAAACGCATGGGAACCCTATGGACCCAAACAGTTGAACAATCAACAGGTAAAAGCCGAGTAAACTAGCAACAAAGAGCGAAGCTCCAGCACCCTGGGAGAAAGATCGGGTTAGAATCCAGTCAAAATAGCAGAGAAATAATGAGAATGATACTCACTTTTACACACCGATCACCAACAGATGCATTCCCTTGGCCTAGTTGCCAATAGGCCGCGGACAGCAGAAGGAAAACCATGAGCAGTGAGAGGAAAATGAGAGTGTATACCACATTGATACGTGTTGCACAAATCATGAAGATGAACATCAAAACGGCCATAGTTATGAATAGGAATGCTGGTTTCGTCAGAGCTATTCCTCAAATTTGAGAGTCTTGGTTGCCCTTACCATAGGTATTCATAAAGCTTTCGCTGGCTAGCCCGGCAGCTGTATCGGTGGTTGACGAGGAGTAGGGAGCTATGAAGTGTGAGCAAACTCATATCATGAGGGTAGAATGATATATCTGAACAAACTGACCGGCTGCATTGAAAGCTGGAATCATCGTGGCTGCAAACGCAAACCAAAACCCGCCTTGGTGAAGTATCAGCAACATGGACTAGTGAGCGAGGCTTGTATCATGAGATAGGAAGACTTACCAATAGTGCCAAACACAACACAGGGGAATGTATTTCCGATGATGAACTCAAGAATACTCGTAATAAGCAACAACAGACCACCAAGGAAAATGATAGGTCCACTGTTCAGTTCATTAGATGGGGCTCTCTCGATCCATTGGTTTTCTCACATGAAAGCAACTCCATTTCCACTGGCTCCTCTCCAGCCCATCAAGCAGCATGAAACGGGTGTGGTGGTAATGACAAAACCTCCTAGTGCTCTGCATGTTCAATCAAGTCAGACAAAATTGCCGTGCGTAGAATATAGTATTCAGAGACTCACAATGGTGTCGGATTTCCAACCTTCTTCGCTAGCGATGATTGGCGAACCGTCATAGGACTCAAATAAAGCCTTTCAAATTGTTCCGCTGACAGAGTCACTGACGTTGGGACTGTAGTGAGAGCATTTTGTGTGTTCTCCCTGTTTTGGAAAGTGGCCTTCGACTCGCCATTTTGACTGGCGAAGCTGTCCATTCTGTTCTCGCTGGGATGTGACATGGCTCTCTCTGGTTTCTTCAAAGAGTAGAAGAATATACTATAGCAGGTAATGAGAATGGAAGCTCTGAAAGATAAGCCTCGTTGTTATTAATTTGCGGGGACTGTGGAACCTTTAACCTTTCCCCGGACTTTGTAGCTGACGTGCACCACGGGGTAATTGATATTCACTCATTTCACTGTAAAACAGGGGGAGTGGAGAGTACAGTCACATTCCTTTCCACCGCGTCCAATCAGACGGTTAATGTGGGATGTCTCGATTTTCAGCAAGACCGGATGAGTCCAGAACGGGGAGTGAGCACAATAACCGGTGAAAATAGACAGGGGGTCAACCAATGTTGTGTATCGATGTGCTATGTCCCCAGGTTTTTAACTTTGATGATCGCTACCTTCGCTGAATCCAAGTTGCCACATAAACTCTGTGCCAAATAAACTCTTCCGTCCGGGGGTTGACCCCACAAATATGACAAGGAGTTTGCTAGTCTTTTTGCGGGGAATGCAGATCAGATGATCCAAAAAGTATGTTGGTGGATTTGAAACTGGGAAATCATCGCCAATTGCCAAGCCTTGACGCGTTGAGTTCGGGGCCATGCGGTTCCGAAATGGCCATGCGGAGCCGCACAGCTGAAATTACGATCGGCGCATTTCTTGCTGATTTTCCCCGCATTATTTTGGACTGAAGGACGGCCCCGATATTCCCATCTGGTGAAGGGAGCTAAACCATTGTGAGAACTATGTTGTAGGATGGCCAAACATGCGGAGCCGCTCAGAATGACGTTTCAAATTTGTTATGGCAGTCGATGAACGTAGTCTTGATAAACACCTTGGTGGCCATATATTGCGAGGACCCTTGGTGTTAGTAACCTTCGTGAAGAACCTTTTATCTAGGTATATATAAAGCCTGATTCCAAGTTCGTCGCATCGACAAACGTGACACTATCTTATCTACCTTCCTTGAAGATCCCACACTACACAAATTGAAGATGACTAGTCTGAACATGGCACCTCGCACTGAATTCGAGCTCCCGCGCCCCCGCAGAAAGGCTAGAAGATCCTGCTTGTATTGCCAAAAGGCCCATAAAACATGCGGTAAGCTCAGGGATACCCCGCCTTGTGGTCTCGAACAAGGGTAGTTTGAGAAGAATAAACTGACAAAGGCGGTAGGAAATGAACGCCCCTGTGGGCAATGCGTGAAGCGCAAGATGCCGTCACAATGTGTTGATGGACATCGAAAACCACCTAAATACCTCAATGGAGGTACGAAGAAAGCATCCAAGGCTAGCTCGTGTCGCGGTGTTACTTCCCTGCAGCAAACCCAGCATCAAAAAGAGAATATCTTGAATACTACAAGCTATGAGTCAGTCTGGCTTTACTTCAGCACTATTGCATCCTTATTAATATGGGGTATAGCAACGAGATAACTAGACAACAAGCCAACGATGAGAGACATATCCCAGACAACAGAAGCGACCCATTTGAAGAAGTCTTTGATGAAGTCATTGACTCAACCTTTTTCGACGAACAATCGAGTTTCAAATTCGGAAATCAAGCTTGTGGCGGAACTATCTTTAAAGGAAATGACAATTTCATGCCCTTCTTCTCAGATGCGGCATACTCGACGTCGTCAGAGAGGTCATCCAGCGTATCTGAAGATAGTGAAGTGGGGACGCCATGCCTCGCTCTGGATGACAGCTTCGGAACCAGCTTGGCAAAGATACATATGTATGCAAAAGAGGAACCATATTCCGGATTTGCTATCAGCAGTGGCTGGTCAAGCACATTCTTTCCCCACGGGATCGAAGAAGAACCCCATGGTTTCTGACTAGCGCAACCAAAATATACGCAAATTGGTTCTGCTAATTTTATGACTGGAAGAGAAAGAGAGATGGGCCCTGTGTGTTGGATTCTCGGAGATTTGCCCTTTCTGGGACTTTCCCCCTCGCCATCCTCTTTTTTTTTTTTTCGTGTACAACATTGAAATTTCGAAATATGATTATACCAATATTATTCATGATGACCTAATGGCCAATATTGCAAGGCGTTGATTTAGTCAAAAGATGTTAGATGTATCTCTTGCGATGCCTTGAGGGTTAAGCACCAAGCTTCTTGGATATTTGCCACCGACCGTCTGCATATCCATATTTTCGGGCCAGAATAGTCCCGACGTCATTTGTGATCCCGAGATCTTCCTGGAAACGGACAAAAAGGATTTCGGTGAGAATCATCTATCCAATCGCAGTAGCTACCCGTGCGGCTCCGCATGGCGGGCCGTGCGCGATCCCCGCAAACCTTCCCCGCATTGCCTCTCCTGCATTTCAAGTTCTTGGATCATACACACTGAATCCCAATCAGTCTACGCGTTGCAGTATTCCGGGTGGTCTGTCATCGTTGACACATTCCGGTAGCCCGGTCTAATTGCCTCAGATGGTAGGAAACATGAGAATCGATGCGACAGGTCCTGCCCCGCCTTTTACTACCCCGGACATCCCCACCCGACATGTTTAGCTATAAAGCTCCAATTGAGGCCCGGCAAACAATCCTCAATTCACCAAAGAATCAATCTTCCACACACTTATAACTCATTCCAACCTTTTCATCTCATCAATATGTCCATCCCCGAGACACAATGGGCGCAGGTCGCCGAGAAGATCGGAGGGCCACTTGTCCTCAAACAGATCCCCGTTCCTAAGCCCGGTCCTGATCAGATTCTGGTCAAGATTCGCTACTCTGGCGTTTGCCACACCGATTACCATGCGATGATGGGCCACTGGCCCATCCCCGTCAAGATGCCCCTGGTCGGTGGCCACGAAGGAGCTGGAGTGGTCGTGGCCAAGGGTGAACTCGTGAACACCTTTGAGATCGGTGACCACGCTGGAATTAAGTGGATCAACAGCTCGTGTGCCGAGTGTGAATTCTGCAGACAATCTGATACCCCTCTGTGCGCTCACGCGCAACTTTCTGGATACACTGTCGATGGTACCTTCCAGCAATACGCCATCGGAAAGGCCGCCAATGCTGCTAAGATCCCCAAGGGCGTTCCCCTTGATGCAGCAGCTCCAGTGCTCTGCGCTGGTATCACCGTTTATAAAGGCCTGAAGGAATCCGGCGTTCGTCCCGGCCAGACAGTTGCTATTGTTGGAGCAGGCGGTGGCCTCGGGTCACTTGCACAGCAGTACGCAAAGGCCATGGGTCTACGCGTAGTCGCCATTGACGGAGGCGAGGAGAAGCGAGAGATGTGTGAGAAGCTTGGCACAGAGGTACGATCATGAATCTCTATGCCCTGACATTCTATGGACGCTAACAAAGTCGAAAATAGACTTATGTCGACTTTACCAAGTCCAAGGATCTTGTTGCCGACGTGAAAGCCGCAACTCCCGATGGTCTTGGTGCTCATGCCGTGATCTTGTTGGCTGTCTCGGAGAAGCCTTTCCAACAAGCCTCAGAATATGTCCGCTCCCGAGGCACAATTGTTGCCATCGGATTGCCCCCAGATGCATTCCTCAAGGCCCCAGTGATTAGTACTGTCGTTCGTATGATCACTATTAAGGGAAGCTACGTTGGTAATCAACAGGACGGTGTTGAAGCTCTCGACTTCTTCGCCCGAGGCTTGATTAAGGCTCCATTCAAGCTGGCGCCTCTGAAGGATCTCCCCAAGATCTTCGAGCTTATGGGTATGTCGCACTGTCACACTGCTATTTGGACTTGAAGCTAACTCGAAACAGAACAAGGCAAGATTGCCGGCCGCTATGTGCTTGAGATGCCGGAGTAAATAATGATTGGTGAATCGTGCTCTAGGCACAGATTATGGACTGAGAATATGCTGTATATAGGAGTGGAGAGTTAGGTGTGGATTTCTGGGATTTGTAAATTGAGATACTGAATTTGAATGACGTTCAAAGGTTGATACACTTGCCATATTATTCGCTGATGTTGGGTTTGGCTTCTAGAGCTATGTCTTGCATTTGACTAGTCTCCACACAACCTCGGGAACCACGAGCTTATTATCAAGTTTATTATCGAACGGGGACGCCCCAGCCGTGGACCGAGCGGTTGCGGACAAAATAGAGTACCTGCCTTGTGTTGCGTGAATGACTATCAGTGATAGGCGAACTATTTACACTTTGTACGAGCCCGCTAGATTGAAAGTTATTTGATATAGAAGCATGATACTAGTAATAAATGCAAATGCGCCGTTACTCAAATAAGATGTTAAACTTGTGTTATTGTCTAGGTGGGAATAGCTGGAAATAATTGATCTTACCAAAAAATGATCCATTCGGGACCGCTGTATCCCACACCGAGAGCTTCATCACAGGACCAAAAGACGGGGTTGCTTCATTTCCCGCTTCCAACACCCGACGAATGATAGCGGTCCGGACGAAAGGAAGTGCCCATCACAGCCAAAAACGGAGGCAGGGGGTTTGCTACCCCACAATTAGCGAAAAACATCGGACCGGCCTTTATCGATTGCGATGCTTTCCCCGCGCTCCCCCACCCCGATCATTTTCGCCACCCGGGTCCTTTCCAGCAGCTATATAAGGGTGCCTATGGTTCCTCACAATTCTCATACATCTCCCATATCTCACATCCTGTTCAGTCTATACCACCGACTTCTCTTTCCAACCATGGCACTTTTCCAATCGATTAAGACCCCCGTGCTCACATATGAGCAACCTTTGGGACTGTAAGTTTAACAAACCTTAATGATCCTGGGCAAGAAACTGACAAAACCATAAGATTCATCAACAATGAATTCATCAAGGGTGTGGCCGGCAGAACCTTCGAGACAATCAACCCTCACAACGAGAAGCCTATTGTCGCCGTGCACGAAGGCGCAGAGGAAGATGTCAACATTGCCGTGAAAGCTGCTCGTACCGCACTGAATGGAGAGTGGAAAACAATTACGCCATCCGAACGTGGTCGTCTCCTTCTTCGTCTTGCAGACTTCCTAGAACGCGACATCGAAACATTGGCCGCTATTGAAGCACTTGATAACGGCAAGTCAGTGACAATGGCCAAAGGGGATGTAAATAACTCCGCAGGGTGCCTGCGGTACTATGGTGGCTGGTCCGACAAGATTTACGGCCAAACCATCGACACTGATAGCAACAGCTTGACCTACACGCGCCACGAGCCAGTGGGTGTCTGTGGCCAAATTATTCCATGGAACTTCCCGCTCTTGATGTTCGCTTGGAAAATTGGCCCTGCTCTGGCCACCGGAAATACAATTGTTATCAAGACAGCCGAGCAAACTCCCCTTTCAGCGCTCTATGTCGCCAAGCTTATCAAGGAAGCCGGATTCCCCCCTGGAGTGGTCAATGTTATTTCAGGATTCGGAAGAACTGCCGGTGCAGCAATCGCCTCTCACATGGATATTGACAAGGTTGCTTTCACTGGATCGACTCTGGTCGGACGTCACATCATGAAGGCAGCAGCCGATAGTAACTTGAAGAAAGTCACTCTCGAGCTCGGCGGCAAGTCGCCGAACATCATTCTCCCAGATGCGAACTTGGAGGATGCAATCGAATGGGTCAATCTGGGTATCTTCTTCAACCATGGACAGTGCTGTTGTGCAGGCTCTCGCATTCTTGTTCACGAAGACATCTATCACAAGTTCCTAGAGCTTTTCAAGAAGCGAACAGAGCAGAACAAGGTCGGAGATCCGTTCCATTCCGAGACCTTCCAGGGACCGCAAGTCTCGCAGCTCCAATATGACCGGATCATGGGTTATATTAAGGACGGAAAGGGTGCTGGCGCCACTGTTGTCACTGGTGGCGATCGTCATGGCAGCGAAGGATACTACATTCAACCCACAATCTTTGCTGATGTCGACGAGAACATGACGATTGTCAAAGAAGAGATCTTTGGACCTGTGTGCACGGTGCAGAAATTCTCCACCGAGGAGGAGGCTATCAGAGTGGCCAATTCCACAAACTACGGTAAGTACTCCGAGATGTTACATTCCATTTGACTTCCATGATCTGACTAACGGATCAAAATAGGCTTGGCCGCAGCTGTCCACACCACAAACATTAACACTGCCATCAGAGTGTCCAACGCTGTCAAGGCTGGGTGAGTCAATTGAAAAGCAAAGCTAGTCTCTGAGCTTCATGAATTTGCTAACATATCTTGCAATAGAACCGTCTGGGTTAACAACTACAACACCCTTCACTACCAAATGCCATTCGGTGGTTTCAAGGAGTCAGGTATCGGCAGAGAGCTGGGATCATACGCCCTGGAGAACTACACGGAGGTGAAGACAGTCCGCGTTCACCTCCAAAAGTCGTGAGCTTCAGATCGCTGGGAAGGTTTTCAATAGCTGTTTGGTTCCAATTTGTAAATACCATAGAAAATCAACTCTACATATTGAGTATTGAGTGCAATGTGCAGAAATCATTCTTGGACGTAGCTACTGTAAAAGTTCTTGTAGGCCGTGCCCAGTCAGCCAAGCATATCAATTGATTACATCATCAATTGATTGGAGAGCTGGTTCATCAGACCAGAATAAGGATAAATTGGGCGGGCATTCTGTGGGGAAAATCTTACCCCTTAATGTATGTAAAATCACAACCACGACGCTGCCTACCCGTTCAATTGGTCGATCACATTGAAGATCAATCTCTGATATTTTAGTAACTGCGGGCGAGCCCGTGACCACATCCCGTGACGGTGGGCTTATACGATTGACTCGGTCTCGGTGAGACAATTGGCCGATCGGCGTCATCGCAAGAATGCGCCACCTCCTGCGCTGTAACCTGAGGTCAACCAGTGCTGTTCACAGCCTTGGATTCTTTACACGTCAGACCCAGATGTTTCTATTACCTGGCACACCAGATATTATCTACTTGAAGCATTCTATACTCGAGCAATGTCCAATCACAGTTCCTCTGGACCGAAGATGACTCGTGTCGAGCCATGGACGGATACAAGCCCTAGCTCCCCCACTTTTACCTTTTACCCCACTTAAACTCACTCCGCACTCTGCAAAGTTCACGTGTTCCCCCAGGAATTATGAAATATCTTGGTCTGGAGGCCCCTTTCGTACTTCTTCCGCATATCGGGGCCACCCATCTGCCTTCTTTCCGGTACATATAACTCACCAATAATACATGCAATAGCTTAGCATGGAAGACTCCCGTCGGCGTCAGCTTCATAGCTGTGATCCATGTCGCAAGGGCAAAAGAGGCTGCGACGCACCTGTTCGTTAACATGTTTCTGTGTCATCCACGGCGGTCGCTAACTTTTATACTTAGAAAGATCGCCAAAAGAGCACATTCAGTACTTGCTCAAACTGCACACGATGGAAAAAGGAGTGCACATTCAACTGGATCTCCTCAAAGCGCGTGGACTCGAGAGGGAGTCGAAAACGAATCAAAACCAACACCGCAAAAGCATCTGTCGTAGGCTCTCATGACGAAGCTCTTGAGGAGATACTGCGCTCTGCACAAACGCATCCCGCCGATCTTGGAGAATTGCCTGAATTGCTTGGGTCCCCTGAAACCTCGGATTACGCCTCGTCCTCATCATCGTCACACCCGGAAAATCACTTTATGGAGTCATTCCAAACCCAAAATTCAAGCGATGACCAGTCGCAATCATTTCCATGGGCGATGAACATCCCATGCGATTTGCAAATTAATAACTCAATGCCGAATGGATCCCCAGACTCCGCGGAATCAGACGCCCTTTTGGATTTGGCACCAAGTTCTGTCGGCAGCACATACAGCTTATTGCCACAACAGGAATATACACCCACCTCTGATCTTATATCAACGGTTTCAACGTGGAAACCGAGTCGACAGAAACATCCGTCCGAGTCTGCGTCTGACCGAAGCTCAAACACGCCACCGCAATGGAACTTTTGCATCGCGTCCGAAAATACAGCTAAGCAAAGCGCTCGGGCGACAATGTCGCGCAACCTAGTCCGCATTTACCACGACAGCATGGAGAATGCTTTGTCATGTTGGTTGACAGAGCACAACTGTCCTTACAGTGACTCGATCAGTCAAGTGGTTCCCGATCGAGGCATGAAAGAATGGGGACCGAATTGGTCGAACAGGATGTGTATTCGGGTCTGTCAGTTGGATCGAGTATCATCCTCAATACGCGGCAGAGCTTTAAGTGCGGAAGAAGATACAAAGGCAGCTCGGGCGCTTCATCTAGCGATTATGTCATTTGCATCTCAGTGGGCTCAACATGCGCAGAAGGGCACCGGTGCGTCGGTCCCCTCGGCAATCGACAATGATGAGAGGTCGATCCGACAGAAAGTCTGGAACGAAGCACGGCACGCTTTGGAGCATTCGAGCAGTATTCCGTCTTTTCGCATCGCCTTCGCGAACATAATTTTCTCTTTGACACAAAGTCCGCTGGACAAAGGACAGGAAACAAGCTTGGGGGAGCTTTTAGAGAATGATCGCGCTCCAATATTTTTGGAATCTGCCAACCGTCAAATTTTCACTTTCCGGCACAAGTTCACGAGACTGCAGCGGGAGGCTGCTCCTAAAATGAGAGGGCTTGGGAGGGGCCCGATAGACCAGACAACGGCGAATGTGCTGGGAATACCACAACCGTCGGAGCCTCCACTTGATCCACTCCTGACTAGTCATGAACACCGCACTACGCTAGATCTGATGTTTTGGCTAGGTGTTATGTTTGATACCCTGAGTGCTGCAATGTATCAGCGCCCTTTAGTAGTGTCGGATGAGGATAGTCAAATTTCAACAACTTCGCCAATAGGAGAGCCCAGAGATCCGATTAATTTCGACCCCTGGAATATTCCAAGCAATGCCCACGGGAAAGAAGACGTCTGGGGAGATTTATTTCTTCGGTCTTCAATACAACGTCAGGGATCGAGCCAAATCCAGCCGAGGTGGCCATGCTCCTACGAAGAAGCCGCATCCATACTTTCAGAGGCGACTCCTGTCAAAGTGCTCCTTTACCGTCGGGTGACACAACTTCAAACTATGGTCTACCGAGGCGCAAGTCCCGAGCATATTGAAAATATTATCCAGAAGACCCTCCTGGTCTGCCAACACTGGGATTCCACATACCAGAGTTTCATGGTTGATTGCGTCACCAACCATGAACTGCTTCCGTCTCGCATACAGTCGTGGTATGTCATCCTCGACGGCCACTGGCACCTCGCCACGATGCTTTTGGCGGACGTACTAGAGAGCATTGATAAATGCAGACTTGGCTCTGATCTTGCACGTGAGGCTCGACAAACTACACACTTGGTTGCTACGCTTAGAATGAATAATGCGTTGGCAGTTGGTGGACTTGCCCGGGCTTCGATACAAGGGCAGGAATCGTTCATGAACCATCATTTCCACGATTCTCTCAGTGAAGTTGCCTTCCTAGTCGAACCGTGGACGGCTGTGCTAGTTCATTGTTTTGCCAAGGCGGGATATATCTTGGTAGAGAACTTGGATGTTCCCACAGATCAGAAGATGTATACTGAGTGCTTCCGGCAGAATTGTGAGTTTTTGATCCGTGCGCTTCAATACCTAGGAAGAAAGTCCGATATGGCTTTCTTGGTGGCTCGGAGTTTGTTGAGGTCTTTGGAATCAAAGCTTGCCTAATCATCATGAGGATCGATTAGCCACTATGTTCTATATGAAAGATAATGCTATAATAACAGTAACCAAGTTTAATGATCTTTTGATTCATGAATATGTAACTAAACAATAATATGAAGCTAAAGGCTGAATACAACCAATGATATATATTGAGCGTATTCATATTGACACCAACAACCAGGTGGCGCTAGTTGTGTACGCAAGGTGAGTTACTCGTTCCTAGAGGACTATTTTCATCGCCAATGATCTATCCAGATGTCTCTACTCCTCCATCAATCAGAAATTGCGGAGAGAAGTCGACATTGTGCTCAAGACCGTTGGTGAGACATGGTCAAAGCATTAAAAAAAGCTTTTCATTACTTTTGATATCATCATGACTGCATCGCATCATTCATAGACCGGGATAAACCTCAACATCAGCTTCCGCCCACGTGGCAGCGAGATGAAAGCGTGGTCCTGCTCAATACCCTCGTCGTCGACAATAGACGTCGTGTAATTTGAATATACAGCCGCCATGACCAATTTGATTTCTGCATCATTAGTGTGTTCTCCGAAACCCATACTCGGGAGGCATACCTTGCAATGCGAAATTACTCCCCAGACACATGCGTCCACCGCTCCCGAACGCCCAGAACAGCCGCCTCATGTCATGAATATTGTCTCCTGCCTCGATCCACCGTCGAGGCAGCCATTCCAGCGGGCGCGGGTAGACCTCGCTGATGCGATGGAGGGAGTAGGCTGTTGAGCTGACCCTCACACCGCCTGGGATGCTGTCGTATCCGTGCAGAGAAGTTCCTTTTTCTGTGGTTGGGGTCACGCGGGGGAGTTGTGTTGGGGCTGGGGAGTGAAGACGGAGAGTCTCGCGGACAATAGCGTCCAGCAGGGGGAGAGCGTCGATCGCGGAAGGAGCGGGGAGGGGTTTCTCTCCGTCTGTGGCTGGGTATTGGAGGGATGGCGATAAGGTAAGAAGTTCCTTTCGCAGCTCGGCCTCAACCTCTGGATGCTGCGATAGCTCCCACATCATGTACGTGAAGGTGATTCCTGACGTTTCGTGGCCTGCAATTAGGTGGTCCAGTAATTCGGACGCAACTACTAGGTTCAACGGACGCGAATCGTATTCCTTCTGGTTTAGGAGGCTCTGGTGCAGCTGGTCGTAGACGACTGGGTTCGTGGATGGCAGTTTGTCCTCATCGCCGAAGACGTCCTGCTTTTGAGATGCTTCCACCCCCGCGCATAACCCTAAGCACCACCCCTCAATGAATCCCATAAACCGATCGTCTCGACTCAAATACTTGAACCGCTCATACTCTTCCAACCATAACTTCCACTCGGGAATATCAAACAAATACCTCGTCCCGTGTCTCAATCCAAACAGGAAAGAGGAGGTAAAGTCCATTCCAACAGCCTGGAAGAGGGGCAGCACATTCACCACCTCTCCACCCTCCCCCACCTTCTTGAGAATAGGCATCAATCGTTCCCAAAGCACAACTTTTGAGATCGCCCGCAGATCACTAGATTCCTGGAGATATGACTTGGAGTAAATCTTGCTCAGCATGCGCTTTTGGTGCGCGTGCGGCGCATTGTGGACCATGCCGACCAAATTTTCGGTGTTGAAGTTGACGAAGACATCGTTGTAGAACGGATGTTTCTCGAAAGCGCCGGTATATATTATCTTCAGACCTTGGAGAGAATTGACACTCAGCTCCTTTGGGCCGAGACGGACAATGGGGCCGTGCTTTTGGTGTAGGGCGTAGATGGCGAGGACTTCCGTGCTTGTGCTGCGCTTGCGGTCAATCCAGCCGCTGGAGATGGGTGACGTGAAGTGAGCATTGGGGATGGAAGAGAGTGGAGAGAGGAAGTAGGGCTTTATAACATGGTAGTATATGAAGTAGGAGATGAGGCTGAGCAGGGCGAGGGGTATGAGGGGGGTCATAGTGAGAGTGATGGCAAAGAGGAAGAAGACAAGATGCCAATCAGACAACGGGGTTTTCAATCTACAGTCAGTCCCAATCATGCATCCTTCTCATGCAAGGAGTCTTGTCCCGCCAAAGCAAGGTGTGCCTGGTACTGAGCGAGCTAATCATTGATTTTGCAGTTGATTGATTCGAAAGGAAACTATCTCCGAAATACTCCGCACTTTATCTGTGGGAAGAGATTCTCGAGTCTGGGCGTGTTGGTCAAGCTGAGATTCTGAGTACGGAAGTTCTCCGTACAACAATGCCCGATTTACCGAGGGGAGCGTGCGCAGGGGCTCGGCCCCCGGGCCCCGGAGAGTGGAGCCGGTGAACCAGTAGATCCACGGGCCAATACACAGTCAAGACTCAAACCCCGTTGATTTAAATTCCAAGGTTGTCCAGTAAAGTAAGGTATCTTTTATTAATTCTTTACAAGATACAAGATATTACTGGTTGGTATTGAAATAAAGAAAGAGTGAAGGACAATATAACAGATCACGTGGGTAGTGAGCCCTATTCCACAAGTTCACATTTCTGGGCCTAGGCCTTTGTGCCCTATTATAAGCTAATTAATCCTGGCCAGCAAGATTGTAAATATAGTACAACATACGAAGTGCTGATTCCGACATTAAGGATTCCGATATTAAGGGGGTCTAAATCGACAGGGTTGAAGTGTACTACCCTGCAAGTCGACACAATTTTCAACCCCACTCCTGGCGTGGCAATAACAACTGCGGAGTACTCCGAACAGTGGAGCTACAATCAACACGAAGTATCTCTAGTTCACACTACGCCGTAACCATGCTACAAATTACCGAATTCCAATGCCTTCTCCAGCACCTGGATTCTATTGGAGGCGAGCTGCTCCACTATGAGACAGATGTACCCGGTCAATTCCACGAGGGGCGGAGAATATTCTAATGCTTGACACCTTGCTTTCATACAAAGTACCGACGTGATCTACCATACCCCTGTCCTTTGTATTGACCCTTCATTGTCTCTGCTGTGTACATGTCAATATGCCCTGGGACAAAGACACCTCAACAGTCACCATGGCTCTGGCCGACGAAGCCCCGTCCAGAGGCCATGTCGCCCCCAAATGGCGCGGCACCCAGGCTGACCAGGCCGATATGAGCGCTCTAGGGAAAGAGCAAGTCTTGCGAGTACGTTTCCTATTATCCTGGTTGATGCATCTTCGCTGACCCTATAGCGTAACTTCCGATACATCTCCATTGTAGGATTTGGCTGCACGCTGATCGCCACGTGGGAGGTTGTTTTGACGTATGCCATCCACACTTACTAATTGTACCAATGACTGACTGTATAGGCTGCTTGCGCAAGGACTGACCGATGGAGGAACTGCCGGTCTGATCTGGGGGTACCTCATCGTCGCTACTGGGTTCCTTCTGGTGTTCCTGAGTCTGGCCGAGATGGCATCCATGTGAGTCTACCCGTTGAGATCTTGTCTCGTAATTATTCTGACCCCCCAGGGCGCCCACCTCCGGCGGACAATACCATTGGGTATCGGAGTTTGCCCCTCCTAGCTGCCAGAAATTCCTCAGCTACATCACCGGTAAGTTCTCCTACATCCCTTCCGCTCAACTCAACTAATTATGTAGGCTGGCTATGTGCTACAGGCTGGCAATGCGCCATTGTAGCGATCGCGTATTTGGCTGGAACTATCATCCAAGGCCTGATAGTGCTGAATCATCCGGATTATGAAGGCCAGCGGTGGCACGGCACCCTGCTGGTTATCGCCATCACCTTGTTTTCGATCATATTCAACACATTCCTGGCCAAGCGGCTGCCATTCGTGGAGGTATTGATTCTGATTCTGCATGTGTGCGGCCTGTTCGCGATCATAATTCCGCTGTGGGTCCTTGGCCCTCGCCGCAGCGCGAAGGAGGTGTTTACCGAATTCAACAACGGCGGAGATTGGAACAGCGCGGGAACTGCCACGCTCGTTGGATTCTCGACTACAATCACCGCGCTGATTGGATATGATTGTGCAGTGCACATGTGTAAGTCTATCTCTCGAATTGACGAACTTCGCTAATATTGTACAGCGGAGGAGATCAAAGATGCGTCTGAAACCCTGCCAAAGGCGATGATCACCTCTGTCTGCGTCAACGCCGCCTCCGGCTTCCTGATGCTGGTGACTGTCTGCTTCACACTAGGGGACATTGACGACATCCTGGCCAGCCCAACAGGATATCCGTTCATGCAGGTGTTCTATAACGCGACAGAGAGTCTGCCGGGAACGAACACCATGACCGCTATTCTAGTGCTGACTCTAACGGCGAGCACAATTACAGAGGTTGCAACGGCATCGCGCCAGTTGTGGTCTTTCGCGCGTGATCGCGGCCTTCCTTTCTCCGATTTCTTCGGCTATGTATGGTTTATTCTCTTTCTACAGCTTTGAAAATACTAACAGCGCCAGGTAAACCCCGGTTGGAATATCCCCTTGAATTCCGTGATGGTCTCGCTAGTAGTGACAGTCCTCTTGTCACTCATCAATATCGGCTCCACAACCGCACTACTCGCCATTGTGACCCTGACCATTGGCGCAATGATGTCCTCATATATCATAACAATTGCATGCGTGCTCCTCAAGCGTATCAGAGGAGAGCCTCTCCCACCGCACAAATGGACGCTTGGCCGGTTCGGCATGGCAATTAATATCGGGGCGTTGTGCTTCCTCTGCCCGGTTTTCGTGTTCGCATTCTTCCCGCTCACTTCCACGGTGGAGCCAGAAACCATGAACTGGTGCGCAGTGATGTACGGTGGGATTCTTATCGTCGCGGTGGTTTATTATGTGTTGCGGGGACGGCACCACTATATCCCGCCCGTGGCGCTGGTGAAGCGAGAGATGTAGGCGCTACCAACCTGAATAACTGTTACATTAGAGGGAGGAAAAGTGATTAGATAGGGTAATAACTAGAGATACAACAATAGCTACATTCTCGGATGATAAAGTGGATTCTTCGATGCAACGGCGTAGATTTGAGAGCAGCCGTATCAGTGGTTGGGCAACACGACATCCCAAACTCTGGATATATTTTAGGAGAGAAAGTTAATCCAGGGTTAATAGAGACTGGGTCAAAGGTTATTCAGACTTCGTAGAAAAGTTAGTTTCACAAATTATGCCGTCTTTTCCCGCCATCTATTAGAAAACTAAATCAAGAAAAGAGACTATGTTGTACTAAAAGACTACTAAAAAGACTACTGAAGACTACTACGGAGCTAGCTAGATCAGGCCGTTCTTAGCGACAGCAGCCGCAAACGCGGCCGACCTCGGGACTAGTTATGTATTCTTGTGGTACTTGATAAAGAGAAGGAAAAGGAAGGACTTGGCAGCCTCGTGCCTCGTGGATATGAAACAAGCGTGCAAGATAGTAGCACGATCCAACCAGGACCTTTTTCCACTTTTTTCCACTTTTTTCCACTTTTTTTACAGACTCAAGCCAATGATATATTTTAACAGCACGGCCCTCAGTATCAGCTTAATAGATAGTCACCAACTGCCTACGTAGTGTCTAGCTAGAATATATGGACTAGCGAATTCAGAGGGCTGTACGGAGTCCAATTGACGAGGAATCGAAGGAATCCTAGGTTTAGTGATTAGAGAATATTCTGGAAAATTGGGTGCTTGGGACGCGCATTTCTATGGCCTGATCCTTTGGGTTACAACGTATGTTATACTTCGTCGTGAGTGTTCTAAAAAGGTCGTGAGCATAAGCTCGATGCGTTTTTTAATTTATTCCATATTCAGGTGGAGGTGGGGGCACTCTAAGCGGAAGGGTTCCAAGGTTTCGGCCCCCATTCAGCCCCATATCGCCGAACTTTGTTCCCAGTATGTACGAAGTCTCCGAGCCCGTCCGGTTGGAGATGACGAATTATTTTAATTTATTAGTTGCTAACGTGGCGGAGCGCCCGCTCGGTCGAGATATCTTAAGTGGAAGGCTTTCGGCCCCCATACGACACTATCTACACACTTCGGCTGGCTGGTAAATTAACCCAATCAAACTTAATCTATGTTACGTTCGATCGGGTTCCAGCTCGAGACTCGAAAAGATCGACTAACTTGATCGGGAAAACAATGGTTTGTATCACCTCTACACTACTCCGTCCTGGGCCCCTATCATGATTAGGGTTTTCTAGAATTCTAGTTCCTTAATGATGTTAGGATGCCGAGTCTTGAGCTCAAGTGGTTTGAGCCTACCCGAGCTACTAGCCCCAAGGTTACTATCCTTGCTAGGTCCCTCCACTTAAGTTGCCTGAGCTGTGTGGCCACCATCGACGGAGTCAGCATCATGGTCGCTGGTTATCGTCCTTTCGTATTTCTTTTCAAACGATATCCTCGCTGAAACTTCCAAGCCCAAAGACGTGCCACAATGGCCATTAAAGTGCCCCCCGGCCAGTCACCGCCTTTCGAGACAATAGACGACAGGCATCATGCCGGTATTATTATCATTACCGCTGCCATATGCCTAGTGATTTCGCTGGTCTGTCTGCTGATCCGGGTGTATGTGCGGACATTCCTCAGTCCACCGTGGGGATCAGACGATATCATCCTTTTGGGAGCGACCGTACGCATGGAAAGAAACTGGCATATTCCGTAAATGGGGCTAACGGGAATAGATATCCGCAATTATCGAGTCAATAGTCATCTTCCACGCCGCGAGCATCGGCTTTGGGACGGACATATTGCTACTCACCGAGAAGGCCGTTGATCGCATACAAAATGTTCGCATTACCCAATGTCCCATTCAATTGTATACACTAACAGCATAGTCCCTCCTCGCCGCCGACATCCTCTACCTCATAACCCTGTACCTCTCCAAATGCTGCATCATTGCCATCTACTTGCGCCTGACGCCCCGCAAGCACCACAAGAGTATTCTCTGGGCGACGTTCGTGCTTAGCACAGTGGGGATTATAGTATCGATACTGCTTATCGCAGTGAACTGCGAGGGAAACAAGCCGTGGGTTATACCTGGCGAGCAATGCCATAACCTGGTATGTCTACTTGAAAAACCACCGCGAACGGAATATACAGACGTAGAATCGGATATACTAACGATGACAAGTTCCCCCGCTGGCAAGCAATCACCGCGCTCGACATTTTGACCGAACTATTACTTTTTGCCTTCTGTATCGCCCTAATCTGGGGTCTGCAGATGCAAATCACACATAAAATCGTGATTATGGTGTCCTTCGCGGCGAGGCTACCGTACGTCCCTCTTCCACTTCCCACAATCTAATATATGGAACTAACAAAATTCAAACGATAGATTAATAGTATTCTCCGCCATCCATCTCGCCAAACTGAAGGAATACACAATCGTGAAAAACCCCACCTTCACCGCAATCAGCCACACAGTCTTCACCCAGCTCCACCTCAACTACGCCCTGATAGCATGCACGGTATTCTGTCTGCGCCCCTTCATGAATGCCCTCAGTACCCACTACGGCACGGCCGGCGACTCAAACCTTGGTAGTAGCAGCGGCGGCTATGGATACGGTTCTGGGTCTAGGAGACGTGTAAATACAGACCCCTACGCTTCTGGGCGGTCGCGGGATTACGAGATGGGCAATGTAAAGGGAAGACCCTCCCGTCAGGTGAGTGGTTTGTTCAAGGAGAGGCCGCACTTGGGCGATGGGACGGAGAATAGGACGGTCGTTTGTGAGGCTTCAGGGCCGTCGCATTCTGGGGAGGGGAGGTCCGAGGAGGACAGGAGCAGTGAGCGTAGTGGCAGCGATGTGAGTACGAGGATGATTATTCGGAAGGATGTCGAGTATACTGTTTCTGTGGAACGGTAATAGATCTTTTCTTTTGTTTTGATGAAAATATGTCTTCCAAACCCATGTATATATAATACCAAGGACTACAGCAACAGTAGATAGTTCAAGATTGATAGAATTCTGTAACTATATCCGACGTTGAGCAGTCGTGAGGTTAAGATTTAATTTATAGAATTACATAGCCAACGAAAAGTCCCCAAGGGAATCCTGCCAAGCAGTAGGGAAATAGAACAAATTGAGCCCCGGAAAGTCCCACTCGGAGACAAACTGCTCAGGGACAAACCATTGGAGATCCGCTTGGGCATCAAACAACTCCCAGAACGGCGACGTATCCGTGGGCCCATCTGAGCTGGGTTGCTGGGCCTCCATCAATGCACGCCCGTACTTCTCAATACTGACCTTCAAGATTTGAAGATAAATATTCCCAGCACCGGACTGAGTTCCACTAGCTCCAGCTTTACTCAGCTCATCGACGAGTCGGTTACCTTGTTCCAGCAGCTCTTGGTGCTCCTCGTCGCGCTCAGGGATCAGACGGGATAATTTGAGAAGCAATAGGAAGGAGAACGCGCACTTGGCCCAGACAAAATCCATTGCATATTTCAGTTTGGCGAGGTAGAAGTCTGGATCGGCAATTATGAGGCGAAGATGGCGGCGTGCACTTGCTTTGGCTGTGAGGAGGATTGTTCTTTCCGTGGTGGACATGGCACTTCACGTTTGTGTTAAAACAGATGGAGGCATATGTTCTTCTAGAGTAGTACTCACGCTACGTTCTCAACACCCATGGATCGTAATGCTTTGCAGTTAAGCATCATTTCGGTCCAGCATTTCTGTACCCGAAGGGCGACTAGTAGCGACGGCTTCTCTTCGGCGGCGGCGACACAACCTTCTTCGAATTGTTAGAAAGTTTCAGCGCATTATTTCATCTGATTTTATACCGATAATGCGTAACCAGTCACTGCCCGGGGTTAGCGGGTTTTTTAGGATACGGTAAAACTGGAAAACTTACTCGAACCACAAATCTAGCTCGATTTTCATATCATGCACGTAATCCGCGATGCTTTGCCCATCGAGCGATGTGTTTCCTCCTAGGGCATCACCGACATTGGCTATAGAAGGTAAATTAGTCATTGCATCTAAATCCACCGAAAGGTCATACCTCTGAGAATATTTAACTAAGAAAGATTAATACTTCTTCAAGTCTGTTTTAGATACCCCACATACCTCAACCTGAGAGAACAAACGTAAATCCAAAATAGTCGACCATGGATGGCTAAGTAAAACCCGACAGCGGCGGGAGTTCCCCTTTAGCCGAATGCCAGGTGGTTTTCCTCCGTCAAGTCGGAATCTACATTGCATATGATTAGCCTAGTAACCCATAAAAATAAGCCAAGCTCATCTTACATATGCTCGAGAACCAAAAGCCCGAACCACGTCCGAGCATTCCACATAAGGGCTCTCTCCTCTTCAAACATTTGATGTGGCAAGGCGTAAGCCATATCTTCGTTCTGAAGAGCAAGCCGCCGGGTTAATTCATCAAAGGCCTCATCCAATTCCAGATCCAGGGCCATGCGAGTGGCAAAGGATAAGATTAGTGAGCGTTCTGCGGAATAACAAGCAACTACGAGCATTGCTTGAATTGATTCTCGGCAGTTTAATTGTTTGTTCTGGATTATGACGTTGATCCATTTCTTGAGTTCGGCGTGGAGAACGTCGGACATTGAACCACCTCCAGATCCTGGAAGAGACTGTTTAGTACAATAGTACTGTACAAAATATACCAGGGGTGGGCATTCACTAGTTTCGACCATGCAGCCAATGGTACAAATTGCGTTGAGAAGGATACTACTTCGAGATCGGACCGAGTCAAAGGTGTCGTATTGAGGGTCGAAGATCGGGATATACCTGTCCTGTATAATTCACGAAACATGAGGATTTAAAGTATGGCAATAAGGGTTGATACATACACATCCTGCAAAGAAGCTGAAATCTCTCAAGTCAGTAAAACATAATTAATCCCCGAATAACTCCCGGATCATACATACGTATTGAAGTATGAAACAGCACATTCAAGCGTGATGAGGCCTTTATCAATAAAGTCCGCAATAGGCTCATCTCGAATCTCAAACCCAGACCGTTTTCTTTTGGGTGGTCTAGTAATTATCTGACTGCGCGCGTAGGGAGGCTGAGTCGATGTCTCATTTGGAGAGAGCGTTTGTATGGTCCCCGACATAGACCTTTGGTATTGGTGGCAATTTGTATACCTAGCGGAGCCAGTGACAGGTATATGTGGGAATAAACCTTCGGGGTGATCCTGTGAATGAGGAAAACGAGAGCCACAAGCGCTCTCGCGAGGCACATCCTGTTGCCTATCACAGAGGTGGCTTGGGGAGTGTGTTAGTTGGGACTTTGGGGTGGGCTGTGAACGGCTCTGTTGAAACAACTCGCGCATCTGGTCTAGCTGTTTTCGGAGATATTGAACTTCGGACTCGACGCCTTCGATCCGCCTGGATGATGTTAGTCTTGGTTGATAACACCTTAGGACACTTCGTACTCTGAGACGGGGTCTTTCGGTATTTCGAAGAACACGCATTGCTTTTCTAATTTTTGACATCTGATTTATCAGGATAAGCTTTAAGCTTCATGTAAATCTGGAATATAACCACCTTGTACATGGTCTCTCTCCGTCGCATTTTACCTTGAAAGGATCAGTCAAAACCCCACAATATGCAGGCTCGGGAGGCCTGGGCACTGACCTTCGATTGTCGACAAGCACTGCAGGCTTTCTATGCACCAAAAACGCCATGCATTGTTAGGCTTCGTCCGCTGTTGTGGGGTCCTAATCCGAATAGCGACGTACCGGAATGCGTTTTTTCCCCGTTGGCGCTGGAATAAGGTGCAAGGATTCATCCTCTATCACCGTACTGTACGGGCTACATTCAGACTGATCAGCCATGTAGAGTCAGCCGTCTTCTGCTCGCACTGATGATTGTCGGGGTTGACGGGAAGGGGAAAACCTGGAGAAACGCGGGGTTCGGGTTTTTCTCCGAGCCGGCTATACAATCAACCAGGTCCCACAACGAAATAGTTCAGCAAAGGAAAAGCTCTAATTTAAGGAGACTTTGGTGGTTCTTGCTTTTGACTGTAATTATAAACATATTATATTCCAATTTACATTTAATCAATACAAAGGTGCTATATCAAATAATGCGAAATCAGATGTTCCCACTATAACACAGACTAATTAAACTTGCCACCTTAGAAGACATAGACAAAGTCCTCATTTTGCAAGTCAGTGAGATCTTTCCAGGCATTGTCATTTGCTGCTTGTTGAGGCAAATCCTCCTTGGCATCGTCGGAGACAGCTTGAATGGCTTGCATCGACTGGTCTACAATCTTAGCGTCCTTGCCGAGAGACACACGTCTCTTCTCATGCTGCTTGTTCAGGAAGTACAGATATGTGGTATTTGCCCTAATAATTCGTAATTAGAAAGAATGATCACTCGAAGTTGGTTAAAACCTACCCGGTGAGACCTATCAAGACACAAAACATCGCGAGACTGGGCGTGCGTTAGATATTTGACGCACAAAAACTTGTGCGTTGATAAACTTACTTAGAAAGCAGACCACGACGATAAAGCGGTGCTTCATTTGTGGTATATAGGTTCGGTCCAAGGACCTAGGTAAGACATATGTCAGCACGAAAACCCGATGTGACGGCTTACAGTGTTACATACATTACCAGCGCACTGCCCGACATACAGGATAGCGGTTGTAACCTTTTTTTTTGTTTCTCCTGCTGTGTTTCCTGCAGACCAAGAGTATATTAAAGGTGCTAGAGATGGTTAGCTGGGCTTAAATCCCGGAATGAGGTAAACGCTTACTGATGGCTGGGTACACAGAGATCTAGATGAAATCGATTAGCTTCACTCCACAGTGATGTTTCGTTTCAATTCAACACTTACAATATAGTATCCTGCAAGTAAAGGCCCTTTGTGGGCATTGTCGTGCGTAATCTGTAATAGCATCACACAACCCGCGATGGGTGGGAGACAGAGCAATGCCAAGACTGGACTCTTCATTTTCCAAATGGTTGCTAGCCAAGCTCCTCCCATTGTGGCGACAAGCTGCACTGCACCGAAGGGAATGTTGAAAAGCATAGTATCATATTGGCTGAGGCCAAAGGATTTGATAATCAAGGGCCCGAAAGTAGTGATGCCGCCACTTGGAACACTGATGAGTGGTTAGCAATCTTAGTGCAGTGATTTGTACGATTTGAGCTCACTCACGAAATAGAGAACATTAACGCAAACCAGAACCATGACTTGGGATCGAGGATTGCTTCTTTTGCGTGGTCCCATTTCCACTCTTGGCTCTCAACACCCTGTTGATTCATTCGTTGTCTTTCAATAGATAGAAGTTTGTCCTCCTCTCCGAGGAACTTGGCGGACACGGGGGAATCGGGCATGAAAACACTAAGCAAGATTATCTTAGTATAATACGGCGAAAAGGGGAACATGGTCAAAACTTACAGGACAACAGCAGAGAACCCAACCGTAACTAGGCCGAAAAAGAGGAAGATGATCTAGTCGGTGTTAGATGTTAATACCTCGACAGGCAATTATGTATTATAGCTCACCTGGTAAGGCGCAAATATAGAGGAATTGATGTGACCTAGTCCAAAGGCAATCAAGCTTCCAAACTTTCCTTCGGCGTTAATATAAGTGCCACGAGGACAACATGGGAGGGAACTCACCATATTCACGATTCCGTTCATCGCATACCACGAACTCAACCTCACAGGCTGCTCACGACGCCGGTACCACATTTGAGTGACTGCAATAAACGCGGGTGCTGATAAAGCTCATCGTTAGTAGGGATGGCTAGGTATTACCAGGAGACAACGAACCAATTCCAGCTTCAAAGATACCAAGGAAGATTCGGCAAGCAAGCAGCTCTCCAAAAGTTGTAGCTGCAGTCATGCATGTTAAAGCAATGCCCCATAGCAGGCAGGACACGGCCAGAAACTTTCCTAGGGGCACTTTAACCAGAACATAGGCAACCAGGGGTTGGAACACCAGCTGCGCCAGATAGATTGAACCCCCCAGCCAAGAGTATTGCTGGCCATGGAGATGGGCTTTCTCAACGATTCCGAACACCGAGGCGTACGAGATGGTTGACTTATCGAGTTGCTGAAGGAAGTAGATTCCAAGGAGAATGGGAAGCACACGCAAATCGATCTTTCGAAGAACTTTGGCGTTGTTCTCAGGGGTTAGGATGGTTGAGTGCCCTGCCTCTTCAATAAGTTGCAAAGCATGATCTCCTTTGGGCTGACTTCCTGTGCCATTATTTTGAGGAGGCACAGCTTGTGACAGCTCGGGGTCAATGGTCTCCACGAACTCCTCCCGCTGGTTCTTTGCCTGTGAAGTTGACTCCTGCGACATAGCTAATCACTCGCAGAGACACGGTGGGAAATAATAAAAGACCAAGTAGGTATAAAAAGACAATGAATCAAGCTGAATAGGGGGAGACAAAATACGTAAACCTGAGATATATGTAGTACAGCCTGTATGCACAACCCCGTGGGGAAGGAACTATATTACATTCCCCGGAGAAGAGAGCCAAACCCGAAGTGTCACACCACGTACAACATAGTTTTCTTCCTTTCTAGCCCTTGGCATAGTTGGCGATAAAAATTTGTATAGTCCACGCGGTCAGTTGACCTGGAGAGAAACGGCAAGACACGATACACGCGGCCGACGTCGGGATGTATTATCCAATCACTTCCCTGAGGCAAATTCTATGGGAGGGGCGATGGAGGAAGAGGAGTCATGAGAAGTGCCGAAAATCGTTAATATCGGGTTTCGGTGCGCAAAGCCGAGAGAAAAACTAATGTGGGGCCTCCCCGGACGTTCTTTGTGGGGGAAATGCGGAGGTTTACGGCAAAATTAATCCCGGAACCTGCCCTTCCTTTCCCTCTCAACCGTCGCGTCTCCGCTTCTCGGGGATTATCTCCGGATTCCGATTCTACACAGCTACAATGCATCATTCGTACCACCGTGGGGTACATGAAACGATGGGACTGAGGGGAGCTCGACTAGCATTCAAATACACCACTATGTCAGGGCATATCCTGGTATTCTCTCCAGTTCCTCCGAATCAATTGCATTGTCTTTCACATTCATCATGCCTCAAAGAGAAGTCTGCCCCAAGGGCTATTCGCAAGTGCCACAAGCCACTGATCAAGAAGCTTCCGTCCACCTCCGAAGCAGCACAAAGAGCAAGAGTGCTTTTGATTTCACTTTTGAAGCTATTCGTCCCAATCTATTCCGAGCCACTTTCGCCTCCACAGAGCACCCTATTCCTCCCTATCCGAGTGTCACCAAGCCCGAGATCAACCTCCAGGGCGCCAATGTCTTCACCAAGGAGGGTCCCTCCTCCAAAACAATCGATGTCGCCGGTGTCACTGCTTCCATAGACTGGGAATACACCCCTGTGGTCAAACTGTCATGGACCGGCTCCGAAAAGCCTCTGCACAAGGATTTGCCGCTGCGATCATACATTGTAGACGGCGAGGGTGTCGCCAACTATTCAGTTCATGACCGCGAATGCCTCCATGTCGGACTCGGCGAGAAGGCAGCTCCCATGGATTTGACTGGTCGTCAATTCCAACTATCGGCCACCGACTCTTTTGGATATGATGTATACAATACGGATCCCCTCTACAAGCACATCCCGCTTCTGATCAAGGCTTCTGCAGAGGGATGTGTGGCCATCTTCTCGACCACCCATAGCCGCGGTCTGTGGTCTGTGGGAGCCGAGATCGATGGGCTCTGGGGACACTTCAAGGTGTACCGCCAGGACCATGGCGGTATTGAGCAATACTACATTGTTGGCAAGACCATCAAGGATGTTGTCCGCTCGTATGCCGAGTTGGTTGGCTTCCCCATTCTGGTCCCCCGCTGGGCCTACGGCTATATCTCCGGTGGCTACAAGTACACCATGCTAGATGAGCCGCAGAAGGCTCATTTGGCCCTTCTGGAGTTTGCGGAGAAGCTTAAGCAACATGGAATTCCCTGCTCGGCTCACCAGATGAGTTCGGGCTATTCCATTGCTGAGACCGAGCCCAAGGTTCGCAATGTCTTTACATGGAACCGAGAACGCTTCCCGGATCCCCAGGACTGGATTGCCAAAATGCACCAGTACGGTATCCGACTTCTCACCAACATTAAGCCTTTCCTGTTGGCTTCTCACCCCGACTTCCAGAAGCTTGTTGATGCCGGTGGCTTCTTTAAGGATGCCGAAAACCAGCCTGGATACATGCGTCTGTGGAGTGCTGGCGGTGCCACCGGTGGCGATGGTGCCCACATAGACTTCACCTCAGCGGAGGCCTTCAAGTGGTGGTACGACGGTGTCCAGAGTCTCCAAAAGGTTGGCATTGATGGTATGTGGAACGACAACAACGAATACACCCTACCCGACGATGATTGGACCATGTCCCTCAATGAGCCCACTGTCGCCGATGCCGCAGCGAAAGACGTCAAGAACTCCGTCGGTCTTTGGGGTCGTGCCCTCCATACCGAGTTGATGGGCAAATCTTCCCACGATGCCCTGCAGGACATGGAGCCCAAGCTGCGTCCCTTCGTCCTGACCCGCAGCGCCACCGCTGGAACCCTCCGTTACGCCGCATCCTCCTGGAGCGGCGACAACGTTACAAGCTGGGAAAACATGAAGGGTGCCAACGCCCTGTCTCTAAACGCCGGCATGTCCCTTCTCCAATGCGAAGGACACGACATTGGTGGATTCGAAGGCCCCCAGCCCTCCCCGGAGCTCCTCCTCCGCTGGATTCAAATAGGCTGCCACGCTCCCCGCTTCGCAATCAACTGCTTCAAGACTTCTCCCAAGGACTCTGACGTCGGCGATGTCATCGAGCCCTTTATGTACCCTGAGATCACACCTCAGGTCCGCGCCACCATCAAGCGTCGTTACGAAATGCTGCCCTACATCTACTCTCTCGGTCTGGAGAGCCACAAATTCGCAACACCGCCACAGCGCTGGACCGGTTGGGGTTACGAGTCTGATCCCGAGGTGTGGACAAAAGCACTCAAGTCAGGCGAGGAACAGTTCTGGTTCGGTGAGACCGTGCTCGTTGGTGGCGTCTACAAAGCCGGTATCGATGTCGCGAACGTCTACCTGCCCCGAAAGTCCGGCAGCGTCTTTGACTATGGCTACGTCAACATGAACGCTCCGTACCAGTACCTCGCATCTGGACAGTGGGCCAAGATCTCGTCGGAATGGCAGAAGAGCATTCCCCTCATTGCCCGTGTCGGCGGTGCCATCCCTGTCGGCAAGAGCGTGCACACCCGTGTTCCTGGTGATGAGACCGCTGCATCAGTGGCCGTCCAAGATGTCGACGATTACCGTGGTGTGGAAGTGTTCCCGCCCAAGGGAACTTCGCACGGTACTGTCTTTGCTACCACTTGGTATGAAGATGATGGTATCTCCGTCCAACCCGGCACTGCTGCATACACGATTACCTACAGCTCAACCGAGGAGAAGGTACTTGTTAAGTTTGAGCGTGACGAGGCTGGCTTTACTCCTGCTTGGAAGGATTTAGATATTGTTCTACATAATGGGGATCAGCGCCGTGTTGTCTCCAGCACTGGCGATGAGATTGTGCTCAAGGGTACAGACTCACGTGGTCGTGTTGTGTATACTCTCAAGGCTTAGGTGTTTGGGTTTTGTATATAGAAAGGTTTTCCCAGGCCCGTGGATATAGACTTACATTTGGGATATACCAGGTTAGATTGAGGATCGATGAATTTACGTGAATTTCTAATGTTTTCGATGAGTATTCTGGCATGACAGGGCTCAGCTCTCGCCACATTTATAAGGCCTGCAAGTAAATTTTGTTTCTGGCTCAGGCTCAGTAACAATTAGCATTGCTGAATAGCGCGCATTTTCGCCTGATTGAGGCCTTAATGCCTGATAGTTGGCCTGAACTAACTAGTTAACTAGGAGCATCGCTTTACGTAAATTATTCCGGGACGGAATAACCGGGCCCGACGACCCCATGAACATGAAGCTTTTGGCGCCAAGAGATATTATATTTAGACGTGGATGACCACGCTATGGCACGGTGGCAATTGTAATTCCTCCGGCATCCCAGGAATCTATCGCTCTACTGGCCACTATTCAACACGTTGGTGATATGGTCCAATTCCTCTTCCCACTGAATATCCGGCTCCTCATCCTCAAACGGATCAGCATTCAACACAGTCACGTCCACATGCACATCATCCCCGAGTGTCATTTTACCACGGCCGACCAGCGTGCACAATTCATCCAGTAACCCAGGTCCATTGGCTGTAGCCAGCTTGGGGTCAACATACACCTTTACGTTGAAGGTTTGACCTCTTCGGAAGAAGAATCCCTTGCTATTGATCGCGCGGTCATTGTTATCAAGCGGGAATGGGTGCATCGTTTCCTCGCGGTAATCGGTCAACGCTAGGATGAGACCTTCTCCCTCTCCGAGGCGAGGCGCTACTTTGTCATGGAGCTCCTTGTCCAGCTGGATGTTACTAGATGAAAGATTGATGTTCGGCGCTTGGAGGAGCATGTGCGTGATATGGTGTTGTTCTTTCGTGCCGAAGAGATAGAATGGCATGAAGTTACGGGGGTAATGATTGTCTCGGAAATTGGAGTTCAATCCCCGACTCTTCACCACTCGGTTCATCGTCACGTTGCATCGGATCGTGTGTGAGTAGTATCCTGCTTCAACGAGGCCGATCTCACCCTCGATTTGTGGACGAGAGTGGGTCGCGTCCTTGATTTGAAGCATTAAGCTTTCGAGATGAATCGGACCATGCGACGCGAATCCGATGTCTTCACAGGGGAATTTTTCTCGCAGTGCGATGTATTGACTTTTGACATCTTTCCGTAGTTCCACCGCCAAGATGATCTGTTGACGCTGGGTTGCGCGATGGAATTTTGTCTGGAACTCCAGGAACACTTCATCCGTTCCTCGTAATAGGAACTCGATAGTATTTGCCGTAGGACTATTTCGCGGGCGGCATGAGTTCTTGACTTCATCAATAATGGTCTCCTCCAGTTTCTCCATCAGCTGATGAATGAAGCCACGTTCTGTCGGAAACGGACTCATTACAACGTTGCGCAGAACCCAGAGATCTTGTGCACAGGGCTCGAGGTGTAGTCGTTTCATGAAGTTCTGCGCACATTTGCCATATAATGCGGGCTCGAATTGCGTGGAGGTCAAGAAGAGGGGGATTTTACTGGGGTCTTTGTCACTCCTTGTGATCGATAGTCGGTTGACTACTCGTCTCATCAGGTAATTCGCTTCCTCAAGGTCGGTGTTGATGGTCCCATCGGCATGGTACCAGTTTAGGGCGAATGCGTTGATGTTCAGATCTGAGCCGATTTCCCGAAGCCATTTCATCGCACTGGGGTTGCTGCTGACTTTGGCGTTATCTTTCGTCAGAACATGTTCCCAAATAAGTTCACGTTGGTGGTCTGCTTCTTCTGACAGGATGTCGTATCCCTCTTTCTCGATCGGCAGTCGGTTGAATGGAACGATGACATAGTAGGATTTGCCATCTTCCTTGGGTTGCTTTAGGTGCATAGCTGCGTAGAAGGCCGATAGCTATCAGGGGTTAGAAAGCGGATCGTAATACAGACAGAAAGGGGAATCCTACCCGTGCACTGGTAAAGGCTGCTTCGCCCAACAGCATCCCGTATCCTCTTGGATCCAATCCGATAGTCTGATTTGAGAGCCATGCAGCCATCGCAGCAGCACCGGGCTTACTTCCCTCAACACCATATACGCCGATGTTTTCCATTGATCCCTGAGTGAGGTATGGACTAGTCCAGGTAACCAAGAATCGCATGCGACCGTCCCGATAGCAGAGACTGCCCGCAGGGTAGGGGATATAACCCGCCTTGTGTGGATCAACCGTGATAGAGTCTGCCTCTTTGAGTGCAATCATATGCTTGACGGTATCGGGTTTCAGGGTCAACGAAGGAACGTTGATGACGGCGTTGTCTCCATCCTTCCTCTTCGTTGCTCTTCCCGGGGCCATATAAAATCGTGGAATCATGCTGGCAAAGTATCCGCCCCAGGCTGCATCGGCGTGCACCAGGAATGACAGCCCCTTGTCTTGAAATCGACGTCTCATTGCCAAAATGTCATACAACGGATCCACTTCACCTTCTTCCGTGGATCCGATGATGGCCACTACGGCGTATACGGCTTGACGCTCGGTCACACATCGATCGAGCTCTCGCTCCAGCGCTTCGATGGAGATATGCCCGTCCATGTCTAGCTCCACACCCTGCATATTGGCCGAACCAATTCCGGCGATCGCTAGGGATTTATCAGTAATCGGTCACTCTAGGGCAGAAAAGTGAAGAATTACCTCCGCCTTTAGGCCACGAGTAGTGTCTCGTCTGGGCCAGGAAGTACTTGGTGGGCTTGGTAATGTTGAATTCGCGCTCCAAAACATCCTTCCCTGTGGTTTGAATGCTGAAAGGTGTCAAGGCATTCTCTAGGAACTTGGACGTGATACCATATTGCCGATACAGAGCATCTCCCATACTCAAGATGACCTCCGATCGAAGATTCAAAAGTTCCCAGTTCCCTAGATCCCTGAAAAGCTTCTCCTCTCCCACACAAGTGGTGACGTAGAAGCTATCAGCAATGAAGCCAAGGCTACCTTCCTTCATGGCTTGGTAGAGTGTGAGGGGGTAGAACTTCAGATTCCGAGCTGTACATTGGTCAATCCCCGAGTCTTTGGCATCACAGTGAGTAGGTATGCTTACCAACCCAGATCGATTCCAAATTAGCCACTGTTCCATCGCAAGTGATATGGCCCCAGGACAGCGGCATTTCCAATTTTTTAGAATCGGTATTGTATCCAAACATATCGCATAGCTGCTTTCCAGCCCGGAGCTCGATGACGGTCGTGAACGGACTAGCCTCCACGGTGACATTGTTGGGATTGTAGATCATCGTCATGAAATAACCCAGTAGCCCCGGCATAGTCATGTCCGTACACATGTGACCCTCATAGCGAGGATGCCAAAATGGAATGGAATGTTTTCCCAAGAGTGAGACAGCTTTCTTGACTGCTTCATGGAAATTTTGGGTGATTTGTTGGAACTCCGGAGAGGTTCGAACATCCTCGGTGATAAAGACCTGTTATTGTCAGTTTCTATACCCGTCTTTCATCTGCATTGTGCTATTATGGGGTGTTGGAACACACATCATCATCGGGTTGGTAATCAGAACGTGTCTTTTCGATTTGATCTAGGATCGCTGTAATGTTGGCTCGGAAGTTGCCCATATTTTCGGATTTAGGTCCGATGAAGTACGAGCTGATGACATTGTGGGGATTGTTTTCTTTGCGTGGTTCATTCATATTGGTGTTTTCCTTGTGTCCTTCTTCCTTTCTCGAGATGTCTGTCAGACCATCAACTCGTCGGGGGATAACCAGATACTTATACCACTCTTCCTTTTCATAACTGGCGATTCCAACAATACCCCTCTCACTAATGGGTGAAGCTTCCCTCCTCTCAGGCCAATGGCTTTCATCAGCAGCGACCCACACTATACATGTAAGTCGCTTTGCCTCTGGACCCTACGGATAAGGAATCGATCAGCCTTCTAATGGAGTCATAACCACACTGATGATCCCGGTTTGCCCGAGACAAACTGCGACCTACGTAAACAATAAATGAAAGTATGATAGGTCATACAGCAAGTCATGCACAGTCACGTCAATATGGAGGATATTTTTGAATCTCCCGCTCGAGCCGGTCCGTTCCGTGCGGTATGAACTACTGCGGAGTAGATATATCGCCACTAGACCTTGTGTCTCGGCTGGATAGAGTGTGTGGAATTTGTGGCTGGGCTGAAGACTAGCGCACTAAACTGCAGATCCTGTCGATCAAGCTGCTTACTTATAAGGATATACTTCGTCATAGACAATGTAGACCGTCGTCAACCTCCAGTACTCCACAGTACAGGTCATGCATTATGCACTATGTCAATAAGTCCAATACAAAATATCTTCATCTGCGTAAAAGGTGGTATATATCCGGTTTCTACACATGGGTGGGGAACTTGGGCACTTTTACATAACATATAGATGCTGCGTTACTTGAATCTGCATGTTTTGCCCGCTATCATTTGCCTCGAAGTATGGTATCGCGCTGTGGCCCAGATATCGCTCGACGCACGCACTGGTAGCGACTTGGGATCTTCAACTAGTCGAAAAACGTGCGAAATAAGTAGCTACTCAGAACATCATCACCAATTGGAAAAAAGGCAGGGAGGATGCAGATATGAGCATACTAGACTGGAACAAAGGGTTAAGATATGAAAGAAAATATATAGTGCACTCCATCGATCGAAGCCAGTGTTATTGCAATGAAAACATGCGAATTTTATATTTCCTATCTAACTAGATCTCTAAGTTGGCTCGGGTCAATTCTTTGCCGCTACTACCTCCATTTCTGACATAAAAGACCTGGGAATCATAGGAATAGGCAAAGAAGATTTTATTCTTGAAAGTATGTGTATTTCTAACCTAACTAACCATGCGTTTTGTGAGTCATTAAAACCCCCTATTTCAGAGCCGAGGCTAGATAGACGCGGCGGGCAGCCAGCTTGGAAGTATCACAAAACAATCATTAGCGTACGGAAACCTCAGATCATCCAACGCAAAGTTCCAGGCCTTTGCAACCCGATTGTCTGGCAGATGATAGGGGCGACATTCCCACCCCAGGGTAATCTCGTCAGCGATTCGAAAATAGAGATTGAATGGTGGTGTTGTGATCCCTGGATATGACACTGGACCTGAGCGTTTCGAAGGAAGTCATAGCTATATGTCAACTTGGTTTGACTATTACGGTTCCTGCAATTCGTATAATAGAAAGACTGGGCAAACTGTTGGTGTTGCATATTAAGATCTCTATGAAGCTATTCAAAGATCACCTGATCTGGCAATATGAAGAGAGTTCCATTCCACATGAATCTACCCCGTACCATAACTGGCATTAAGTACTCCGTACGGGTCGTATTTAGTCAATTAGCCATAATCCACCATCTTGCATTAAATTTCCGTTTTCGAAATTGAATTATCTCTCTCATTCGTGGTGCTAGAATTAATTTAAATTGCTTCATGCCCTGAAAAAAAGGATGCCGCCAAAAGCTTTATATTCACGGGGTCATCGGGACTGGTTATTCCGTGCCGGCTGTAAATAGATGCCTAAAAGCGGTCGAAACTCAGGCCGAATTTCAGGCATTAAGGCCACAATTTGATAAAACGCGCTATGCCCCTTTGGTTACACTTCCCAGGGCAATTCCCGTTTCCACATCCACCTCAGGTTCACCCGCTTTACCATCTAATCTTCCAAAAGTGGATTTCAATTCATTCTGACTCATGCTCGAAATGCTGCCGACCCAACTCTTCCGTCTCCATAGTCAATTCCTCCACGAATAGAGAGCTCAAGAAACCCAATGCTCCAAAAGCGGCCACTTCATACCAGATTGTCTGCATGGCGTCCTTATATGAACCTCGAATGAGGTCCCGCAGATCAGGAGAGATATCGGCTGTTCGTAAATAGGGAATGAAGCTTACGGCCTCACTGGGTCTTTCAACAATGCCAAAGAAGCAGGTAAATCGATACCGCTAATCCTGTTGGCGAAGACACTGCTGAATGTAGTGGCATCAACTGCAAGACCAATAAGAGCACCGAATAGCCTGAACGCGACCATTATTCCCATTGCGAGACCCTGGTCATCGGGTGCAGCGCTGGCTTGCATTGGGATGGGAGGGACGCTGAAGATTGTGCCAATGCCGATCCCCGCAATCACCTGGAAGCCAGCAGTCATGGCTACTGAAGAAGATCGATCCCACAGTGAGAAGATACCACAGCCAACGGCGAGGAAAACCCATCCAGCCCAAATCTCCCATATGTATCTCCGAAAGAAGTCAACGGCGAAGGCGGCAATTCCGGTAAAGACAAATACCACACAGCAGAATGGTAAGATTGAGATCTAAGATTTCAACGGTGATTCGAGGTAGACCGCTTGGAAAAACAGTGGAAGATATTGCAGAAGAGTATAAAGCACGAAGCCATGGATGAAGCTTCCAAGCAGAGACATTTGTGCCGTTCTGGAACGGTAGCGGAAGACAGCGTCGGTCTGATAACCCTCGTAAAATGCAAATCCCACCAAAATCAAAACACCAATGATAAGCGGAACAATCGTTCGAAACGATCCCCAGGTGTACATATTCCCAGCCCAACTGAGTGGTAGGGCGAACAGAACACAATCGGCCGTAAATAGTGGCATTCCAAGCCAGTCGATACGCCCAAGCTGGGAGCGAAGGGACTGGTCAATTGGTCTTAGGCGCATAAAGAAAATAGCCAGGAAGAGGGCAATGCCGACTATAGGCAGATTAATCCAGCCGATCCATCTCCACGTAACAAACTCACTAAAGACTGCACCGAGAATAGGACCCGCGATGCACCCTGTCGCCATTGGAAGCGACAGTAACCCAATATACACAGCCCTCTCTTGCAGAGTAGTGATATCGGCGACAATGACCTCACCTCGGACGTCGAGTCCGCCTCCGCCCAGTCCTTGTAGAACACGTCCCACAATCAGAACTGCCATGTTTTTCGCGACGGCAAAGACAATCGATCCAATACCGAAAAGGGCAAAAGCCGCGTAAAGAGGGATCTTACGACCGCAGATATCTGAGAAACTGATATAGATGGGCTGGATAACCACGACTGCTACTGTGAAGGAGATGTTGGCCCAAAACGCGGTCAAGGTCGTGCCGAAAAGTTCATCGGTGATGGCCTATAGAGAGGAAGGGTTAGGTGAACTCAATGGCCGTTTGAATTGAAGGAGTTGTTATCGAATTACCGGGATTGCAACGGCCAACATGGTGGCATCCAGGGACACCAAGAAGACCATCAATAGCAAAGCTATAAATGCAAGATAGAATGACAGAGGTTTTGGCTTCCGGTTCCGTTGCCCTGTTTCGGGGTCGGTTGGTGGCAACGTATCCGACGCATTTATTTTCTCTGTACAGTCACATTCAGATTGGGATTGAGATTGTGCTAGATACTGGGACTGAGACGGAGCTTTGAGATCATCTCCTGAAGATGACTGGTCGGAGCATTCTTTCGTGTTTGGTGGTGTGGTTTCTATTGGTGAGGAAATTCTTCGGGTATTATTCTTTTGGATAAATCGAAGGCTGATACTCGAAGTTCTCCCTTTGAGAGAAAAAGGCTACAAATGTACACATAGTCAAGGGCTGTTCGAAGTGATTGGTAATGAGGTGGATTTGTAATCAATCTCCAGGGGTGTCTCCCATTGTTACATCCACCAATTCACGCGATAAGAAATGGCGCGATATAGTCCTTGTCGTTATGTACTGCTGCGTTATCTCCCTGCAAGCATCCAGATGGGGGTCCAAACAGGAAAAGAGTTTGAGTGGATGGGAAGTGGACTTTGGAGAGATTCGGGAGATCGACAGAGAGCGGGGTGACTAAGCGGTCATGTGAGCCATGGATGGATAACTGATGCGACTACAGTGTAGTGATGGAAAATGATAGAGGGAGAGAGTTGTCAATTCCTAAAGGGCAGAATGCCCGACTATCTAGTTATGGGGGTTGGTGCCTGCCGCACCGGGCTGATGGTCAGGTGACCACTATGTCCAACAATAACTAAAGTACGCTAAGGCAGAGATAAAAAGTACCATAGAGTGTGTGGTTATCTTATGTTCTTTTTCGATTCAGTGTCTTTAAATAGCTTTATGACTTAGATCCTTTCAAGATGGAATCTACACAATGTCACAAATGGGGCTCGATGATCATGCTGGTGGGTCGGGGAATATATATATATCTTCTGAAGCTTATTCTACACAGAGAGATTTCAAACTTACGTGGGGTCATTAGCCTGTTGCCAATGTAGACACAAAAGGTACGCTGCAGCTGGGAATGCTCACTGCACTTGAACTGTGTCAGGCTAGATTATTGATGTGAATGTTCAGAAGAAGGGAAGAAACTGTGAGTGTTGTTGATCAAAACTACGTGCCGAGGTGCTGGTACCAAACCCATGGTCCCAAGCAATATTGTAAATTCGCTCTATATTATAAAATTACCGACCTGCACAACCGACTCGAAACCTGAAGCCCTTGTAGTCACGTTGCATGCTTGCTGCATGTTCCTTTCATTCCCGCAAATGCAGTGGCCATCTTCGATGCCGATAGCAACTCTAGAATTTGATTTACGGAATGAGTAAATACAGAGCAATTTACAAGTCTCTCGGCTGGAATATAGTGAAGGTTCTTAATAATAGAAAGAAATTATGTCTTCGTTACTGAATGAACAATATATTTTTTATCTCTTCAACGTTGAACGGGAATCATGTCCAAAGCAATGAATTTAAAGGTTGCGCCTTCTTTTCCATTTATCTAAAAAGCAGCGTAGTCTTCACCAAATAATGACCTTCTTAGATAGTTGGAAAAGCTGTGATGTTTTCCTAGGTTCATACGCGATTTCCATTCACTTCCGCTACGGCCTACTGAGCTTCCACCTGCCATACAGCAGTGGGTATTCTACCACCACGTTTATTCGATATCAAGCAGCTCTTGCGCCTACTTACGAATCGTCTCTGTAAGCTTCTCCACTTCCTCCTTGGTATTAGTGGCAGGAAATACGACATGCAGATGACCTTGCCCCTTCACAGGAGTTTTGTTTTATAAACGTAACCTGTCACGGACCAGGCTTTGTAAGAAGAAAGTCTTTATTCAGGCGGAATACTAAGTATAGAAAGGAGAGGAAAGGAAGGAGAAAACTATTTATCGGTCCTGATCTCATGGTTTTGTGCGAGAGCTTTCAACAAACCACGCAAATGACGAATTTAGCCCGCTTGCTTTCGCTTACGTTCATGAAAGGAGCGGTTACTTCTATAACTGGGAGATACAGACAAGGCAGGTGCAGGTAGGGCAGGTGCGGTCGCCTTCCAGATCGTCATATAACCAAACTTGCCGAGAGCAGTTCTTGGAAGACTCGAGGAGCATCATCCAGTAAAGATATGTTGGCAGCATGAGAGAAATGTAAAGAGCTGTGTATTTCTGAGTATGGGTATGGGTCATGTGGGTGCCATGTTCAGTAGATCATCTACCAAAAATGTCAGACTAGACTCTGATGTGACGTGGGATAGGCGATGACACAATAGCCATACTCATTTTGACACTACGAACAACGAAAAAATCGACTTTGTACTTGTAGGCTTTTAGTTTGTACGAAAATGTGAGGACTGAGCATGGTGCTAGCCTCGATTCAGTTAAGTGGATGAGAGACGAGTAAGGATGAAGTCTTTTTCCTGACTGAGAATGTCCCAAAGTCTAGGGCCAATAGTGCAAGCATACCATACGTGGTCTAGAACTACATTTAGGAGGGCCCAGGTTCACCGCGGTAAGGGGGAATTTGAAAGGGGAGAGTGAAGAGTTGCCTGCGCAATTTTGAGCATATGCGTGATGGTATCAAAATTTTCGTTCCGGGTCAATGAAACCTGTGGAATTAATGTTCACCCCTTGGAATTGGTTTTGTGGTTTACATAGAAGCGCTCATGCAAAACATTGATTTAGCAGAAAATTTGGCTTAACATCCAACAGCAAGACTTCTAGAGTGGTGATGGATTAGGCAGCAATGCTTGGAGAAAACAAGCATTTACGGGGAGCGAATGAGAAGCAGAAGTAAATCACCGACAGTCAACTAAGCAAGCCCCTTTTGCGTTACCCATACGTTCGTCCCATCATAGGTAATTGCGTCAAACTGTGTACGTATAAGCTCGTCGATCTCCCGCCCCACCATGAATCTCTGGACCTTGATTGGCTAACCGGAAGCAGATGGTTCTGAACAATGGAGAAAAAGCCATGGCGATCATTTTGGGCGATCATTGCGTAATAAGCGGAAATTCGGAAATTCGGCAGTTCTAAATTTGGTCAACCCTAATTCGATTTCAATGGAGCCGGGCCTGTGGGGAAGCATTTGGATCTCAACATCTGTCAGCCATGTCAACATACTCACCGTCTCCATCTATGGAAATGAGGCTCAGGGGCTTCCGAATAATACAGCAAGCAACGTAGCCTTTCTCATGGATTTGCTCATACAGAGCTTCAAACTGAGGGTAAAAGAGCTATGGTTTTCGGATACGTTGAGCTACGAAGAACCATAAATTCAATGTGGTATGTGAAATGACAAGTTCGATGGAGCACTGAGGAGTGAAGCGTGGCTGGGATTTGCGGAGGCCGCGTGTACGTGGGGAACACATCATCTCAGCCCTGGAGAAAGCTCTTCGATTGTCCAATGAAACTTGAATAAGATCCAAGTCTAACCAGAAGTAGTTGCAGCCTAGGCCAAGCTACTGCAGTATTCGCTTTTGGCTTTTTTAATAGAATCATATTCCAGACCAGCCTTGACGACCATGACGCGTCAATCCGATCGTTATTCCTTTCTCCAATGTCGTGACAAAGTTGAGCTCAGTCAAAACATTAAGGGGGTTCCCTCGAGTTTAAAGGTATAAAGAGGCGGTCCTGGACACTGTCTTCCATTCATCATCACTCTCATCCAAACACTTCCAAACACTTCCAAACCAAAGACACTTTCAATCCTTTCTTTCTACAACAAATCTCCAACTGCCAATATGAAGGTCACCTCTATTCTCGCTACTCTGATGGCCGCTGGCCTCGTTGCCGGTGCTCCCCCCAATGAGCGTATGTACACCGGCACATGTAACCCATTCCTAGGCTGAGAGTTTTATTAACACTATTTTCAGGCCCTACCGATGTCCAGGGCAACCCCCTCCCGGAGCCTACTGCAGCTGAAGTTGCTCTGCCCCCGGCTCATGGCGACAATGACAATGACAAGCGGGACCAAGTTCCCCCTCCTCCCAAGGACGCCAAGCACCCCAAAGACGTTAAGGACAGCGGCAAGCGGGACCAGGTTCCCCCTCCTCCCAAGGATGCCAAGCACCCCAAAGACGTTAAGGACAGCGGCAAGCGGGACAAGGTCCCCGCCCCTCCTAAGGAGGAGGTCAAGCACCCCAAAGACATCAAGGACAGCGGCAAGCGGGACCAGGTCCCCCCTCCCCCCAAGGATGGCAAGAATCCCAAGGATGTCAAAGATGGCAAGCCCGCCCCCCAGGGAAACTAAATCTATCTTCGATAGATTTGCAAATTCCTCGAAGTGAATGTTTGTTCTTGATCTAGATCGAAGAACAGATTTACATTTGAGCAAATGCGTCTTTTTTGTTTTTTTGACTACTCAGTGTATCGCAATAATTATTATCTTCTATGCATGTATCTAACTCCATACACTCTTTTGTTTGCCAACTAAAGCTCCCTTCTTCTTATTCGTAGCTGGATCTCGCCAAATTGGGACCCATAGGACCAGACCTCTTCCCATTTCCATTCTCATGATCTGACGGGAATTCTTCTAACCTTTTCTCCCATGAGATTTCTATCCATACATTACTATCCATAGTATATTATTATGGCCTAACAACATATTCTCTTATTCTCTTTCATTATATTCTTGTCTTCTACCGAGGTTCATGTAATTAATGTGATCCACGGAGGTGAAAATTCTTTCACACAGGAGAAACTGACTCATTTCCCTCCAAGCTTCGTGGGGAAACACTTCCTCTGTTGCCGACATACTCCAGTGACTCTATGAATTTGTTCTGAATATATATCTTGGTGACATGTACACTAAGCTACGCTAGTCTATATTGGGTTATTATGTAAATAAAACACACAGACCCGTGGACGGGCCTTAATGTCTCTGTCTTCTTTCTTATGCTTCAGGTCTACAATAATGGCCACAAAATCTTCCGACAAGATATTCCCAATCACAACCTTTATTTCAGACCTGCCGACCAACCTTATTCTGCAACCTCTCCCATCATCTGAAAATGGTTCTGTCAGTGGACGTTTGATCATTGTAGGCGATGTGCACGGGATGGAAAAGTCCCTTGAGGCACTCTTAGACAAGGTCGATTTCGACAAACACAAGGGAGATCATCTGATACTAGTTGGCGACCTCGTCAATAAAGGCCCCGATAGTCCTGGTGTTGTTGATCTGGCCATGAAGCTTGGCGCTAGCGCCGTGAGAGGCAACCACGAAAATGCAGTTCTTATTGCGGCTGCGGAGATCAAGGTCAACGCCACAAGGGATACGCTACTGCACTCTAGGGGCGTGGCTGACGATCCGGTCGTACCTGAAAATCCCGACGCGGAGCTACCCGGAAATAATATCCGAGATTGTGAGATCGCCGACAAATGCGTACCTGCCACATCGCACAGTACGGCCTCGGTACTTTCGACGCGTCATCTCGACTGGCTTGCCACTTTGCCATTGATATTGCGCGTCAAGCTACCTCATGTCCTAACATCCTGCTTCGGTGACATTCTAATTGTCGTACATGCTGGCCTCGTTCCTGGCATCCCACTTGAAGACCAGGATCCACACGCTGTAATGCATATGCGGAGCCTTATCCGTAAATCAGGTGACGAGGATGTATTCGTACCGGCTGAAATTCCCGGAGAAGAAAGCTGGGTTATGGAATGGAACCGGTGCCAAGATAGGCTAGCATCCAAGACTATGGTGATATTCGGGCATGATGCAAAGCGCCAGTTGCAGCTAAGCAGGTATGCAATTGGACTGGACTCGGCGTGTTTATACGGCCATCAATTAAGTGCGGTTGTAATTGGGGCTTCTGACGGGAGATTTGAGCATCATGTTGTTCAAGTCGAATGTGCTGATGTGCCTATCATTCCAACAGTCTCTGTGAAGTAAGGCGACAAGACTGCAGCTATAGAATCCAATAAAATTCAGCTAATCTGAGGTAGCCACTTATGTATGCCCGGCGCTATATGATAGAATTTTTGGGGCTATCATTTGTCTGAACGGACAAGTACTAGTTTACTTATCGAAACGAATATGCTATAAATAATATCTATTTTTGAACAGCATCTACTCTGATTTCCATCTCTCTTCACGACGTTACGCAACCAAAATACGAACTATGTCAGGCCCATTCGAGGCTCCGGATTGAAATTCAGATATTAATTGATGCCAGCCTCTATCTACCGTTCATCCGTTGACAACTACTCCCCCGTTGGGATGCAGACTCTGCCCAGAGATAAAGCTACTATCCTGGCTCGCAAGGAAAACGAAACATGTGGCAACCTCACTGGGTTGTCCTGGGCGACCCATCGGTGTGCCGCTGAACTCCTCCTCTGCGGCGGTAGTCATAGTTGCTGGAATAAGAGGTGTCCAAACTATACCCAGATTAGCTGTTGCGAAAATATTTCTGTGGGAGATTCGATTTACCTGGCCCAGGACACACACAATTCACCCGAATGCCGTTTTTGACTTGCTGGTTGGATAAACCCCTAGTGAAAGCGACGATTGCGCCCTTTGTTGACGTGTAGTCGAGTAGATCAGGGCGACCAATGTAGTGGTTAACCGATGCACAGTTGATTATGGTCGAGCCGCTTTTCAGATGAGGAATTGTATATTTCGAAAGATAGAAGACGGGGTGGATATTGGTGTCGAAGGTGGTTTCCCATTGAGACCTGTGAACGTATGTTAGTAAAAACACTTAATGATATAAGACGGAAGACACATGCTCTTCTAGATCCTTGATATCGTCGATCATCGTTTGAGTCCCAGCGTTGTTAACCAGGATGTCGATACCACCTAAGCTTTTAAGGGCTGTGTCAACCACTGCTTGGCAATTCTTCTTATCCCGAAGGTCAGTGGGGTAGCAATAACAGCTTTGCCCAATTTCCTCTACTCGCTTTTTAGTCTCCTGTGCGTCTCTTTCTTCCTCGGGAAGGTAAGTGATTAGACTCGAGGCTCCCTCCATAGCGAATAGAATAGCAACTGCACGACCGATGCCTGAATCACCACCTGTGATAATGGCTTTTTTTCCGGCAAGCTTCCCCGCGGCTTTGTAGGTCTGATACCCGCCATCCTCGGTTGGAAGTTGGCTTGAGGTGGGATTTGGGTCTTCCATCTCAGCCTGTAAGCCGGGCTTTTTGTGGTGCTCAATAGGGATTTGGTGACCTGAATTTTTTGTTAAGCCTGAAACAATGAGACAGAATTGTAAATGAGCTTACCCTTTTGGAATTGAGATTGAGGGCCCCGAGAGGGCTTTTCCACTTCCTGTTGCATGCTGGAAATTCGTGTTTCACGTGTTGTTTTAGGTCGCAGGAGTATTAATGTCCCAGTGATCAAGAGGTGGGAGGTGGAGAGAAAATAGATCAAATTGAAGGTCAGATTGGCGGCTGAGTTTATAAAATAGAGTATGAAATTTCGATCCGGTCAATGTGACGTTTATACATGCCAGGAAACCGGAAAATATTGAATATTCGTTCTAAAACTGCCCTCCCTTTCGAATCCTGCTCCGAATCCTGTTCCCAAGGCTCGATGATGTAAGAACCCCGACAGTGATACCTAAGTACTGAAGAGATGGTCAAGCGCGTTTATAATGTCTCTGTCGCTTATGTCGTAAAATCATTAAGATTCGTTCTGTAAATTCTTATTCAATTACTTTGTCATAAAAAACCAATCGGTATATGGTTCGATATGTACACAAGCGTAGAAAGCAAAGCTAAATCCAGGAGTATGACGGGATCATCATTCTGACTGATAATGACCGGACTAGGCCGAGGAATCAAGTTTCAAACATCACTATTCCGGAGTTCTGATACAGTTATATTGTATGAATCTTGGCATAATGTGAGATCCTGTTTATACCAACAACATGGATGACGGAAGATCAACGTAATGGATCGTATAAACATGGTATTTCCCCACAAATAATTAAGGTCTATCGAGACTCACTAATCCTAAAATTGAAAACGAAAATAAAATCGCGATAATCAAATATCTATTCAACTACGAAGGGGCAGAGCGGCCAAGGGTCAAATGCCTGACTTTTCAGGTTTGATGCCTGAATATGCCTGAATTATAGACTAGTTCAAAAATGAAGCTATTCCCACCATGCAAATTTCCGTATGTACCCGTTCTGTGCGGTCGGAGTCGGGTCTCAACACCCACCGATGATTTGTATGGTCTGGAGGCCCACAATCAACTTCTCTAAGCTTAATGTTATAATACAATACCAATTCCCCCCGGATATATCGCACATATAAAAGAATAATCTGGAAGAAGGTTATATAGAACCTTATATGGTAGCGGAGCTCTAGCTTATCCGAGATCAAATTAGTATGTCATCGACTAGTCAACACCATGGATCTGGAATCCATATTAGGTAGCGGCTGGTAACGGGATGCCTTTTTAAACCATAAAAATCTTCCTCTTCAAAAAATTCCTCCCTTCTTCCCGACATCAAATCTTACTGTACAAAAATTGTTCAATCATCCTCCAAAATGTCCGACCTATCTTTGCAAGGTCAAGAATTGAAGAAAGTCCCCTACCACGACCACCCTCCACAATACGACTCATACCAACCAGATCTACTCACCTCGGTTATTGAAAACGAGTATAATGTGAAGATACTAATCCAACGGCTAGGGAAGCTATACAAGGAGTTTACTTTCTTCGCAGATAATATTCCCGACCAACCTAGTCACCCTCAGACTGCGGAGCTTTCCCTAGGGATGGCTCGACTATTTACAGAGGGGACAGCGATAGGTACAGAGTTGGCAAATCTTTACAAGGAACGCACTGAGCAAAACACCGAACTCTACATTGCCATATCAAGGCTCACTCAGGGTGAGTTTGATCGAGCCTATGCTTCCTTGAGGCGGGATCCCAATCGGCAGATGCGAGACAAGCTGGCTCAGGACCAAAATGACCCTAGCGACTTCATTGATAGAGAGAATAAATACAATTCTCAACGCTCTCGGAAAAACAAGCAAGTAGAGGGAGCTGGAAATTGCACAGTTGATGACCGGTTCTTCGAGCTCTCGGCAAAGGGGGATAAGCCAAATGACAAACTTGGCCAAAGCCTTGGATCCCATGATACGGTCAATGTTTCAAGTATGACTAATGATGCGCCTGCGCAACCACCCACGAGCTTTTGGAGGAGAATTTTGAATGGCTTAGCTCGGTCTGGTAAAGTGAAATGAGAGTCTCCGGAGTGATCAATATATGATGAGACTGCTGAATGTTGGTGTTTATCTTGCTTTATAAACAACTTGAACGAGCCACGTGGAATCTGGGTTACGTTCGTGTGCTTACTTTGAATTTCTAATACTATCCTTGAACACTTCTACGAAGCTCAATAGCCTACATCAATTGGAGGCAGGAATGCTTAACATCCTGTGTCCATTGGGCCCATTGACCTCAGTAGAACTTAATAATAATAGCCAAAGCAATTTCCGCGAAATTCTGCATGTCATCACCCTAATCGATTTCCCAAGGTCCAAATGTCATTATCCGCATGAAGCCGTTAGTCATTTGACTTGTGACGGGGCCAGAATTTCGGATGTAATTAGCATACTCTGCATCAAAGTATGCAGTCATCACTGAATGCCACGTTGGCTCAAGACAAAGACCGGACTTTTTGGCGGGTCCCTCGAAGTCTTGATAAAGGCCGCAATTTCCGCTGATATCTGCCATGATACCTGCGTCTTGTTTCTGGAGTCTTTCTTAGCCTCCAAAAGTGCTTTGATCTCATTGGTAGCAGGGTTCACTAGGGCCACTGCCGTCACTAGAGGAGCCATCACGACGACGGGGGGAGGAGTTGCAGGTCGCGGGATGGAGATGATGAATCTCACCGGGCCGCACTCTAGCTCCGCTGAGGATGGCCGAGGGACGCCCGGGTCGAGAGCCGTCAATAGAATTGGGAGGGGAGTGCTCCCGTCGTTATGATCCACAACTGCTAGCCGCTAGCACTGGAGCATAGGTGCAATGACAAGGCTCTTGAGCTGCGACTTACCTTCTCTCCCACGGAGCCAGTTCATGGTGAGGGCGGTTTGGAGGTCCCTATGCCACGAGGTGTTAGCCAATGTGCTTAAAGACCCTCCAGATAATTTTCTAGGGGCATCATGAACTTTAACTTACCGGGACTCTCCATCCGGGAGTTCTCCAACCAGCCGGGACCCTTCGGTTACCTTGGCCTTTCTCTTTTCCTCGTTCTCCTTCTTCTGCTACTGAAGGAAGAAGAAGCCAGCGATGCTCACAATGGTGAGGACGAGAAATATTAGGGCCCAAAGGCCCGCTGAGAGTTGCCCCATGTTCTCGATGGCGGCGTTGGTGTGGGCGGTGGGGATAGGGATGGAGGTAGGTAGGGCGTGAGGTGGTCGTTAAGGCGGGGCCATAAGGCCACTGGACGAGGGTTTCGCTAATGGTTATAGTTGTGTTTGCCATCATGACGGGATTGTTGTTGAGTTGAAAGAAAAACACCAGGGGGGAGGGGGGTCAAATACACACTCCTCGCCGCAGGTTCGTGCCTGCTGAATCTGAACTATGGTGTGGTAATTACCTAGAGTATGTTTGTAGCTTCCTTTTATATGAAGACAAGCCGATCAACCAATCAAAGTTCAATCAGCCAGGTGAAGAAAGTAAATAAGGAAGTGGCCGTCCAATTTCATCTTGCCTGGTTGCCTCTTCCAGCGTATATCACCTGCTTTTAGGGAGTCTTCACCTTATGTTCATCAATTGAGATATCAAGATTCTGTTCCTTGCTTTTCCGTTACTTTGCTCTTGCTCGTTCTTGCTCTGTTCTTATTTTGCTCTTATTTTGCTCTTGTTTTGTTCTTGTTTTCTTAAGAAGAAAGAAAAGCCCTTCCGGGACTATTTTAGGGACTTTCAACAGCCTAGGTAAATCAAATTTCGATAGAGCCTTTGGGGAGAGCCATCTAGAGACGAAAAACTAATTTGATTGTGGCTGCTTCATAGCGCTATACAACCATCAAGGTGTCAGTGCTTTACTGTTACTTGTACAAAGTACATGTATTGTGAAATTTGAGGCGGGCAAAATGAGCTATTGGCCGCTGTAAGAAGCCTAGTGACGCAAAGCGGAAACTCGTTAGCTACATATCAAACATTTGAACTTGCGTTACGCGTTATTGCTTAGCGGATCGATTTATTAGCGTATAACGTACTAGCTTAGCTATCGGAAGAGCTAATCACCGTTAAAGAAAGGAACATTTGAATATATCATCGTGCAGAAGTCAACTGAGCCTAATCGATTATAAACGAAGTCCGCTAGTAACTATACCGGGCGGGTTCATGTATCGTCGCCTAGGACTATCTTATCTCTAGTCCCTCTGTACGAAGCCGGAAAACATCAAGGAGAGCGGGCGGATATTACCGTAGCAGGGTCGCAGAGGAAGCGGTCAAGTCGCGTAGGAGAAAAGGGGGTAGCGGGACATAGGAGCTCGGTGGTCCGGATTAATAGTAGAAATGCCTTCTCCGTAAGGCCTATAGGAAGGGGGCGAGGAAAAAAAATTGAACGTTTGAGGAGGGCCGGGGGAACCGTAGACTGTATCAAATCACGCACGGCGAGGTAAAAGGACACATGACGCTAAACTAGAAGGGTAATAGACTAAACCTAAACAAGGTCTACATTAGTCATCCGCCACTGATCCACTTTGTCGCTGGTTCATATAGCCAATAATATATCTTCCTTCATCCAATATCCGATATGGTGTAAGTCAAGGTGACATCGGAAATGCCATGATTTCATGTGGTTTTAAGCATTAAAATCGTGGTCTTTCCATATAGCATGGTCCAGGAGTTGGGACCAAAATCTTTTTAGTTCCATGGGACTTGTCGAGGTCTACTCTTATACTATTAGTAGAATTCGAAGTCTGTCTTTAATTATTTATAATAGTTTGTAATTCAGGGTCTTCTTTCTTGATTCTAATTTGTAGTTCAGGCTAATACTAGAGATATAAACAGTAGTATCTATGTCTACACAGCATTTCAGCTAATAAAATTAAAGAGAGCAAAACATGATGTTAGACTCAGCAAAACAATCATAGAAAAGAAGGAACTTTGTGTCCTTTATACAAAAACACTAAGCTAGAGAAGGAAGAAGAAGAAGAGAAGAAAGGAAGAGCAGTGAGAGAAGTATAGCAGCTGCAGCTGCACCTGCACTATGTGTCCCTCTGCCCTACCCTACACCTGACCTTGCACATGTCAGACGTTCCTGACAATGGGCGGTGGGCTGGGCTGGCTATGGATAAAATAGCCCGAAGCCCATTGACAGTTGGGCTCTGGGCCTATATTCTAGGACCAACCTAGCCCATTGAAGAGTTCTAGTCTTATCCCCCCTTCATGTTTGCTTTCTTCGTCAGAACGACCTCTGAAGTATTTCAAAGATGATGGGCGTTGCCTCGTCACAGTGGCCAGAATTCTCTCTCTCTTCTTCAATTTGGTTGATCAGATGCTCTAATCAGACACGATATTTTCCACGTCGGTTGTCATGAGTGGGAGTGAGCCCGTACTCAGAATCTAGAAGTAGTATGTATATACGGTATATCTAGCTCTCACTCTCCTGGTTCTCGGTACTCTCAATCAAGTCCTCGACATTCAAGCTTAAAACATGCTTTGTTTTAGACATACTTTCGTCTCATCGCATAGTTCCCGGAGACTTGATATCAGACTTGAGGTGCAATATGAGAACACAGAGAGCACCTGCCCTCTTAGTCTCTCTTGCTAGTCCTCTTTCTTAATCTGTTTCCTAATCCCTTTCCTGTCATCCTTCCTATCCTCCTCTTTATCATACGTCTTGTTTTGCTTCTTGCTCGTTATCTTCTCTGTTAATTCACAAACTCAATCCAATGGGTCACATTGATAGTTCCATCAAGGAAGGGACATCATACATGGAGTGAGAAAGAAGAACTCGCTACCGTGGACACATTCACATGTCCCTAGTTTCCAAACAGCTACGACGGCAGGGCATCATGCCAGTCATTATCTCCTTTGAGGCCGTGCGGAAAGCACTCCTCCCGCTACTTCAAAGTCTGAATTACACCAAAACAAGTGCTCTGCACAGCCTGCGTTTCACATCCAGACTGGATGTCTGGAAAAATTTGAGCGAAGCTGTTGAGGAAGTTGATCACGCTCAGCATAGGAGCGCCCGGACAATCGATTTGAAACTTGCAAATCGCCAGATTCACGAGGAGCGCGTTGAATGCGGCAACGAGGCCACTGTACAAGGCCGCATCCTGCACTCAGTCGGCCAATTACTAGGCCACATACTCCCAGCATAGGGTCTCAACATGCAACTTGGGGACTTTCGAACAATCCCCTCCACTTACAATAATGAGCCCGACTTCATCATGAAGAGCGACAACAGTCTGCTTTGCGTAGCGGAAGTAAAGACTTGGTGGGTGGCAGACCACGAAATCACATTCGCCATGGAAAATGAGAACCTTTTCCGAAAAATCGTCGCACAGGCAATACAATATGTGCAGCATTCGAGTTGCCAATATGGCTGTTTGACCAACGGCCGGAGAAATGTCTTCGACGTCCTGCTGTGTACTGACGATGGCTGCTCCTTCGAGCTTGGCCATGATGACCCAGGTATGGCCGGGTAAGGCAAGGCCCTCCTTGGCTTGCTCGTGTATATCGGTGGTGATCTTGGTGCCTTTATAGATGATAATAAAACGAGGGTTATCGATCTGCATTGCCACCGGCAGCCTAGGTAGAGAAGAGGAGGAGTGTGAAGATTAGATAGCAGCAGTCCAAGAAAACCTTGGAAGTGAATAAGAAATGAAAGATTGACACTTCGTTCCTTATAATCTGGATCTATGAAGAGTACCTGCCTCGTATGTATCCCAGCACCTGCCTTGTTTACATCCTTCCCATTTATTTCCTTCCCACCCTCTGTTCTTCTTTCTTTCTCTATCTCTCTCCCACCCTCACACAACCTCTGGACTTAAACCATCTGCAAGCTCTCTAAGCTTATGCTACTGCCACTAGCCTTCTGTCCCCACAATCTTTCATCCAGCGCCGGTACTCCTGGATGCACGGATATCTCTGCTTTATCACACTGCCCGTTCTCGTCGGATCTGTTCCTCTCTGAGGTTCAGTTTTCCTCTTTTCGCCCTCCTGTTCGATCCTTTCCTCCTTGAGGTTCGGTCCTTTCTCTTCGTTCCCGTTGGATCTGTTCCTCTTTGAGGTTCGGTTTATTTGGTATAGTTCTCTGAAGCCTGGTCTTGTGGGCTTGGTTTACTAACAAATGATTCAGAAATGGCCTCCCTCGCCCACGTCCCAGATTTGTTCCGCCACCCATTGGGGGGAGACTGGCCTAAGGTCCTGCATGATCAATTAAAAAGACCCCGAGAATGCAGTATCAGTGTTGGAAACAGCCATGATTACATCACTGCGAGGCTGAGAATCCGTCCAGATTCACAGTCTCCATGGCTCGACGTCCAAATTGGCCCCATGCACATCGCCATCCCAGCCACGCGGGCAGACATGAGATTAGTTCTAAAGGGCTCCTCGAATCAGCAGGATACCTTCATCGAAGGACACGAAAAGTCCCTACCCACAAGACGATACGGTTATCAAACCTGCTTCTTTGAGGTGGACCCATCAATTGGCCCTATATTCGCTGGTCCGTCTTGGCTGTTGGACGATAAGCAACTCGCTATACTTCGCAAAATCCAGGCTATTAATTGGTCTCATGCGAACGTCAATATCTGGATGGAGTTCCCAAATGAATGCTTTGGGGTATTCCGACAAATCCAGCGCCACATGAATGAGTTGGTGAAGCTTGTTCGACAGGCACTTCCCGCCGAGGGAGAGACGCCTTGGACTTGGTATGCCCAGCGCAATCCTTTGCCGGATGCAGAAGAGGCACCACGGCGCCCGAAGATGCCATGGCTTTTTGATCAAAAGGAAACCGCGGAATACCATATCTGGGAGACAGCGGTGGACTTTTTTCTGGATGATATGGATCGCCGTTCGCGACTGCTGGAGGCCGCATTTGTGGAAAAGCACTTCATATGGTCCACCTACAATGACGTCTTTTGCAAGGGCAAGAAGCACGAGGTTATCTTCGAGCAATCTGGGCCGAACGAGGCGTACTGGAAACTCCATATTTGGATGAACGCCGAACCCAAGCCAGCGCCCCCTGACGGCATTCGCGCGAGCTATGAAGTCGATTTGGCGGATCTGGGTAATCCCAAATACCCAGGGGTATATAAGGGTGATGGAATCTGCATCCTCTCAACCCATGCAGATTTTGCCATCCTCACTCGTGCGCCCTTCGAAGCCGAGTTGGACGGGCAGACTCGAAAGCTGATGGCCACCCTGAAGCTCAATCTGAAGTCGACCCAACTGCAGATCGATGCCCTCGACATGGCCTCAAGGGTGGTAGCCTTCGGTGACGATCCTAAGCACCAGGACGAAAAGGGTTACTCATTCCGACGGACCATTTTGGCACACGGAACCGAGTTGGCCACAGACGACCCTTTGGCCTTCTGGTTAAATGCCCAGAAGATTTCGACTTTGCCTGATGAGGAGAAACAAAGGCGGGTCGACTATATCTGGGAAAAGTTCCCATTGGATGAGTCGCAAACCACGGCCGTGCAGAGGTCGGTGTTCGATGTCTCTGCTGGGATTCACTTGGTCAAAGGTCCACCTGGCAGCGGCAAGACCCGAACCACCGTGGTCATCCTCTTGATGCTAGCCAGCCTGAATCTTCCGGTCCTTATCTGTGCGGGCTCAAACCAAGCCGTCGATACCCTCTTAATCGCCTACCAAGACGCCCTTCACAGAGATGAAAGGCTTCGGAAATGGTGTGGGAGGTACTGCCGGTTCCGGACCCCGTACTATCAGATGGCATCTCTGCGCCGGGCAAGCCAGCGCCGACCAATTGAGACGAGAACTATTCAGCCATCCTTGTCTGAAAAGGCTCTCGAAGCTTGCCAGATCGAATCTTTGGTGGTCCAGGAAGCCAAAGATCACTGCGAACAGCATCGGCAAGCCCAAGAGTTTCTGGATTCTCTGGACAAGGATCGGGCGCAGGGGTTGACCAAAGAGGAGGCCCTCCATCTTCAGCGCAACTACGAGCATGTGCTCTGCAGGGTTCTGAAAAGGATGAAGGTTGTCGCCGTCACGCTAAACGCGTCGGGGGACCTTCATCTACAAGGCGTTTTCCACCCATACGCCATGCTGTGTGACGAGGCCGGCCAATCCTTGGAGAGCGATACCATGATCGCGTTGACAGGCTATCTCTCCTTGCGGTCGATCACCTTAATCGGTGATCCTGACCAGCTCCCCCCGACGGTGGTCTCATCGAATGAGAACGAGGGCGGCAACTTTTACGCCCGATCCCTGATGTCCAGATTGGTCAGCTGCTACCCCCTTACGTTGCTGAACGTCAACTACCGATGCCACCCTGAAATTCTCGATTGGCCCGCGAAGGCGATCTATAAGAGCACGATCACTGCTAGTGGTGAGAACGCCAAGGCCGAACGTGTGGGTAATGTATGGGAAGCATTCACCCGTTCCCTCCACCATTTCCGGGTCAGTGGGCTTGTTGGGAAGCGGCGTCTTTTCATTGATGCCGACGGCGTCGCGGAACAGCCAAAAGGATCCACATCCTGGCGCAACGATGCCCATATCAATGTTGTGATGACATTGCTCAAGGCATTGTATGCGAAGACATGCCCGGCCGGTCGCATCACTCCCGCCGACGTGATGTTGATCTGCCCCTACAAGGAGCAGGTGAAACGAGTCATTGAGCGCTTCGCCAACGAGGGGGTGGAATACGGCCGTTGTGTGACGGTGGACGGCTCTCAAGGCCAAGAGTCGAATGTGGTGATTTTTATGTTCACCAAACCGCGCACCGCGGAGCTCACTGGACTGGGCTTCTTGTCTAGTTACCAGCGGTTGAACGTGGCCATGACGCGCGCCAAGAAGCTGATGATCGCGGTCGTCAACATGCGCATCTGGAACGAGAGGTTTGTCGCGATTGCAAAGTCGCGCAACACCAGATTCTTGGCCGGCCTTCTCCAGCATGCGGTCGATAAGCGCGACGTTTTGAGGTGGGAAGGCCCGTCAACGGTCCACAGGCCCTTCGAATCTGCCGGCCCCCCCCTCAACCCAGCGCCGCGACTCGCCCAGCCCGCCCCCAGGCAGCCTCCGCGCCCGGCTCAAGCCGCCCCCGCCCCCACACAGCCCCCACGGCCCCCTCAAGGTGGCCCTGCCTCCAAACAACCTCCCCGGCGCGGCCAAGCTGGTCCAGCCTCCAGACAGCCTCCGCAGCGCCCACCAAGTGGCCCTGCTTCCCGTCTCGCTTCACGGCCCCCCACAGCCGCCCCGGGCCCCCGCACAACTTCATCCCCCCAGAAGAAAGCCCCGGTAGCCCGCGAAACGCCCTCCCCGCGCAAGAGCGTGAGGCCAACTGCGAATGATGACCTGGCCAAGATCACTTCAAAGCTTAAGGACGTGTTTCTGTCCGATTCTGAGCAGCAGGCCAGGAAGAGGGATCGGGATCGACGGCGCGCGGAGGCCCAAGCGGCTTTGGCAGCGATCGCGGCAGAGGAGGAGGAAGAGGAGTAGTATGTGGACTGCGGGGAGCAGTAGGCAGAAGAGAGATAGTCACCCCAATAGGGCTTTCTAGGTTTTAATATGAATTGAAGCATTGGTTGTCAGTTTCTGTCCTCGTCATTGTTTGCAGAGAGAAACCCTATTTTATTTACTTCGACCCAGATGAAATACCGAACCCGCGGTTCAGACCTGAGGCAAACAAGGTACAGTTTTTGTCGTTGCTTTTGGCGTCTCGTGTTCCAATTTTAGTGACATATTCAAGGAAACTCGGCAAACAGGGTTGGGAACTGGGAGCTGAACCTAGTATCCAGATAGTATCCAGATAGTATCCAGCGAGGCTCAACATCTCACCTTACGGAGGTTTGACTACATATGTAGTATTTCAAACCTGATTGGAGTTGATACTTTGGAATCTACGGATCCTAGAATTCAACGGGCGATAGCAGCCGTTATTCATTTCTTACTAACGGGCGCTGGAAAAAACATTATCGGCCTAAACCGCAGATCAGAACTGTTGAAACCCTTGCAACAGAATTCAGGGCACCACAAAGCCGAAACATCTGGAGCCCCCAAGCCCATGTTCAGAGCGTCCGAAGCCGCTCGATGATGGCCTTCGTCTGCTCGATGTCCTCCTCCGTTTGGACCGGGTTGGAGGTCGAAATTAGTGAGCTAACCCTTCCGGCCATATCCGCTGCGTTCGGTCCCTGCATGAGGTCTCGCAAGGCCTCCAATTTGTCAAATTCCGCCTTCGATCGGACTTCAAGGCGGGCCAAGATCTGTTGGAGTTCCACCAATGCGATGTTCCGTTCCGTCGCCAACAACGCGCTGTGAATTGAGATGCCAAGTCGCGAGCCCAGGGAAGATGTAGAGGAACGTCCTCGTCGGTGACCTTTTTGTGGCATCTCGCCTCCGAGAGGGGGCTGGTAGAACGTGCATCGACAATCTTTACAGTTCCACTGACATTTTCCACATGCCGTCACTATTCTGTCCTCGGCGTCCATGTACCGGATACAGTGAGCCCATGGCCCGTGACGCTTCAGACAGGACTGGCATTCATGGGGGAGATAAGGTGCCGACGATCTGTACCAAGACCGACTCAAGGTTCGAGGATTCAGAACTGATCCTCTCGTCCAACCGTTTACCCGTATAATTGGTCGTGGAACGTTGCATAGGCTCGTGGAGATTGTCTGCGTTCTTGAGGAATTTGACCGCGTCGTTTTGAGGAGTTGACCGGTCCGTGCCACCTTCCAGGGAAGCTGCTTTGCGTATGTTGCCCATACACCAGGCTCCATGAGTTATGCTCCGCCTTCGGCAGATAGGACATTCATCGGCGCGCCAACAGTGTAGTGTCCGGCCATTTCGGCAGGGGAACCTTGAAACTTGTATCGTATTAGCCATTGGCCCGTTTGTCAAGGGTTATCTGGATAGTCACTATGAATCTTATGCGGGTGCCAGTATCCGATCGCAATTGACTATGTCTTGACTCGCGGGCGGGGATGATGCCGATATGGCTATGATAGGAGAACTCTTGGAGCGGTGAGAGAGATATGTAGAAGGTTAGATTCCTACAAACGATCGAGATCTAGCTAACTAAATAGCTAGGTGAAGCCTGATAAACCAGGCATCGGCATGTGACCATCACAACAAGAACCAAAGACCAAAAGGCCAATAGACTTTGCAGGATAAGAGAGGTTGGCGACGAATTATTGATAAAAAACCAACGGAGAATGGATGAAAAGCTGCGGATGGGATGGTGAAGGATGCTAGGAGACAAGAGGGGAAGAGAAGAGAGGAAATGTGACGGAAGTTCTGAAATGATCAAGGTTGCTGAGGTTCCCCTGGACTCTTCAGTCCACATGATCTTCAATACACATGACACCTTTCTTCACCATCTCCAATTGCGTTTAGTTACTCACTTGTCCAGCCGGACCGCAAAGAATACTCTTCGCCCTCCCAAATGGAGTCATTTCCCAGCACACACCCAGCCCCGCTAGTCACAGATGACCAGGACCAGCCTGCATATTAGGCGCGAACTGCGCTACAGCACCAATGGACTCGTGGGAGACAGGTTCGTCAATAACCAGACACTCTGCTCCACACACTACAGAGCCGCATACCTTACCATGAACCAGGGGTACGTACGCCACGGGATAGAGCAGACTTCTACTATACAATCGGGACCAAGACTGCCAAAATTGAAGCTTTCGGCGGTCCAGTCAACGGGGACTTAAATGCCTGTTAACGAGGAATGTGATTCGTGTGAACTATTACAAGGGCCTTTCACTTCCTATGTCGTTGCCGTCGGGCTACACCACTCGATACCGGGGTGTACCAATTGCCATTAGGGAAAAGGAAAAAAAATGCAGTTTCACGACCCGACCCCCTTCGAGCTATACCGCAGTGAGCCAATCAATTGATCTCACACCACCCAGTACCCTCTGCGAGATCGAGGAGGCACTCGAGCAGGAGATCCTAGCGCGGGAATCGGCAATCGCGGTAGTTCGTGGGCATGACCAAAGGATCCAAGAGCTTCAAGCCTTAAAGGATTCAATGCAGAGTGGCAACCGGTATCGTTCCTGTCCCAAAAAAGGTGGACGTCCAGTGCTAGAGTTGTCAACGTAACAAAACGCCTGTACTTGACCGCTACGCCAAAAAGGTGCACACCTTCTTAGCTAAGCTAAGTACGGTGTATTATAACGTATTTTTACTTCCAACAGGAGTAGCTGACCTAAGTTATCGATGGTGCCGAGTCTTTCTTCTCCTTTACGATCTCAATCCCTGTCTACCGCCGTTCTCCTTTGGAGTTCGGCTTTATTCCCTGGTTGCCGCCCGTTCTTACTTGGGTGGTAGAAGTCGAAAAGTAAGTAAAGCCCCGATGTGGCTAGTGCTATGCTAGAATTTGGGTATTTGAAACCCTCAGTGATAAGATCCTAACTTCACCATAGGCATATCTTTCGACATCACTTTACAATGGCAGGCTCAACACAGCAACAGCCCCTCGTCAAAGGAGGACATATGCGATCCCCAAGTGACCTGCCTGAAACATTCACCTCTTCAACGGTACCTTGTGTTTACGAGAACACCATCATCCTCGCCGCAACGCACCCTTCTATCAACAGTGCCCACCCATTGCGAGACGGGTGGTTTATCTCCGACTTCTACACCTTCAACTATCTCCTCAAAGGTCAAGGCCAGAAGCAGACGTGGCTGACAAGCGCTGATCCAGAAATATGGGCCATATCTACATAGCAATCCTTACGAGGAGCGCAAAACTTGCCTTGATCGTGACATACTGGATCAAGATCAACTGACCCCTGTGACTGTCGTTCGGTCGAATGAAATGATTGACCGTTTCCTTCTGGAGGCAATGCTAGCCTCCGACTTAGCTAAACGAACCGACGCCCCACTCCTCCTCATATTTTGTCACGTACTCCCCAATTACCACCTCTGTTTGAACGATAGCAATGAATCAAAGGGACTCAGTATCCTCGCCCTGAAAGCCGTCCTTGAACCCGGTGCCCGCGTTACCCTGGTTACTACCGCTTATTACTCGGGAGGATGGGCTACGACTCCGGAATTAAACATTACTAGCATGACAGCAGCTGGTGGGCTCCATACTAATCCGGACGAAGAACTTCACAAAGGACTTTCTAATGCGTGGGGTGCTTCACTAAGTGTCGGTCGGACTTGTGGGTCAATTTTTGCGAGCACCCTGTTCCAGACCCTTTCGAGTGCTACGAGTCCTCTGTTAGATGCTCGAGAATCTAGCAATTCTAGTGACCAGCTGAGTTTACAACCCGAGGAGCCGAATGATCAGCAAACCCTAAGCTATAACTCATTCTGCCAATCTGTCCTGGATACATGCCAAAATAGCGTGACACGGCTAGGCAACAGGCAGTGTTTCACATTCAGTGCCCAGGATGATAGATGGGATACTCATGGACGGGCCGAACCGGCATCCCGCTAGCCCACTTTGAGTGTCGGTGGAAACAAATGAAGCCCTATCCGTACACTGGGCCGGAAGATATACGCGCACTTCGAAACCAAGATCCCGGAAATGCCACATTCACAGTCAGCGACCCAAACAAAGTCGGCGGAGTCCGCACAACTAGGAACAGCGAGATCATCGAGAACATAACCGCTCTCATTGCGCAGTACAGAATCAAGGAGATGGCGAGGATGTTCCATGCCACTTATCGAGGGGATTGGAATCGAGGCCGAGAGGTGGCTTAGGGAGGTACTCTTTTCAGATTCTACCAGTTAGGCATATTCCCCGAGTCCGAGGCTAAGATCTACTCCACGATTCGTTTCAGGTAGGAGGCGGCACTCCTCGCCGATTTTCTTATTGCGATATATGAGCTTCCGATGCCCAGAAACGAGATGTGCATCATATAGGATTGGCAGTCCTAGGGGGTTGAATTTCAGGTGAAGACCTCGATGTCAGAGTCCGAGTTCGACCAACGATGGTTGGCAGTAGCCTTGCCATTCAACCTCTGTTTCAATTTCTCCCGCCTATCCGATCAGGGCCCGCCCTTCATGCGCCCTTTCAAGTATTTGGTAGCAGCGTTGCTGGAGGCCAATAAGCCCGAGCATGAGACCAATGGTATCATCAATGCCATCCAAGAGTTCATGCAAAATGCCCAGGCCTTCCACCAGCAGCGCGTTTTTGCCAGCCCAGAGGTCCAACGTAGAGGGCGTGAATGGTTGAGGTCGGTTGGTCGCCGAGCCCACAAATCGCTTTCTCCCCAGAAAAGGTCCAGCACCACAGAATCTGCCTCATACTGAAGACAGAATATTTGCTTTTCTTGTGTACTATTGTGTTTTCTTTTTTTTGGGGGGGGGGATGCCGCTCTTTGGAGAATATTCTTATATACCTAATTTCATTCCTTTGCTTGATTCTGGTATACTATGATAATCTGATGATAATCTAAGCTGCACGCCGGAGGAAAGATCCACTTGTATGAGATAGAGATTTCCAACCGTAAGAACCAGCCGCGGAGTAGAACATCTGTCGATGTCGAAGTATGATCACTTTCCATTTGCCAGGAAACGTTCGGGAAATCGTGAATGCCGAGGTTTGTGTTCAGAGACCTACCTAGTGAAGTAGGAAGAGCGCGACGGCGGTCTGACATCGCAGACAAGACGACGGGGATGTTCAGTGCACGACGGGGAGTATGAGGAAGGACACAGGGCCCCTGTACGACCGGAATAGGAAATAGACAATCCTTTTGAGAGAGATGTAGGACGCTTGATGCTCTATGCTATGTGATCGGGGGCTAAATCTACCATTCTGGACATTTTGGCGCACATCAGGATGTGGCGCGGTTTCCCTATTACAGTACCTACCTAAGGTACATACCGTGGATTACCATCAGTCTGGTTCCTCCCGCCTTTGAGTAGATGAGACCCGTCAACTTCCCCCCTGAATGACTTTTCCTTCAAGCAAATCCTCATCCGCACAATCTATCAACTGCATAATCATCAAACCCCGTCTGCCGTTTGCACTGAACACTGAAAGCGACGGTAGATCTTTGCCCCCCGTTCTGCTTTGAAGATCGGCTTCGATCCTTGGCTCTTCTTCCCGTTCTCCTTTAGAGATCGGTCTCGTTTCAATCCCTGTCTCTCGTTTTCCTTTAGAAATCGGCTTGAATCCGTGGTTCACCTGTCCATTCTCCTTTAGGGATTGGTTTTCTATTTCGACTTCGGTCACCCGTTCTCTTTGGAGTTCGGATCCAATCCTCGGTTCGCTTATTCATCCTCCTTTGGAGTTTGAATTTCATCTCAGCCCTTTCTCTTTGGGCTTCAGTTCCAATACATCCTCTGGAGTTTCACCGAATCTCATCACACAGCAAAATGTTCCGTCGGCCAGATATCCCTCGTAACGCATTCGCTATTATGCCACTGGATCGCCAGCGGGCTCTTCTCAGGAAGCAGGCGAGAGAGATGACGACCACAAGATCTGTGTCCGAGTTCCTGGAGGGCAAGATTCGAGACTACCGAATGGATCTCGATTACATCTCTTGTGCTCACGATGGTCTTCTTGAAGTCCTCGACAATGAAAAGATAACCACCTCGGAATTTATCACCGCGTTAAAACCACTCATGACATCCGCCCGACGTACTTCTGATCACTTGAAGTTCCTTTCGAATCAACGCAAAGCCATACAAGATGATCTCGAAGAGCTACCGCCCGTGAAGCGTCAGCGACAAGGAGAACTTGACGTCGAATTTCTGGAAAGAGCATATACCGCAACTATTTGCCCAAAGGTGATGTCCGCCGGCGCGAAGGTACCGAAAGAGAGGGATGAGTATGGGCGAAGCTTCAATGCCTCTAACTTCAAGAGAGACGTTTGTTTATATTATGATATCCCTAAGGATGAATTTGAGGGACACTGCCACGTGATTGGATCCACTGATGCCAAATCGATCAAAGCAGCCCACCTTGTGCCAAAGAGCCTTCGAGGAGATGAGATTGCTCACCTATTTGGGGTGGGGGCCATTGTATCTTCTGATCCGAGGAATGGTGAGTTTGTGCCCCCCGCGATAATGGCTCTACCACTAACCTAATATCCAGCCCTGTCACTTCACTACAAGGTCGAAGAAGCCCTTGATAGCGGCAAGATAGTCATCGTGCCTATCCTCGAAGACGAGGATGTCACGACACCTTCGCGTTGGAAGTGTGTGTTAGCCCACGAAGCAATGCGACACACAACAGTGATGAAGCACTTTACAAAGGAAGACAGCGCCAAGGCGACATGCACTACATGGGATGTAAGCTAATATTTCTTTCAATGAGCCTGGGCAATTAGCTAACCTCTTTCTAGGACCTGGACGGAAAAGAATTAAAGTTTCTTAGCGATGCACGGCCAGCTAAGAGGTTCCTATATTTCCGATTCATTATTACCTACATACACTGCAAGAAGGAAGGCAATCTCAACTTTACCAAAAAAGTTGAAAACATCAGACTGTTCTGGCCAACACCCGGCGAATATCTCTGCAAGTCTATGTTAAAGACATTGTCGAGAAGTATCTCCGGCCACAAGCTACCAGACTGTTTGGTGCAGGAAAGAACCTTTGAGGATTTCGAAAGCACTCCTGGGACTGATGAGGCTACGAGCGGGATCATTGTGGCAGAGGATATTTATCAGGCCATGATTGTGTCAATCAAAGAACCTCCAGGTGATAATGATGAAGAGGAGGAGGAGGCCTCTGACTCAGACTTAGACGAGCCGGCCTTTATGGACTGAATTGAGTTTTTGTGAAGCTGGACCTTTGCCCTTGCTTTTCTTTTTGCTGCCCTATATGGAGGCCCGAAAGTCTGAAGTTACTATCTTGAGACAGAGCCATTCACTCAATTAAACGCTGTATTTGTTATCCAAAGAACCATAGAAGGAGTCAAAGCTCTAGATACCTTAGTAAAATAACTCAAGATACCGAGGATCAGAACATTGAAGTATGAAAATTATGGCATCTTCCTGGTACCCCCCTGAAAGCAACACCATAAGCCAGCTATGGATGCGCAGGTGAAGAGAGATCAGATATAAGGTGGCAGTTGGTACGAAGGTGTATAGCGGCCAACAGTCGGATGCCTGATTTTAATGGTTTTATCGCCTAATTGGGACTAGCTCTTACCAGTTTTAGACCGCCTTTGACACCGCTCAATACCATCTTTTGTAAGTACACATCGAAGAGACGAAACTGTTACCATGGGGTAATTCAAATGCCTTCTACCTATTTTAATTCTCAAAACTGCATTCAAATATTCGCCACGCCGGAGCCAGAGGATACGGAGAGTTTGAAGTTTATACGGTCGGTAGGAATGGGGACTTTGTGTTGAAATCCAGGCTTGGCTTTCCAACCGTTTTGGGCCTTGGTGTCAGTTGCGCTATTAGCTTTTCTCCGGGAAAGTGCGGGACTACGGCGGGTATGAATAGCTTTAAATACAGGAGATTCATATAGTTGGAGGGCCTTAACGCCTAGGATCGATGAGAAATAGTATTTGGGGGGGTATGAATAGCTTCATGTTTCAACTTTCAAGCTGTTCTCAAAAACTTTGGTACTCTGCTTACTAGGAGATCTGTCATAGTAATTCAGGTATTTTAATTTCCTGCCGGTCTAAAATTGGTAAGAGCTAGTCCTAATTAGGCGATAAAACCATTAAAATCAGGCATCCGACTGTTGGCCGCTATACACCTTCGTAAGTTGGACTTGAAAGCTAGGGAACGAGGTATAGAGTATTCTAAGGTTGCAGTATCCGCTTCACTATATATGCGATAAAAATATATTTCTCGATACGCTGTAAATTATATTGTGAATAAACAGGTAGATTATAAAACTCAAGCCACAGAGACTAATCCATCACATGTGTATACTTTGCATCAGCGCCAGGCTAGGCATCATCCACACTATGCATCAGTCACATATGCAGGGGTTTCCGTGACTGGGCAACGAAGTAAGCTGGCAGCGGAGCACGTTTTGTGCGGTTGCAGGAATAGTCATTATCTATGGATATCCGCCTGCGTGATTAGTGAGCACGACCTGAGTGCTAACCGTGCACAGCCGAAATGTTCAAGCTGAAATATACCCTTGTTTTGGCCTCCAACAAGCAATATTCCGCGGCAAAGCAGTTTTCATAATGCCGGAAGAATTGGAGGAGGGATGGACGGTATCGCATTTGCAATCTGGGCCTATGAGGACATCACGAAATTAGGGGCTAGCCGTTCGTGCCGCAATGTTTGCGGACTTAGCATCCTCTGGCTCGCGGCTAGGGCAGTTCGATTGGTCAAATAAGCCACGTTATATTTCGGTCATAGCGTAAACAAAGCAGGCGCTATCACTCAACCATAGCAAGGCCCTATCAGACCATTCTTTGTATTTTACGGTTCGTAGACCCTCTCGCGTAGGTGACTATATAAAGAGAGCGGGAGGCACATCGATAACGGATTACGAACGACCGACGGACAGTTGATTATATAGGGACTGAAAACTCGGGGGCTAACGCCAGGGCCTCTGGGAAAGCACCTAATCAGGCGACATTCCCTAGAAAATAAAAAGATAAATGGACCACTTGCAGTATAGGAATGAGATTCGGTTTCTCAAATAGAGGAGATAGAAATCCAAGTCCGACGATTCATTATATACAAATATTTTGCCAATGTACTGCGAACATGACAAGGGTACGCCGGGATAAATGGTGAGCGTTAGAGCTCAACGAAAACTGAAACGAACAAACCAAGATGAGTACGACATGGGCCTCATTAAGTTTATCATTTGGTCATTGGGCCTCGAGAATCCTTATTTGTCGCACAATGCATATTTCCTGTTGCATTCGAATGAAATGAACAAGATTCGGGTCGGATTCTGGCATCCCCATCAGTCGCCCAACGTCTGAATTCACTCTGGTCTATGGCAGATATAGCCAAGCTCTCGTAGAATGGAATGTGTGTTATTTCTTAGCTAATACCAATACCCGCAACTCAGAGGTCCTCTAGGGAAGTCGTGAGGGTCCATATATGGTGTTTAAAACTGTAAATGAATTGGCCTGAGAAAAAAAGCATGACGAGCGAATAAATTCGAAGAATTCGATCACCTTCGATGATCCTTGATTTTCGTGCATGTTCTCGCTTATAGTTTTCCTTGGTTGCTGGTGTCTTTGTGAAGCTGTTGTCTTTAAGCAAGCTAATATGTGTCTTTAAAAAGCTACAACTAGTTCGGGAGATGACTCGAAGCCCACCCAATGTTGACTGCATATCCCAGCGGTGTAGGTAAGATGTCAGAAGAGTACGTATATTTATCTGAAGCAGAATCATTTCTAGAACCTCTGGTATTTTCAAGGCTGGAGGAGTCAAGGTCGACGTAGTAAAAGCCTTCCTAGCCGCTGATCTCGTGGTCGGTGCCATTTCGCGATACAGGACGATATTATCAACAGATGATCGGGAACTGTAGGAGAGCTCTGAGGGGCAACTGCATTAAGGCGATATCTAGGCGCTATCGGCAGCAGACCTCACTAGCGATGACCGTAATAATGGAAAAGTGCTTCCACAATCATAAAAAACTTGCTGCCGAACGTTTTGGCCCGAAGTTCAGTCTTGCGACGCTTTTATAGAAGAATATAGTTAAGGCGACTGCGCTTGCTTACACAGAAGCCAATTACAGCCGATTGATATCAGCGGGGCTTAGGAGCTCAGTGATCCGGATCAATAGCAGAAATGCCTCACCTGCAGAGCACGGACGAAGACGAGGAGAAAGGAAAAGCGGGCGGGCGAAATACAGCGAAAAGTTGAAGGGGCGGTAGGGAGGACTTTATAGAACCACGCACGACAACGACAACGCAGAGGGCCCTATAACACTAGACCGAAAAGACCAGCTCTAGGCCTAATAACGTAATTTGTGGAAAGAATTTCAATCATCCGATATGGTGTAGTGGCTAACATCGCCGTCTCTCACACGGCAGCCGGGGGTTCGATTCCCCCTATCGGAGTTTTAATTTTGATTTTGTTATATGTTTTTTAACTTGTCGACTTGTTAGCCGGAGTAAATAATATGCTTCATTTTTCGCCCATTGCTCAGACGACAAGGTATTGCACCATGACCAAGTGAAACAGCTAGATAGTGCAAATAGTTATTTAGTTCCTTTCAGGGCAAGGTCCTCTATTTGTCTAGCGATTGACCAGGCTCTATAACCTCAGAATCCCCATGTTTATGCTATGTCTTGGTATAACAAAGTCGCGGCCTTGGTATTATCCTATGTTCTGTTTGATCACAGATCTAAGTGACGGCACCGAATGTGAGTTCTATACTATCAAGTCCGATAACCAGTTCATTCCAGTGATTAGAGGCACTTGACTTATTGAGAGCCCCTTTTCCTCTCGAATACACACTCATTCTCAATCATGACAAACTTTTGCTGCTCACCGAGTTCAACACCTCAAATTCAACAGCACCGTCAAGGGTAGACAAATATCCAATAACATGTTGTTCTGGTGAGCTGAACCAGAACGGCGACTTTGGATTTGTCCCTGCAACCCATCTCACATCATATTTTCCACTCTCGTTCCTCTGGATAGGAACCCGGGCAATCAATGGATGACCGCTTGGAGACCACCATCGAATAGCAGGCAATGTATTCGTAATAGTGTTAATCAAGAGTTGTGGTGTCGAAGGGTGCCATACAATTTGTCGAACGGGTTGTTCATGAACGAGAGCTGATACAAGTGTCGGGGTGCCCTCTAGTGACCAAATCCAAACGACATTCTGCCGTGCAGTGTCAACAGTCGCAAGGAGATGGCCGTCTGGGCTGAAGGTCATTGTCAAGACGCCCCGTGGTGGCCCTGCCGACTCGGGGCTCATGCTCAATGCAGATGAGCAGGATGCCTCGGCATATTCAGCGTCCCCTGCGGCACTGGTGTATCGCTCACGCCAGATATTGAGACATTGCTGGTCAGTTTGGAAGACATGAGAGAGTGTTGTTGCGGAGGAGAACTGCCACAATAGGATTAGCAAATAATGCCGCACATATTTGGAAAACAACTTACTGTGCGAGTCCGGAGTAAGTCAATATTCCCATTGACCTTTCCCACGGCCAATATTCCAGAAACGCCCTTATTGGGAGCCGGGCTCCATTCAATCTGTTTTACTCCGAGATCGAAGGAATCGTCCACCCCAGATGGTCCGGAATACGTTCTGAAAAGCTGACCGTCCGCTGTGAATACCAGTACCTTTGTGCCTGCACTAGCGATATCCCAGATGGCAATCCATTTCCCATCGGGGCTCCATTTCAACCCTTGCGCATCAATGGTTGAAAGCACGGTCCTGTTGACGAGCTCGTAGGACCGGGGCTCGTGGACGGTCAGTAGATCTGAAGTCTCCGGTTTTAACAGAATGGCGAGGTGCCTAGTTCTTGGGCGATAACCAAAACCGAGGTGATGGGCGAATTTTGGTGTTTTAATGACTGAGCTGCGCCCGGTCTCTAATGAATGGACACTGAGTTTAGTGTTCCACGCATGAAACACCAGAACTTCATTCTCATCAGCGCCAAAATCAACAGCTAATGAGCCCGGTTCGATGTTTTCAATCTCGGCCAATATTTCAAGGGGGGTGAACTGCCAGACCGAGATTCTGTTGTCGTTTGCAGACAGGAGTCGTCGAGAGACAACCTCATCATCTGATGTTCGAGAACTTTCCACGTTGAAGTATTTAAGTGATTTAAGTGGAATCTCTTTGATCCTTGCGATCTGCACTTCCTTATTTTCCGAAGCTACATCAGAGTGAACAATCAGGCCCTTTCCACTCACGTGGGCGGCATATAGTCCATCTTCAGACAAGCAGAGATTTAGAGGACCTAGCACGCTGTCAGAGTTACTTGGACAGAAGATTATGTGGACTATGGACTTACCTCCTGATCCTGTTGACGCGTCCATTGTTGGCAGGCGAGAGATCAGAACAGTGAGCGATCAAGAAAGAACTATGTCAAATTCCGTGTATCAACACACTCGCTTCACAATATTAATTCCCTTTCACACAGCATCGCATATATGCATCAAAAAATGTATATTTTTCGGTTCCCGTTCTCACTAAAAGACTTCGAGACTTCCTTGGTTAGTCTCTGGCTGGCGCCGGGGTATTCATATCAGATTATGTAATCCACAAGCGAGTCCGATCTTGAAGGGATCACCTAGGCAGTTGAGGTTGATCAGGTTGCTTGTGAGGCGTATGAGAAGGAAAGGAATATGCCAAGGTACTGTCGAAAACATCAGATGTAAAGTCAATTTCCCCAGTGACACCACAAGCTCAACGCGTTCGCAGCTTCCAATCGCCCCCGCGACGATAAGATAAGCCGGGAAATAGTAATTCCGGCTGAGATACGGCGCTTTTCGCAAAAGTTGTTTCTCCATTGTGATGCGACTGGAGGCGATCGTTGACCATAACCACATTTTCCTCCTTCCAGGCATCAACATAGGTATCTTCAAGCCTTTCAACTCTTTGGTGGGCCGATTTTCTAGACATTTTTCCCAGTCCAATCTCTCAAAAATGGCCTCCGAAACAAGCCCACCAAAGAGCATTGAGCAGCCCTCTGCGGCTGCGCGTGAGCCTAAGGAGAAGCTCTTTGGAAGGAAGTTTTATGAAAGCATTGGCAGCCCAAAATATGTTGTTGCTCCAATGGTCGACAGATCCGAATTCGTGAGTCCGCCTTCCAAGTAGCAACATCTGCAGACCGACGTTAATGCTTCCCAAAGGCGTGGCGCATGCTTACTCGATCATTCATGCCACCAAACGACCCGAAACCGTTACTCGCATACACCCCAATGTTTCACGCACGTCTTTTCGGCGAACAAGAGAACGTCCGGGCCAAACATTTCCAACCTACCCGCAAAGGAGAGAACAAGGATGAATTGTTTCTTGACGGAAATCCCGCAATTGACCGGCCACTTTTCGTTCAATTTTGCACAAACAACCCAGATGAGTTCTTGGAGGCTGCCCGTCATGTGGCACCTCATTGCGACGCCGTGGACTTGAACCTTGGCTGCCCGCAGGGTATCGCGAAAAAGGGACACTACGGAGCTTTCCTCCAGGAGGACTGGGACTTGATCTATAAGCTTGTGCATCGGTTGCACACTGAACTCCCGATTCCTGTCACGGTGAAATTCCGTATCCAGGAGACCAAGGAGAAGACCTTGGAGTATGCTAAGATGATTCTCTCCGCTGGGGCCAGCATCATCACTGTGCATGGACGCAGACGGGAACAAAAGGGTCACAATACAGGAGTTGCAGACTGGAGCTATATCCGCTATTTACGAGACAATCTACCAGCGGATACGGTAATTTTTGCCAATGGAAACATTCTTAACTACGGTGACATCGAAACCTGTCTCGAGGCGACCGGTGCCGACGCTGTGATGAGCGCCGAAGGAAACCTATCAGACCCGTCCATATTCAGCAAGCCACCCCCAGCCGGCACTGAAGGGAGAGAATACTGGCGCGGGCGGGATGGAAAGGGCGGTTACCGAGTTGACGCCGTGCTGCGAAGATACCTTGATATCATCTATAAATACGTTCTCGAACAGCCGGTTCCAGAAAGGAAGCCACTTTATCTTCCATCCGACCCAGTTGATGAGTTTGCAGAAATCAATGATGCCGAAAATAACGGCCACGAGGAGGGCCCGCTCAAGAAAAAGCAAAAGCGGAGTAAGGCCGAGAAGGGCAAGAAGTGTCACTCTGCCAGCCTCGGTTTCATGCAGGGTCATCTCTTCCAAGTCTTGCGGCCAATGGTTGGAACCCATACCAACGTTCGGGATGCTCTTGCGACATCGAAACCAGGCGACATGGCCGCTTTTGAGCACACCTTGGCCCTCCTCGAAGAGGCCATTAAAGGTGGACTTCAGGAGTACGAAGCCTCTCCCGAGAAGTTTGAAGCACAACCCGATGAGACTTTGAAGGGATCTAAAGCAGTGATTGCGGAGTACGGAAGGCCTTGGTGGATCTGTCAGCCCCATGTCCGTCCTCTGCCCGAAGAAGCATTTGAAAGTGGAGCGATGCGTGAAAAGGGCACAAAGCCTCCCGTTAAGAATGAGAACGTAGAGAATAATACGCCCAAAGAGACTGATACTCCCTCTGAGGGCACCATCACGCCAGCCGAGGCTGCTGCTATCACTGCCACCAACATTACGCCTGATCCTCTCGTGAGCGGATAGGAATGTGAATATTTGATGCAGTAGCCTTTCTGCGTCCTCTCTTACCCTCGGCTACCATGACCAGTGTAAGTGTCGGCTACCATGACCAGTGTAAGTGTATAGAGACTTCCAATGTTCGTTTCAGAGCCTTGTTTGCATAGCGTTGTCATTATGTTTAGAAGAACATTGAATTCATATAAAGATCTTTGGTTTCAAGTTCAATCCATGAAAAATATAACCAGTTAACTCTTTTTCCGTGTATAACTTCGGTGATATTCGAGTCTCAAGATGTCTGGGTAATGATGTACAGTATAATGATCTATTGACGTGGCCGACAATCTTTCGTTTAAGGAAAATGCTCATAGGTGGTGTCTCTCCCTCTCTTTCGTCTCTTCTCTTCGCAGTTTCATACCGCGCTCTACCTACTTGCTCTGCAAACGACTCACTTTCTCAACATTGTTTCCAACTTCGCCAACCAATCTCCCCAACGAGATTGTCTTTCCTGTCTCTCACTCCCCTTCTGAGGTGCACAGCGACCCTCTAGAAAAATGGAATCGTCCCCACAGTGTGTCCGTAAGTCTGCGTCGGGCTTTTCATTTTGATTCTCCAATCCAACCAATTCCCAGCGTGGCCGGTCGCGGATCCTGCTTTGACACAGGAACTCTTGGACTTGTTGCAGCAAGGCATGCAATACAAGCAGGTCAAAAAAGGCGCAAATGAAGGTATGTCTGTTCACAATTCACAATACTTTGAGCTAACTATGGAGCTAATGCCTGCCTGCCTGTCTAGTCACGAAGTCCCTGAGTCGAGGCACATCTGAAATAGTCGTTCTCGCCGCCGACACCGATCCTCTCGCGATATTGATGCATGTCCCTGTGCTTTGCGAAGACAAGAACGTCCCGTACGTTTTTCTGCCTAACAAGCACGCTCTTGGTCGAGCATGCGGCGTGACCCGGCCGATTATCGCGGCTACCATCACCTCGAACGATGCTGGTGACCTAGCTCCACAGATCGAATACCTTAGAGCCAAGGTGGAGCGGCTTGCAATCTAATAGACTGTTGTGAAACGGATAAAGCTGGGTGGTTCTCTGGCTGGTGGGTACTGAGATCCTTTTGGATTTTGCTTTGAGGCTCGCATCAAGGCTACTGCCCTAGCTCCCTGAGCGATCTCCGGCTTTTCTTTTCTTGCCTATTGCCATTTCAAAGGCATAGTGTTCAATGCAATTATCCATCAATTATCCGTGGTAACTCCACTTTTTCGAGATTAACCCGTAAAGCATATTTTGACATGATAGACTGTCGAACAGAGATACTCGGAGCCCGTATATCGCAGTGCATGGCGACTACTAGGGATACAGCGCGTAGTCTGGATACCGAGTCTTTCTATAAAATGATATTACGGACTTTGTTATTATAATTTGTTATTATAATTTCATCACGATGCTCTGTTCTAAATGCATAGACTAGCCGCCATATGGTGCTGATTGGGTATTGTTTTGTTTCATTGAGTTCTCGGCGAATTCCGAGCACACCCATTGATTAAGCAATCGGTACAATATAGTTATTTCGATATCATTGGAGGAACGGAGCAGAAGCTCTCGTTGATAATGCAAAAGCACCTGCAATAAGCAAGAGGAAAAGCTGGCTGTGGCTCGGTGGTGTTCATAGCTAGTGGTTGGAATTGACTGCTTATGTTTACATGTATGTCAGTATGTGGTTTCGGTGAATGTGCGTAGCTCTTTCCTTAATCTTGAAAAGCTACTGCATCCCAAAAGCTCGGTGAAGGCAGGTGGTAACCGCAGCAAGTAAAGACTATGTGAAGTGAGGGAAAAGGAAGGCACAACTGGGAATGAGGTGAGAATGGCAAGTACTGCGGTCAAAATGAGTATTTGGCGCTGCAAGCTTGTTGTATTATCAAATAATCACCATTATACACATCCACAAAGTCGGACATTGTATAGATACATGCTTATTGGATATATCATCTTTTGGCCGTGAGTTTGAGCATCAGACTACAATGTGAGCTTCTACTGACATGGAGGTGAAGGCAATCCACTGTACCCCCGGGCCTCCCAGCTCCCCGCTGCATATACTCCAGTAAGCTCATCACTTCGCAGGTGCAGTATGTGGCAACAGAATGGATGTGCTAAATGTATTCAGAGGCCCTGCCCAGCTGCCTTTACCCCGTAACTTCGAAACATGCCGAAGTGCACCCCCATCCCTGCACCACTATGAGAGCCACCCGCCTAGTCCGTCCTGAACTTCGTCGTCAACTCATTCTAGTTGGCGGCGCTGCCAGCATTGCCCACGACTCTGTATTCTATACAGAGGATGTGGATGTTGCTGCACCGAGCGATGTCATTCATGACATCGCTAAGAGAGTGATGGACGGTGCCCCCAACTTTTCTCTCGAGCCCGACGGCAAGATTATATTCGATGATAGTCAAGGAATACGCGTCCGAATCGACATTATCGAAATCGGAGACGCTATCGAACGCATCCACGTGGCAGATCCCTTTTTCGAGGGCTCTGTTGCATCCATGTCGGACTTGCTGAGATTGAGGGCCGTGACGGTGGCTGAACGTGGGAGTGATGGTGAGGTTGCAGACTTTCGATGGCTGTTGTCGGAGTTGGTAAAGGCAGGGAAAATCCTTCCAGGGCTCAATGTAGAAGAGCTAGAGTATATGCGCGGAGCTTGGAGACGCCTAGGGGTTGTGGATTGCCTATTATTATACTCATTATTACAGGAGGAGGATGGGAGGTCGATTATTTTGTAAATGTATTCTTAGATGGAGCAATTGCCCTTGGGCTAGTGAAAATTACTTACCATGCGATGACATTAACCATATACCTAGCACAAATTGTGAATAGAACATGACAAGAACCAAGAACACTGCCTAATTCATTACTACAAGCGCGACGGTAAGTTTAGGTTCTCACGCCGCTGCTGGAAGCTCGAGCTCGACAAGCCACGGTGGCTGTATCGAAGGATCTTCGTAGCCCTCAATCGCGGCGTTGATAAAAAGTGTTTCAGAGCCCCGTTGCAGTGTATTGTGATCCTCAGAGCAATTACTTGTAGTAGAGCACTCTGTGGGGTTCCCTTTACCCTTGATGGTAGAGAGTCGGGATACGAGGACTGACTTTTCGTTGTCGATATCAGTCAAGTGAGAAGGCTCCAGGCTAACTTTCTGACGCCATCGAACAATCTTGGCACCCCATCCTTCGTGGATATGACCAAAACAATGCATCAGGGGTCGAGGTTGGGCTCGAGCTACAGCCTTGAAAAGATGTGGGCAGCCGGCACGCTGGCCAGAGTGTGTGTAATCCATAATTCCCTTTGGCGGCCCATGTGTCATCACGACATCGACATTCTCAATTCGAAAGTCATGTCCGCGCTCGGGGTGATATTGAAACCCCCAATCCCCAAGTGATGGGGTGTACGGGCTAGCATAAACATTCAATAGAGCACCATTTTGTAAGCGAAAGGAATGGATACCTTCATCTAGAAAAGTGATATCTGTTTCTTTCTCGAATAACCCTCGAGCTTCTTCATAGTTGCCGTAGACTTTTTGAACTAGTTGAGGATCTAAGGGTTGGGCTTCCGCGACCTTTTTCTGGAACATTGGAGTGTCCAGAGTGAAGTCATGATTACCGGCGATCACAAGTTTAAGCGGGGCGTTCACGGCTTGGAGGAAACGGATCGAAGCTTTGTACTCATCGATTTTCGATTCGGTAGTGAGATCTCCGCAGTGAATTGCGACATCCGCATAATGGCGCGAGACAAAGTTTGGTGGAGTATCAAGCCCATGTGTGTCGGAAAAAACCAGGAATCTAGTTTTCACATTCGCTGATGCACTCTCTGACATCTTCGACTGATATGAAATAGCGTTTCCTTCGTGGTAAAGCAGATGCCAAGTGGGTGTAGGTGATAGGGAAAGAGAAGGGTTACACAACCTTTACACAATCCCTGCTAAACTACTTTAGGCCTTCAACCAGCTTATGTAAATTACTATAGTAACAGTATTCTCAATACTGATCACATGACTTGCAACTGTACCATTCAGAGATCACCTGATCTGCCATCTCCCGAGATCTCCACATGTTCTTGTACGATGTTACTGCACATTGTACACTGTACAATGTACAGTGTACAATGTACATACCAGATAGCGGATCCAAAATGCGGGTCCCCGGCCCGCGGCGGCCCTTGTGGGTCCCGCGTTACAATCGGCCCTCAGGGGCGGAGACTGAAATTGACTGGTGAGATGCAACATCCAAAAAGACGATTGATTTGCTTCCTAGCAAGACAGAGGTGCACCTGCATGTATCGTGTATGTTCCAATAATCTCGCAACTTACTCAGTTTAAGGGGCGGAGAGGAGGTCATATCGCATGGATATATATATTTGGATGTTGTAGAAAAAGTTCGCAGATAGCTAAGATGGCTAAAACGTCTTGTCATTCAACTTAAAAGGTGTATGGTCCTCTGTTAGTTACTTTGAGTGGTAAAGGACCCTCGTCGATGCAGTTAGACTCAACCTAAGGCTCTCATAACTAACAAATCCGACGCCAGAGGTTACAAAATACCCGGGGAGCCTTGCAGTCAAATGAGTCTTTGAGACAGCAGAATAGATGATATGTCTAATTAGGACTAAAATCTACAACATAGTGCTCTGGTCTGGGTGCTTCTTTATCGCAATGTCGTAATTTGAAACGCGAAAGTTGTCATCGCCAAGGCCCTGTCGCCCCTTCAATGGCAACAGTTTCCAAAATGTTGTACTTACCTTTTCCAAACCTTTCAAATTGAATTTTCATAGCCACTTGGTGGCTTTCTTTTATTTCGATAAACCATGCGTATAGAGAATCATGACAGGGGGAACGAGAACGCCCCGCTGTTGGAGTCCAGCTTCACTCCGTCCCCTGTCCAGAAACCGCGCCTTGCGACTTTTCTCTTATCCTTATGTATCTTCTTCTTGTCGGGAGGAAGTGCGATGATTCAAGTTCGCTCATTTTACTTGTCTTATTCCCTGGGATATCAAAGCTACTTTCAAAATACTTGCGGCCAGCTGTCAATTCTTGGACGCGCCTCGGCTTGCTTGGTGATTTTTGGGAGTTTTCTTACAGGGGCTCCGCGCATTGGCCTTGTGATTTTCGGATTAATACTTCAGACATCAGGCGCGGGCTTGAATGCGATATGTCGATCAACAGCTATGAGCTACATGGGAGCACATGATAAGTCGAAGATGAATGCGATGATTGGGATCTTTGAAACATTCGGGTCTATGTTTGCCGGGTCGACATTGGCATAGCTTTTTTCGCAGGGTATGAAGCTCAGAGGGATTTGGTTTGGGCTCCCATACTATGGCTTGGCCGCATTTTCTGGGCTCTGTCTGGCTGGATTATTCTTTCTAGGGCCTTCCCAGCATCAAGACCTCAATGATATAGATGAACCCCAGCGTTCAACTGCATCTGATCTGGATTAAGACCTCCCTACTACCTAGTTTGACAGAAGCAATTGATAGAACGGTGTTTGGGGATATTTGTTCTCATTCTTGAGTATTTATTGATCAATTTGATTTCCACTGTGTTATCTGTCCTTCGGTGTCCCCGAAGATACTCCGTACACGATGGGATAGCGCCTTTATCCTATGTAAATCCAAGTCTCCTGGTCATGGATCGGCAATATTAACCAACGATGGTTATGCCCCGGTGGCATACTTAGTCGCCCGTAAATGAGACAGCGAACTCCATTCTATAGCTTTCCCCGGTTCAAGAATCGCACAGGGAGATCAATATGCCTAGCCCGCAGATATTCCGCCACATTCTTTCCCAGGAAATCGACGGTGGTGGTCACACCAACGCCCCGGTCTAGTAGATTGCGAAACAGGAAATGCACGGCATGAAGACGAGGTAGCTCGAAGCGCTCAATCTCCAAGTTCGTGTTCTCGCGGGCAGTCTCTCCTAACAGCTCTTGCACCTTATCAACAGACAGCAACGCCTGCAGCCATTCGTATTCGTCACTGTGACGCACCCAGAAGCCGCAGTTAGCGTCGGTACCCTTATCTCCAGAGCGTGCATGAACGATCCAGCCTAGCGGGCCGCGACTCGTCGGCTCAAAGTCTCGGGCAAGGTCGACGGGTCTGTCGGTGCGCGCGGTCGGCTGCGAGGGTTGGCGTGATGGATATATCCTAGTGTTTGCCGGAGGCGAAATATCCAGGGTCTGCGCAGATACCGTCGGCTTCCAGGGCATATGGACGCGGTGTTGGACTGCTGATTGTGGCAGCAAGGTGACATAGTACTCGAAAATGGCACGTGGGAATCCTTGGCGCATATCTAAGTGAAAGGTAGCACCAGGATAGCCCTGCATGATGTTATCGGTGATATGTTTGAGGAAGCGTGTCGGTGCAAGGTCCTCTGCATGTCGTGCCTGTGCGACGATGCGCAACGGCACGGTAGCGCGGTTCTGGTTGGGTGGGTCGGAGAGGGAAGAGCCCAGTAAATCGAAATTGAGTGACGTATATCTGCCCGAATAGGGTGACAACAAGTGCCGGACTTGTGCCTCCAGCATGCGAGCTTTGGCTTCGATATCCAGACCGGTGAGAAACCACCATACCTCAGCCTGGAACCCTCCTCGCGCAGTGATGCCAACCTTGGTGGTGGGCGGAGGAGGGCCGCAATGGACCCCATGAACAGCGACACGATTGACGCCGCACTGCAAAAAGCGTATATTATCGAGGACCGCAGTGACATCAGAGTTGTAGTACCAAGGTCCTTGTATCTCATAGAGCAATTGGGATGTACAAGTATCGACGGTTACCGCACCACCGGTGGCATGCGCCTGCTTGGTGATCACAACGTCACCTTCGGCAGATATCTCGGCGATGGGATATCCGATATTGGTCCAGCCATCCCCGTCTGCGTATTCTAAGGCTTTGAAGCCTGTGAAATTGCCACCGCAGACATAATTGCTACACTCAATCAGATGGCCTGCCACGAACGCATTCGCCAGTTTGTCAAGCTCGTCACGCTGCCAGCCATGATACCAGTAAGCAGCTCCGATAACAGGTGAAGCATCCGAGACCCGCCCACATAATACAATGTCCGCACCACCTGCGAGTGCACCCGCGATCCCGAGGCCGCCAAGATAGCACTGGGCATATATTGGCTCGAATGGCCAATCTGCCAACCGATCGCCTGTGTAGACGTTGCGAAATTCAGACCCGGAAGCCAATTCCTTCTGGACGGTAGATAGTACTTCATCTCCGGAAACCCATGCAACCTGCACACCCAAATCAGCAATTGTTGATTAATTTTGGGTAAGGCGCCGACTGACCTTCAAGTCCAGATTCTTTGCCTCAACCATACGCAGCACCACCTCGTAGAGACCCTTGGTGTCAGTCACTCCAGCATTGACCGCGAGCTTGATTCCATACTTGGCCAGATCATCCAGAGCCGGCTCAAGTGCTTCTAGAAAAGAGGGCTCGTAGGCCGGGGCTGTTGGTACTCGGGAAGTCGTCTGGTCCACACGCCGACCGGCGGCAGTGGCCATGTTGAACTCGCTCATGAAATCGGCAATGATGACATCGATAGGATCGGTCGGGTGGTGACGTGCAAAATCAGCGATAGCTTGCCGCCGGTCTGAGGCAGAGCCCGAGGCACCTAACAGGTTAGCTCGAGTACATCATGAGTGCAAGTAAACTAACCTGCAATGCGAACGGGTCGACCTTTGTATGCCATTGTGCGTTAACCAGTATTGTCTTGTATCCTTGAACACAGAGGTAGGATAGTATATGATGCAATAGAGGATTGAGCTTGTGTTGCACCGAGGTGGTTGTGTCCCTCGGCTGGGAATGCGGGGTTGATAGAACAAATGACAAAGAGATCTACGTTGTCTCTGGTGTGTTTGACGAAGTAAGGGGGAATCTGAATCACATTCTGCCCCCCAAAAGTGATCTCGTTCGGTCATTGGCTTATCGAAGCCTCTGGGTCTGAGCGGTAGGGACAAGAGCCCAAGTTCCTGCGATTTAAGCTAATTACCGTGTTGAGACTAGCTTGTTGGTATACTTCATCTCCAAAGGTCACAACTTCAAGTACTGCCTCTTGTTGATTGATTATGATTTATTGTATCATCTGACATTTGAGAACCATATTTTGAGGATATCATTGAAGGATTGAAGGCAACAACGCTGATGGTAACGCTCGAGTGATTCTTGATAACTCCATACATGCATAAAGGAAACATCCATGGCGGTAAATCGCAAATTACTTACGACGCCTCGAGTTGGTCGGCATTTCTTCAAAGGCGTCATCGTCATCGTCATCGTCATCAATACCATCGCTGATGACACTCATGTTACGGGTGGAGCGGCTAGGTCGTGATGACTGAGGTGCGCTGGCCTGGGAAGCGGAGAAGTTGAGCGTAGACTGAGCTGTCTTACCACGCGCAGGGGCTCGCCGAGAAGCAGTCCCGCCAACGGTAACCGATGATGGAGCTGGCGAGGCAGCAGCATGTCCACCGCGACGCTGGGTCGTAGTTTTCGCAGGGGCAGCTTTTCGTGGCTTCGCGGTAGTAGTAGATCGAGGCTGCTTAACGAACAGTGCCTGCGAATCATCATCATCATCATCATCGGAAATGACATCGGCTATAACATCGTCGTCATCATCATCCAGTATAATCACGTCTGATTCTTCGTCTGAGATGGCTTGCTTTCTGCGACCCTTCGTGGTCGTTTTTTCTGGAATAGCTTTGGTCTTGGTGGTTCGCGCACTGGCCGCTGCACCTCGACCACGACCCCTACCACGACCCCGAGTGGGAGCCGCGGCACGACCACGAGCGGGCACTGTCCCATCTTCTCCAGCCTCTTCCTCTGCTGGATCCCCACCTTCGTTGTCAGAATGAATAAGTGCACCAGGCTGATCTTCCCACACGCCATCAAACTCGGAATCCCAACCATCTGGCTTGGGCTTGAAGCGCTTCTTTCCGCGAGTTCGCTTCTTCACGCCCTTTGAAAACATGGTTTCCATCTGACTGCGATATTTCTCCATAGCAGTCACTAGCGAGCTTTGTTCTCTCTCCTCGTCATCCATCTCGTCCTCCTCACGATCCAAGGCCAACAGGTGTTTGACCTGGCTCTCGAGGGATTCATTGACGAACATCTCCATTGCATGCTTATCATCCTTGTCAATGAATTGGGCAACAGCATCTCCGAAAGAATTCTGCGGCAGGATGCTTAATGACTGTGATGAGAGAAACTCGCGCACTAGCTGTTCGACTTGCACAGTGTCAAGAGCTGATAGATGAGAAATGGTAGATTCATCAACAGATTTATCATCTTTGCGCGAAGTAGAAGCAGCTTTTTTCTTGCGGTAGAATTGCACCACATCGTTCACGTTAGCGACCTTACCAATGAAGCGATTGGAAAATCGCTGTGGGTTTTCACAATCGTAGCTACCTCCTTCAGGCGTAGAAGTTTCCACGCGGAGGCGAACGAGAGGAAGCGGAGCCTCCGATGTGCCATCCTCATCCTCATCGATGCGGTCCCCTTGCATCTCTAGCCATTCTGCATTGGCTTCTTCAATCAGCTCTTCAACAATGGACATGAGGAACCGAGTTACTTCTGTGCGGTTATTCTCCTTGCGCGCAAGCTTTTGGGCTCTTTTTTCTTCGGATAATATAATTTCCCGCATCACAAATGGTCGCACCGTCTTCAATCGGATAGGTTCGTTTTTAAATTCTCGGCCCGTTATGCTCAAAATAGAGACTTGCTTTGGAACAGCCTCCCCGGGTACCAAGGATGTTGCGACAGAGGATCCTGGTTGCATAACATGAAATTTAGTCTCTGGATTGAGCCTAGGATCAATCAGGCATTCATGTTCGTGACCCCAGACGACCAAATCAAGAAATTCGGGCAGAAAGTTCTCTGGTAGGTAACTAGTTTCTGTATGGGCATGATGGTTCTGATGCACAGACATCAAATTGAACCAGTCACTTTTCTGCACAGACGGTTGGAAGAATTTAACCTTGCCATCGCGAAAGGTACGGAACAGTCGCTCGTCTCGAACGTTACTCATTCCGTATAGCGCAAGCTTTGTCCGGCCTTTCTGTAGCAAGACAGGCTTGATTTGGATGTTATCTGACTCCGGAGTCCGGCCGTAGTAGTTGAGAAGGCCGGACACTTGCAGTAAATCTAGTGCGGCCAGATGACCCTCTCCCGAGGGGTCGTCGTGATTCCCGTGGATGGAGAAGATAGGAATCGCCACGTTGATATCCAGGTCCTCGTAGTTGACATGATTGAATGCCCCCTGGAAATTCTCACTTGCATCGCTGAGCATCTCCAGCTCACACGGCTTGTCTCCGAAACAGTTCATGCGAATCGACCGCATGACCTGGTACATGGATTTTCGCGACGGCTTATTCTCATGGAACAAGTCTCCAGCCAGGAGAATCATATCGACGTCCCGTTCCTTGGCCAAACACATTATTTCGTGGAAGCTCTTCCAGCTGTCGTCCCCACGGATGGGATCTCGCTCGTTGTAACCGACATGATTATCGGTGGAGATGAGAATTCGAATAGTTTCAGCCTCTGTACGGAGATCAGTAAGCTGAATATAGATTCAGTATCGGGAATGTCTTACCATTTGCTCCAGGCATCTTAGTCTACCGAATTCACGTGTCTCACCCAGCTCTGGCGTTTATGCGGGATACTGGGGTTCATGCGGCACCAGAAGGAAATAACTCGAGAAGATACAGTGGATCAATAAGTTATTCCAAGGGGATCATATCAACCTCACAACCAAGTTGTACTGAGATAGTCGATGATACCTGAGGGCTCGTTGGTTTGGCTTCTGTCGCGTCGTCACGTGCTGAGCGCGTCTTGGATAGTGGCCATTCAGTATAAATATTCCTGAGAGAAGGTAAAGGAAAAATATTTGAAGGTTTTTTAACAAGATTATGACAACAGTTGATAAGATAGTATTACACTCAAAGTAAGATAATAGCTTTTCTTCTCCATCTCGCATAGCTCAAGTAATATCCAAAGTCGAACAGAGCCGCATATCGCATACCGACGCTTTTATTGCCAACAGAAAATCGGATAATTTGCGACTGATATCAAAAGACACCGGAAAGGACACTAGAAGAGACACAACAAACACACTCAAAAGCCATTGGAAATGACATTAGAAAATTCATTTAAACAGATCTTGAACTAATTTAGCATCCAAATTATTCATGTCCTCTACCGCCAAGTACAGAGGTCATATAAGCGGCTGACTATTCTACTTCTATATAAATGACAAATCCACTACAAATGAGCTCCAAATACGGAGTATTTGACTACTACGGAGTAGTTAGTTATCCATCTAACTAGTCATAGAAAATCTCAGTCAGACATAACAATTGAAGTATAGGAATTACTCGGAAAAAGGCGGAGAAGAAGGCGGTGAATTGTAAAAGCCAATAGGACGCTGCGGTCGCTGCGCATCTGCATAATGTGCGGGATGGCCACTTCGCCTCGCCTCCGGCATCTTTGCTTCTCTCCCATCCTTTCTCTTCAACATCGCTTCGCTTTCACATAACTCCTTTTCGTCCCGCATTTCCTAACTCGACTGACCCAGGCTTTCTCGCTGGCTCGGTCGCTACCACTTCACCTTTCCGTCAAGACCTTTTTATGCAACCAGAGCCTACTGCCGTGTCTCAACATACGCCTCCCGTCGACTCATACCCAGTCATTATTAGTCCCACCCAGCATGGACATGACCTCGACGAAACTCAACCTCAAGTCTCTGATTTCCTCGAGCGAGAGGCGATCAGAGACTATGCGGACGTCCCGAGCATGTCGACACAAGACGCGTCCTTGAAAGAGGCCGACGGTCGCCATGCCCCGCCCTCGGCCGATCGAGTGAGCCAGCATGAAAATGCTCGCATTCCACCCGGACAAGCAGAAAATGCTGGATCTTGCTTAGTGGCTTCTATTGAACAATCGCAAACATCTTTGGAAACATTTCCAAATGGTGGGTGTCCTGCAAACCTGCTGCGCAATTATTACTGACAACCGTAATCTCCACAGAGGTTCTCACCCATATTCTCTCGCATCTACCACCCCAATCTTTGTCCGCCATCACATTGGTGTCCCATCGATTTCATGCGCTGGTGACCACTCCTCATGCTTGGAGGATCGCCTTCTCACGATTCTTCCCCGGACCCCATGCCGTTGAGGATGGTCAGCGTAATACCGATGCGGTGGACCTACAGTCGGACAGGCGATTATTCGCAAGGCTAACCGCGCTAGCCTCCTGGCGAAGCGAATACATATTGCGTACTCGCTTGATGCACTCGTTAGCCAGAGGCAAACCGGCGCAGTTCAACCCGTCCAAGAAGCATGGAACTGTACACACGGCGAGTGCTCGCCATGGTAGTGCCATAGCTACGTATACGTCGCAGCTACTCTTTCCGATCAGTCACATACATGCCTCTTTCAGGCCGGACAACAACCCTCTCTTCGTCCATGGAGCCGCAGAGCAAGGGATTGCGTCAGCTAGTGACCCATCGGCCGTAAAAGTTGGCACCTGGGGTGTCACCGACCACCAAATGTTCCGCCACTTTGCCGATCTGTTTCCTGGTGAAGCGCAATACGGCCTCGGATCGGGTGATATGGTCGGTGTGCCTAACTCGATGGACGTCAGTCAACCATATGGCATGATCTATGGTGAGGGCTGTCCCCAAGGGCGTAGCTATTTCATCTCAAAAACGGAGCAGCATGGTCGTTTTGTGGGAGCTTCGAATTTGGGTTCTCACCCACCACTCGGCATACCTGCCATAAACATGATCACACATGCCATCTGTTCAGTGTGGATTGCCAAATCCCCTCAGATCCTCAAGATCACTCAGGGGCTGGTGGGGATGATGTCTGGATCGTCTTCAGGCGTGTTGACCGCGTATTCTATAGGCCCTCATCCAACTTACGAAAGACGGTATGACCTAGGTCAAGTGACTGCTAGATGGGTCCTGTGCCCTGGTGTTCCTATCATTTCCATTGCGGTGGATGATCACTATTCAGCCCAGCGCCATTCAGGAAACCGAATTTGGGCTGTTGCTCTCAATGCCCTAGGGGAAATATTCTACCTCACAGAACTTCCTCGAGCACCTGAGATCCCACTCACAGCCAAACTCAACATCGAGCAGCTTGACGAGGTGGCTTGGAAGACTGGTAGAAGTGTGCATTGGGAGATGGTTGAAGCAAGCAGACGTGTGGCACGCCCAGACCCTTTCAATCCTGAGTTGGTCGATGGAAGCTACAGTCCGCGATCATCGTCGGATTCCATGGGTCTCAATGAGCACCAGGTTGCCGCTGAAACGAAGGAGATTGAGAATTTCTTTTCTTTGAAACCCAAACACTTCCGCAAGGTCTGCGAAAGCTGGGATATGCAACGCGATCTTAAGGTGGACTTTGCTGGCGATGACGGGTGCGGGGCAGGCGAGTCAATCATTATCATCGCTACCGGCTCGGGCGATGATACAAAAGCGTCGATCCGGCGTTTCATGCGCACTGCTCCTAGGCCTGTCCTTGGCTCATCGGCCATGCCAGGGACCTTATCGGGTACAGTGGAAGTTCCACCGTCACTTTTCGGCGGCCCAGTGGACATAACAAGCCCGACTGCCACCAGCAGTTTTCCCTCCTCTCGGTCCTCAGGGCTTACGGCATTGCCTTCGACCAACTTCACGTGGCGTCTGTCGGATTTTGTTTTTGACGATCGCAAGTCGACGGAGGTGAGCAGTAGTGCGTTGGATACGTCCACTTTCGCCACTCTCACAGCCGAAGAGGATCCTCTTCTGGCCATGTCTAGGAGCTCTATGTCGTCTGCCGCATCCTCCCCAATGTTACCACATATGGATCTGCCGCGGTCGGGTCTAGAAATTCCCGGCCAACGCGCTCGATACCTAGCTGTTGGAACTCGCACTGGGATGGTTTTTGTTTGGGACATCCGAGCCCCGGCGGCGAAGTCTGGGGAGATAATCAACTCCATCTCCACATTGCGCACAATCCAAACCGACTCCCCCCAGGTATCTTCCTTGGCCATCACATCTTTGTACCTTGTTCATGGCGGTAATGATGGCCTCGTACAAGCCTGGGATCCATTAGCATCGTCTACCAAGCCAATGCGAACGATCAACTCGCGTTTTTCAACGCGGGCCCGCCGTCGGCTTGTGCAGGCTGAGTCGTCTTTCTTAGGTGTTGGAAACAATTACTATGCCGCAGGCGCTATCTGCCTTGATACAGACCCAACTGTTCTGCGTGGAATGGTCTCACTTGGCACCCACTTGCGATACTGGTCTTACAGCTCTTCCGAAGCTGATCAATACAAAAGCAACAAGCGACGCCTTCGCCACTTAATGCGTGGCAGCAACGGGGCTGGCGAAGGCCAGCGCTTTAACAACAGTGGTCGGGGTGCAATCGAGGACTTTATCCACGACGAACGCGTGGATATGGAGCGTCAAAGGATTGCCGATGAGAAAGAACGAGCACATCTGAGTGCGCGTTTTGGAATTGATCTTCTTGGTCCGGATATCGACGAGGAACAGCTTTTGTTGTATGCCCAACTTCTGAGCGAGGAAGCCTGCTCTGGCGATGCGGCGAAACCTAGGGACAGCGCCGCGGTCTCCAGCTCGGCCACGAGCGCTTCATTCGACACTGCTGGTCCTAGTTCATTTGGCCCTGGCGGGATTTCATCCTCTTCGTCTCCTTATCAAGATCCCGCGGACGATGATGTTGACGATGAACTTGCCGAAGCAATTCGCCTTAGCCTGCTTGATGAGCAACAAACATCGTCTATCCCTATCAAGTATGCCAAGGGAGTACGCCCACCTCGACAGCCATCCCCTGGAGCAGAGGAGCCGGAGAGCAGTAGACAGCAAGAGATGGATGATTTAGAGTTTGCGATTCAGCTCAGCTTGGCTGAGGGCAAGAGTCGCGAGGATGGTGAGAAGGAGTGGGAGGAATTTCCATCGCTCTCGCCAGGGCCAACGCCTGTCTCATCATCGTCAGGCAAGGGCAAAGGGAAAGCGAGGGCCATTTAGAATCTCTTGAGTTATGTTGCATTTTTCATTTTAATTTTTGTGTTTCGTGTTATTGCTTAATATTCTCAAGTCTTTGCATTTATATCAATCGAGACATTCTGACTCATGTTATGGTACTGAGCAAGCCGAATTTTAAGGTAAGTAGTCTTTGCCAGTGAAACCCTGCTGTCTCTTTTCAACAGAAGAAACCTAGTGAAGCGCAAAATGACAGGCCACGCCGCAAAGTCATTCCTTAATTTGCCAGCAACGATCCAAACGGAATTACCAAGATGTTGAAGCAAGTCTTGAGAACTAGGGCTAAAGGCTTCGATCAATGGGTGGCCATTGGAGCTACGATATATGACGATCCTTCTTCTAAGCTGTGATGTTGATAAAATGTGGGATAAATAACAATGTTAATGACAACTGCACTAGCAGAAAGTGGAAGGATTTTTTGCTATGGTGCATTTTGTCTCTTAACTCCTTCCCAATGTACATGCGATGGCTTGTTGCTGAAAGTTTGAAGACACGAAAGAAAAAGCAACGACACGAATCATTCCGAAGGAACCATGTAAAGAATAACAACTGAATCACAA